TGTTTCGAAACGTCGTGATTATTAAAAATGAAAATGTTTTAGATATACTTGCAATCCGATCAAAATTACATGTCAATTTCTTTTCGTTTTATTTCTGATGTTGTTACTGTAGCGTATAAATCGGGAAAAACGAAACACAATTGTAATCTTATTTTAATTAGATTAAGATTCAGAAAGTCCCGGGTTCCTCTTGCAAGTGGCAGAGACGGTGGGGCTGGCAAGGGAAAACGTCTAGTCGTTTGGGTGGGACAAAAAAACGACGGTCCGTGTATACCATGAGCATCACGTTACAGATCCCCTGACAGTTGGAAATCGAAGTTAACAACAGGCCGTATCGTCGTTGCCCTGGCAAAATATAGCACATTGTATATGCCCGCCTTCATATGCTCGGTTGATGCAGAAATCGTTAAATCCGATTTCATTTCGGTATCGAAATGCATATGAGTATTATACACGTTGCAGTTATCCAACTTCAAGATTGTATTTTATTTAAGGGAAACAAATCAGTTTATAATATTTTAATGGTGTTTACTACCGAATTTCCAATTTCAGAGAAAACGCATATTTAATTTCCCCTAAACATGTTTAAATGTCACATACACTGTTCGATTTCGGTCTTTAAAAATAATTACATCATGATCGAAAAACATTTTATCAGCTTTATTTTCAGTTCATAGACATTTCATAACTGTGTTGTAAGGCTGGGCATAGATTCTCAAAACACTTTCAGTTATTACACTGATGACAACAGGTGATCTGTTAACCTTGTGTGATTACCTATATGTTATAGTCATACTGTTTGTCTCCCAGGTTAGTCTCCATTGGGACATAAATCACTCTTACAATAGCTGGATAATTCACCATATAAAGAACCATAAGTGTAAAAAAGATATTTCATTGAAATTAATTACTGTTACGTTCAGAAAGAATACAGGAATAAACTGTTAGTTATCCCCTTTCTTTTTTTCATGAAACGTTCTAGATAAATTTTTTCTTTGTGTCGTTTATTTTAATGGCACGTGTTAGCTTTACGTAATTCGGAACAGGTTAAAATTCTTGTATTATCTACATGGCTATGTAATATTAAACATGAAGTGAGTGAAACTATATATTGACCTTCTGGCAATGTTACTGATCACGCTAATAGACAATGCTCGGAATTTGATCTATTGCTTATTTTGGTATGCTTAATTCATATACATGTACACAGAAATAAGAAAACCCGGTGCCGCGGTTTTGGTCATTAGGCCTACCCGGTTTGGCTCGGATCCTTGTGCATGGAACTTGAATGGAACCTCGTAAGTAATGAAAATATTTGGTCCCCCTACTGTTTGTTAAAGATTGCATTATGCAAGATTTAGATACAAAGCTAACAGTTCTCGATGATACAAAATCTCGATTATTCATTTTTAAATTAAACTGTTAAATATCGTGTTTCAATCCATTCAATCCACCTGACAGTTTAGAGAATTTATTTTGTGCTTGGCACGTGAATAAAAGTATATTATACAATTTATTTAAAGGGGCATTATGGGAGATTAGATAAAGAGCTGACAGTTCTCGCTTATAGTTAAAATTAGATAATGTAAAGAGAATATGCCGAAAATTTCAAATTTCTCCACTCTGAATTGAGATATTACCGATTGAATTTTAGGCTTAGTCTAAAGTCGGTACGATAAAAAAACAACGTCTTGATTAACCATTTTGACGTTAAATCATCCATCACAAAATGTAGTCAAATCCAGTAAATATCGGAGGCTAGCGATGACATCGAGAGCGAGAGTTGATTATGGGCTGGATCAGTTAATTAATGTCTAATTAATAATTTAGATAACATTTCAGGCCAAAAGAAAGACCTGCAATAGGCAGATTTAGCGCTTGAATAATATATGTTTAATATTTAATACTTGAGGCCATAAGAAAGAACTGCAATAGGCAGATTTAGCTCTTACATACTGCATCTTTAATAGTATCAATCTTTGATTAGATTTGTATTTCTTATCAAATATATATTTTTCTTTTTGACCTATTATTATTAAGATAATGATGATGATATCTGGGTTTTTGATTTATGCCGTCATTTTTACTTTAAAAAATGTCAATACCTACTATAAAAAATATCAAATCATATAATTATATTATAGTCAATGAAAAATATATGGGATGATAGTCAAAGATTGGTTGGTGATACCCGATCTCTAACGCAGTTAAAAACAACTTTAATCATAGGCGTAAAAGAAAACCCCCAGATTCTCGGGGAACCGTTTAGCTAATGATTCAATCATTTTGAAAATTCGGGTGACAAAGAAACTTTTCGGGCAAATAGCCTCAGCCCCCCCCCCCCCCACACACCTCCAAACTGAGATTGCCCCCTGCGCCTATAACTTTAACTGTCAAAACACAACAAAATAAAAAAATTAACCCGAATCCAAGGTGCAAAATTTTAGAACACATGTCCTGAACTATTAATAAGTGTGTCACTGATAAATCACGTGAATGACTTCTTCTATAACCATTGAAATAGTTTCGTATCTAAGACTGATTAGACCACAGACCCTGCTGATAAATCTGACACGTTTTCTTAATTTGTCCATCATTCATTCATTCTTTAAATTGATCCTCTTCACCGATAATGCAAAATTATAACCCTCTTATTATTGGCCGGTATTTTAGCTAAATTTTCCATAACATTTATGAATAAAATTACATAAGATTAAAATACAATGCAATACTATTGATGGTAAAGATCAATCATATTCAACGTCCATGAATAAAAAATAACAAATTATCAGTTGAATGATATGTTTACCACTGAAACGTGTCACGTGACGGTCTATAAGGGGTATCTGGGCAGGGCCCGTGTGTGTGTGTGGGGGGGGGGGGGCAGCTGGGCCACTTGTCCAGGAGCTCGGAGCCTAGAGCGGCCCGGGGGTATGCCACCAAAATCGAACTCATCGTCCACAACCTTGGTATATGTGTTACTAGATAAAAACCTCCGTGTTTCGAGATAGGAGATGGTCTTATATAGTTCCACGTAGCAAAGCCCAACGCGAATCGCATCGGGCATCAGTAAGCAAAATTGACAATATTTTTCATCAAAACAACGATTGAGTATTGTTATTTATAATATTTCTGCCACATGCAACTACAATTAAGCATATAATCCTACCTGAAACGGGTATAAATCATCGTATTTAAAATCGAGGCGTTAAGCCGTTACTAAGAACGCCATTTTAAACGGGAGGTGTATGGCGGTGTATGTCGGATAAAAACAGGGCTTCATTAATTTAAACGCGAATATTTGGAGTTGGGCGATAGTTGTGTCACTACACTGGCCCCTGTAAGTTTGATTGGTCATAATGGTAAAAAAAATATCTTATTTTTAAGATGTTACGTGCATTAATAAAGAAACTGAGTTTGCCACTAAGGTATCCAATCGTAGCTAAAAAGTATATCTCAACGTTTTTAGCTACGTTCTCGCAGCTAGTGTTACTACATGCTTTATCACTAATTGCGTAAAGTTTCGGTCCGATTTTCAGGAAATTTTAACTCATCCGCGCTTGTTGTACACTGAACATATTATATTTAAACTGTTTTGAAAATCAAATAAAAATTGTGACCTCAGCTATAGAGGGTCCACAAGCTAAAAACGCGATTTTTCGTACAATCGGGGGCGTAAAATCTGAAAAAAAATTGTGACCTCTAGAAGTCCCACAAGCTAAAAACGTGATTTTTCGTCATGGTCCATAATTCATGAAGGCACGGTCCGATAAATTCCAACACCGACAGGAACCGAGATCTTATGGATATAAACTTATATTTTTAGTTTCGCCAAAATCAGATAAAAATTGCGACCTGTAGAATGTCCCCCACAAACAAAATGTGAACGGACGGGCGTCCAGACAGGGGCGACGACATAATACGTCCATATGAAAACGTTGGTGTATAAAACTGAACAAGATAAATAGAATAATAAATGCTGGGCTTGTAAAAGGTGATATCTCGTTACGTATTTTTTATTCAAGTTTAATTTTTGTGCCAAATTCTAAAAATTACCTTTACAAGACAAATGATTTGGGTTTAAAACTTTAAAGTCCTACTTTCTGCTCTGTCCGGACTAATGCAGTGTGTTATGCGGGAAATTTTGCCCTGCAGTGTTTCCACGGCTTACTCTTATTTCGAATTAAAACTGTCATAGATTATGTCATAGATGACTCCTCAGTGTTAGTTCTAACAAGCCAACAGCGAGACTGATGTCCCCCTGTCGAAATCCTCAAATAAATAGATGACACATTAATAAATCGCACATCTATTTTTTTCAAAAGTATCAAGCAATCAAACTGATTATCAACACTCTCTATCAGATAGAATCAAAGTTATCTTGTCCCAAAGCATCGACCAAGGAAATTGCTTACATGTATCTCTGCTTAGCTTTAGCTCGATATGTTAATCATTGAACTCAGTCAAGACGAACATCTACATCAAGTTTAAACATACTACCTCAATTAGAAGCAGAGTTGTTATGTTTCAAAGTCTTGACCAATGAAAATGCTTATTGCTCCTTAGCCTAAGCAGAAAATTCTCATCATCGAACTTAGTCAAGGTCAAGTTTCATCACTCTCACTTAATTAGAACTAAAGTTATCGTGTCCCAAAGCATCAACCAATCAAATTGCTTATCTCTGCTTACCCTAAGCAGAAAATGCTGCTCATCTTCGAACTCCATCAAGGCATTGACCTAATAAACACCTACACCAAGTTTGAACATTCTAGGTCAATTAGAAGAAGAGTTATTGTGTCCCAAAAAGTGTGACGGACAGACAGACGGACGGACGGATGGACAGACAGACGAACCCATTTTAATAGTCCCCTGCTTTCTTTGAAAGGCGGGGGACAAAAATATTGTCTACAAATCCTGTAAAATATAACATTATACTTCAACATTAAATGTAAAGATAGGTTTCCAGGCAACAAAGCACACACCTGTCGTTGTCCAAGGGTTGTATCATATTTTTTTCTGTTTTGGGTAATGGGAACGTTTACAAGACACCAATATCAATTTAATACAAATCGAATAACATTTGTCGTTTGAGAGTTAACAAGGTGTCAGAAAGTAAAGCAAGGGTCATTACTCTTATAACTAATTAAATAATAAATTTCATATAGATGGAGTGATAACTATTGTTAGCATTTACAGGGTTGTACAAAGACAGAGAGAGAGAGAGAGAGAGAGAGAGAGAGAGGTAGGTTAACGTCCACTAGACACAAACTAGGTCATTTCGGGACTTACAAATGGTTCAATTTTATTTCAATAATTCACTCGTACCTACAGGTCTTTAGTAATGGGAGGAAACCGGAGGACCCAGAGAAAACCCACGAGGTTGGACTTGTGACCTACTCCTTGTCCATAAATCTTAGACGAAATTAACAGAGAGTGTTGAAATCAAGGATAGATGAAGTCTGTTGAGTGTACACTAGAAATTGTGGACTACCGACCAATGAATGTACCAGGATATACCACGTTCATTTCAATGTGGTCCTATAAAAGTCAAATATTATCTTTGAATTAATTTTAATTTACATATCTTCTATAGCACCATACAATTAAGTTATGTAGTTAGGATAGAGCAAGTCAACATCTTTATAGAAACTTTTCAATTGTACTTACCACACATTACCCTAATATTCACATTCATTAACAAAACCATTATAACAGAATTAATCATTTTAACAAAATCACAATATATTCAAATTATTAAAACATGACTGAATAAATGTTAAGATCATACACATTCAAACATACTTGTTTAAAACAAACCAATTAGGTCCAAAAATGATGCAAATGAATTATTCAGTGGTTGAATTATACCCCCCCCCCCCAAAAAAAAAAAAACAACAAAAAAAAAACATGAGTTAATTCATGAAATTAGCAAAATTATTAAGATAAACTGGAAAAGTCTATTTACAGTATCAGTACCTCGTTGCTCAAGTGCCAAATATTAACAAATATCTCCCAATTCTAACCCATTACTACAAAGTACCTTATTGTTATCCAAAACTGACAGAATTCTTCAATTACTTCAAAATCAATGAGTTAATTCCTATAAACATTTGAAATATCTATTTATAGTATCAGTGATTAATGGAACATCTAAACAATGAATAAATAATTTAATTTACACAAATTGACTTGGTCTATGTTTCTTATATAGTCATAGAACAAAATCTATCCAATAAATTGATGTTTGGAAATATTAAGCAGAAGTTAGTTTAACCCGTCAACTGTTGAAAATAAAATCAGCTATATCTCAACATTGGCTCTATCTGTGGATCTTACAATAGACAAATAATCACTTCATAGAACAAATCAAACTTTATAAATCTACACTCTTATTTTTATACCTAAATACAGGTGGTGTAGTCAGATAAGATTAAACCTTCATATTGATTTCATGCCACCATCTTAATGTGTCTTTTTTTCATTCCAAGGTGTATTTCTTTAATATTTATAACACCACTGATTTCACTATATGCACTTGAATACACCACGAATTAAATTAAAGGTTGTAACACATCAAAACTACCTGTACCACATGATACCACTTGTCCTGCAATAATTCTTGATGATGGTGACTTTAATCTATCTATATTACTATGTATACTAGAGTCCACTAAAAATGCCATTGTTGTTTCAAATGTCATTTTTAACAATGGTGAGGAGTTATTTTTTATACCGATTCTATTAAACGGACGAATATTTCCTTCAAATGTCATAAAATCAGATAACAGTGACAGGTGTCTATTGTCTACATAGATTCCATAAGCTCCAAATACATTCTTTAATTCCTGCAAATAAATTAAAATTATTTTATAATATTACATATTTTTACATTTTTGGTAATAGACCATTTTGAGATTTCAGTCTTTTATTATATTTCGATCTTAAAGAATAAGTCTAAAAAACAAAGGCATATGTCATGCAGTGTACTGTGAGGAGAATTTAGCACCATGAGCCACTTTCCCAGGAATTTTCTCGAACAAGATCGAATAATAGAACCTGGGACCTACTTGTTAGTCAGTCAGTACTTTACTTACTAAACCACCATAGCTACAGCCTTAATAACCATTGCTAGCTATGGGAAGTGGCATCAGTTGTTCTAGAAATAGTAAGTATATCCTGTCCATTTTTATAGATGTATATTATACAAACCTGTTGTATTATTCTAGCAGATGCTTCTACACCATACGTTTGAGAAAACAGTTTAAAATTATTACTATATAATTTATTTAAATCTAATATATCAGCATATTTATACATTTCCTGTAAATAAAAACATATTTTTTTCAAAATACATACAAAAGAGAAAGGCAGTATCTGCAAAATAGTCATTTTGAGAAAATCGACTTTAAAGTTTGCCACTTTCTTGCACTCGTAGTTTTCAATAGAATAATGCGATTTTTGGATCATAAGGAAAGATTTTGGTTCTCCTTCGATATAACTTATCGATTTTCATATATTTCTCTGTGGGACTGAGATAATGCAGATACTGCCCATTTTATGACTCTGGATTATTTCCGGTGCCCATTGTAAAACCAAGATGAAAAGCAGTATCTACATATGCCCTCTAATTGTTTCAGTGATGATCGGACTGTTTACAAACTGCATATTTAAGCATAAATATTGTTCTAGACATTTCCACATTTAGTTGAGTCCAAATCCTTGGCAATTTAGATTTACTGCCAACACCAAGGAGAACGGTAGTATTTACTCTTACTGCTTTTCTCTTTAGTTATACCAGGGCAATTTACATTTACTGCCCAAATCTCACTCTGGCTTGTCATAGATGTATCAAGGAGAACGGCAGTATCTACACTTACTGCTTTCCTCCTTAGTTATACCAGGACAATATACATTTACTGCCCAAATCGACACTGTATATCTCTTTACCGAATTGAGATACAGGAATTCAATTTTTACATGTGATACTGCTGATCACAACAATACCAAAAACATATTTTGGCGAAAAGTGTAGATACTGCCTTCTTCCTTTGCACGGCAGCATTGATAAGAAACAGACTTCAGTACTATGCTACTTTATAGCAGACACAGTTTCTCCCTTTTCAGAACAGACAGTCTTTATTACAATTCAACATAAGAATTTTAAATAGACATCTGCATTTGGAAGTTTATAAAAAGCAAAAGTAATTTTATATGCTTGTTGAATCAAAACAGGACTAAGCTCCAAGCAGTCAGCTTCTTTCTTGTGAAACAAGGGAAATAACCCTAATATAGTTCATCAGTCAATATTAAGTATACCTGGAAGTTGATGCCTTCTGTCATTAAATGAAGTATAGATTCACCATTTTCTGTCTGTTCGTTTAAAAATGTTTGGTTGATACCACTAACTGAATGTAATACAACTTTCTTAGCATGTTCATTAACAACTGAGGCAATATCTAGTCTAACATCACTCAGATTAAACTACAAGATAAAAGAAAACCATTTCATTATGTATTAAATCATATGTATTAAACCCACTAAATCATTTTTATAACTACAAATTTCCAAGTACCCCTTGATCAACAGCGATAGCACCCTAGACTGTAGACAATATTAACAAAAAAGACTTCATGCATTTGAATGTCAAGTGGAAGAAAACCCCCTGTTGGCAATCAAAAAATTGTGAATTTCAATAATTCTTTCTTATGCCCCCCTATATCTTTAATGCCTGAAAATTACAAAAAAAGATCCAACAGCATTCACAAGACAAGTAGGAAGGACCAAAGTATTCTGTTGATATTAAATTTGGATATATATAAGAACTTACCTGTAAGACAACTTCACACCACAATTGTTTCTTTGTATCAAATTTATAATCAACAGCTTCAGGACAAGAGGCTAATAAATGCTACAAAAAAACCCAGTATATTACAACTTTTAAATAAAGCATAAATTTATATCTGATAATGAAATAGCAATTAAAGTTACACATCGTCGGTGGGAAATAAAAACAGCACCCATCTTGCAGAAATTTTTTGTCATTACTAACTTGTTGGCGAGATGCCCACAACACTGGCAATATGTTGAGTGGTCAATCGTCATACACCCAGGTAATGTTTTCTTAAATGGCTGCTGTTGATGGCCTTCCAGGATGCAAGTTATCATCAAAGCTCTCTCTGCCGCACTTAAATTCCAAAGCCCATTTCATTTCTATTGAAAAGGAAGGGGCATCATCCCCTAAGGTGGAGATTGCATCAGCATCTATCTGTGTTGGGGTTAATCCTTTCAGTTGCAGGTACTTAGTGACTGCCTTATAGCCAGTTTTGTCCATTTCTGGTGATTTCAATGGCTATGTTCACAAGATGGTTTGGTACGAAGACAATAACACTATAGTTTCAGTTCTTATGTCAATGATTCCTTCAATAATTGTATTTGTTGGTGTCAAAAGTTTGTTTCAACCCAATTGATCTATCCTTTTCAGAATTAGAAGTTAGAACTTTTCAGCCAGCCCTCCTATATAAATGAAGAGCTCCGGAAGAACGATCTAAGTTAGTTTTTCAACAACCCCCAGCTAATGGCGCCATCTGGTAGCAAATTGTACAAGCTTTCTGTGGGACAATTAATTTCAGGTAAAAATGATCGCAGTCACATCGAACCAAGGCCCTTCTGAAATGGCCTTCCGGACAAATACGTCCATCGTACACTTTATTTGACCTTAATTTTGCTGAAAAGTGGAAGTCAGTTGTTGTACTGGTAATTATGATTCATATTAAACATCATAAGTTGTAATTAAACCCATTCGTTGTTCTGTTCGCGTCAAGCATTCTCGTCCAAAAGTCTGTTTTGCCTTCTATGCGAAAAGACACAAATGTGACTTAGATCGTTCTTCCACTGGACTTTTCACATGTAAAATAGTAAATATAAATAAACGCTTGATTTCCAACTTTTTGTCCAGCTTTATTTTCTCTCACAATCTTAGACATTAGCTTTTTAGTTGTTTCGAAAAGAATTTCCCTAATTTCTTCCTTATCACATATTTAGTTTCCATAATCATAAAAGCCTTTGTATGATGCCTTCATTAAGAAAGTTTTGGATATAAATCTTGTATTTTATCCATATCCAAGAATAATTTGGATATGTACATGTAATACAGTGTGAGCTTGGCCCATAAGAACATGTATAATAACATGAATGATGGTGACTAATCTCAAAGCCACCGTTAAAGTGATCCCCTACTGTGGTATTACACCACCATTAATAAAGTGATACCCTACTGTACTTACTTGTATTCTAGCATTAACAGATGTAGAACTTAAAGGTTTAACTGATGTCATTTCAACATCTTTCTGATCATCTTCTACATCCATTCCATCAACACCATCATCTCCCTCATCATTATCATCATCATCTATCATAGAAAGTATACTTAGAAATTAAAAGATTATCTTGTTTTGCTATATCTTCAGAATAAAAGCTAAAAACAAGCATATCGTAACTGTATGTAAATAACCAAACAAGTATATTGTAACTATGTAATAACTGTATGTAAATGACCAAATAAGCATACATTAACTACATAATAACTGTATGTAAATGACCAAACAAGCATATTGTAACTATGTAATAACTGTATGTAAATGACCAAACAAGTATATTGTAACTATGTAATAACTGTATGTAAATGACCAAATAAGCATACATTAACTACATAATAACTGTATGTAAATGACCAAACAAGCATATTGTAACTACATAATAACTGTATGTAAATGACCAAACAAGTATATTGTAACTATGTAATAACTGTATGTAAATGACCAAATAAGCATATTGTAACTACATAATAACTGTATGTAAATGACCAAACAAGCATATTGTAACTATGTAATAACTGTATGTTATGGTAACATGGTAACTATGTAAGAACATGGTAACTATGTAATAACCATCACAAGTATCAAAAACGAAACGAAATATAGATCTGTATTTTAATCAGATTGGCTATGAGGCAAATTTAGACTTGACTGCAGCGCTATGGCCTACTCTTATTTCACATTTCCAACTGTTAAGGGTTCTTTTATATGCATGCCAATATGTACACAGGACCTCAGTATTACGCCCCATCTCAATGACTATAAGTTGTCCCTTGCCAGGCCCTCTGTCCTACATCCCTGACAAGGAGGAACTCTCGATGAATTTTCTCAGCCAACGCAGGGATCGAACACAGGACCTCCAGTTTAATGAGGCAATGTCCTGCTAACTGAGTGACCGTCGTTCCCAACCATAATATCAATAGATATGCTAATCAATAAAGATAAAATGGAAGACAACAAATGAATACATCAAGAAGATAGATAAGGTAGATGACAACAATATAATATTTAGTGTCTAAAAATGATCATGATTAACTTACTTTCATCTTCACTCATTGTAACTTCCCCCTTCTCATTCTCTTCTCCTACATATTCCTGGGTATCTTTCATTCTTTCTTTCTCTTTTACAGCTGTAGCATCGCCATCTCCTTCATCTGCTGATTCTTCATCTTCATCATTATCTAGAGCAGGTGGTATATCCTCATTATCATCATCCAATCGCCTCTTAACATTTCCTGTATCTATTAATCTATAATAAAATATAAATAAACATATCTATCAAGTCTACCATAAAATATAAATGCATGTATCAAACAAACATTCATACTGACATCTTCCCAATGCAGGTATTGCAGATAACACAAAGTAGGCAACTAAATGCATTATGTGTTGGTCTTTTAATGTCTAATTAAAATTGTATCTTTATTTCGTTTCTTCTTGAAGATTTTGATATTCTACACAGGCATCTATACTAATATTTGTGACTGTCGTTTGTTTGTCTGTCTGTTTGTTCAGGGTTGGCAGCTGAAATTTGGTGCATAGACTGGGAAGTATCATAGGCTAGGTGGTGTTGGCCTACCGCTTCTAGTTTTGGAGATTTACTTTCAACCCATACAGTGCAAGGTCATCCGCTAGTAACATATATATATTCAAAGCAGCTACTGCCGGGGTCTTTGGTGATGGTTGTGCTATGCACATGACTTTAGTGAGCTTATAAATAGATAATTGGACAATGGCTTGAGTTTGGAGCAGAAGTATTTTCATTGGCTGTTTACAGAACACAACAAAGAATAAGACACACTGATAAAACTTGTAATGAATCAGGTTAAATATAAAATAATAAAATAAATTAGGAATATTATTTTTATTATGCATGAATTTGAATATTTTGTTGAAACATGATTTTTAATTATGGTCTGCATCTGTCTGCTTAAATAATGATAAGAGTTATGCCCCTTTATTTTTGGTAAAAATGTCCGACAAGAAAATTTTTGAAATAGCAACACTGGTTTGCAGTGCTCTTCCTAAAAATGTTATGATTTCAAAGAGTGATTATTTCTACGGTTTGCACTCCTGTAGTTTATTCTTCAATAAAAATAATTTCATACAAATTATTTAAGTGCTCAAAACTATTTAAGGCCCTTACTTGTTCCTTTTAGACTGTCCCATTCTTTTCCTTATAACATCAACCAGCTGATTAATATAGTAATTCTCTATATAATACAATATAGAGCTAGGTTTTATACTCAGATTATCTTTATAACAAACACGTGGTAAAAACTGATACTTGATGTGATATTTTCTATATCGATTACTGAAATATAAATACATGTATAAACAAATTATAACTGATTGTATTGTATTTCTATATCGATTACAGAAATATAAACATATGGCAAAAACTGATACTTGGTATGATTTTTTTCAAAATCTAATACTGAAATATAAATATAAACATGTGGTAAAAACTGGTACCTGATATTTTCTATATTGATATAAATATAAATATCAACAATTTGTAATCACTTGTATTAAATACAATAAACAAATATAAACATAAAATATTTCTCAGATCTGAAACATAAATATTGACATTTGTAATCATTTGTATTTGATGTGATATGCTGAATAAGCAAAAATATTTCTAACATCTGAAGTATTAAATATATAGTAACAATAGCACTTGATTTATTACAGAAATATCAACACTTAGAAGTTGGCATTTGGTGTGATATTTTCAATATCTACTAATGAAATATAAATATAATCACACACCACCCACCATCTAGATGTTATTCTGTACTTAACTGGTCTGAAAGAAATTAATTTTCCTAAATTTCACAAGCAGTCACATGTTGAATTAGGTCCGAAATTCTCTGTGTTAATCAAGATCAATTTCCATCTTACTCTATCATAAAACCATTGAAAAAACATTTGAAGAATAAACTTACAACATTGTTTGTCCTTCTATTGACATTTCTTCTCTGATCTGTATGTCTTTTAATACCTATAAATAATAAATAAATATCTATCAACATAAACAAATTCTTATAAATATTCGGTAATATCAAATCAATACCAAATAAAGACATGTAAACAATAAGGTATTCATCATAGTCCATATTATATAGATCAAATGATTCGGTAAATGGGCTATTTTAATAGTGAGCCACGGTGACAAAGTGAGTAAGACACTAGCTCGCTAGCTTGGAGGTTGTAAGTTCGATCCTTGTGTTAGCTGAAAAAGTTCATCGTGATTTTTCAGCGTGGTTTTTTGGCATGTATGTAAAATATCTCCTGGCAGTTGGAATTTGATATAAGAGTACCCTCATAGCACACTGATTGGCGTATGCCGGATGCCCGTCTTCATTAGCCCAATCGGAGCAGAACAGTAGGACGTTAAACATCCCATTTCATTTCATATTAATAGAAAAATTTAATCATACCTCAGTTAATCTAACTTTAGACAGGTTTTTCTGTAAGTTTTTAGCAGCTGCTCTAGCTTGTGGTGTATTATGTACTGGTATATTCATAGCTGGTGTTTGTATATTCTCACTGGCTGTCATCAATATCTCACGTAATCTAGGAATACCTAATGTCATGTTCATCTCACCACGACCAGCAAAATGAAATGTGTTTAATGTCATCTGAGTTGATGGTTCCCCTATAGACTGCAAAATCAACAACACTTTTATCAGACCAATTGATATATAGACTGCAAAAAAACAAGTGTTATCAGACCAATTGATGTATAGACAACAAAAAAAAACAAGTGTTATCAGACCAATTGATATATAGAATAAGCAGTAAAAAATATCACCAAATTTATACTGTTTGTTGTAAATGTATAATATTTAACAAAACATGAATAGATTTCAAAAATATTATCTAAAACAATGTACCCTTTAGAGCAAGCGAACACTTCCACAGTTTATACAAATAAAAATAGCTTGTTGAATAACTGTTATATGATTGTCTGTGTAGATAGTTTCTCACTAATAAATGAACATAATATATGAGGTTTTTATGTGGATTTTACCTGAGCACACAATAAACCAACAGCTTCACCTGGCTGAGCATAAGACTGTTGTAATTTACTTCCAATTAAACATTCAAATTCATCTTTATTATATACATCTGATATACCTAATTCTTTTATCATCTAAAACAAAATATATATAAAATATATATATACAGCTGATATACCTAGTTCTATTATCATCTAAAACAAATACATCTAATATACCTAGTTCTTTTACCATCTATACCAAAATATATATACATTAGATTATATTAATAGACTTATTTCAAAAGCAATTACAAACTGAAGATATCCTAATTCACCTGCCGAGTCAATTTCATATTCAGAGTATTATTCTTATTCCAAACCAAGGAAATGAAATCTTTTTAAAATCTTAGCTTTTCCACCAATCAGAACTACTAAAAATATTTTGATTGCCAGGCCCTCTGTCCTGTACTGTTGACAAGGAAAATGCAGAGGAACGTTCTCTGTCAATAACAGAATGGAATCCGGAACCTGTGCAATACTCACCAAATTCCAAGAATATAAGTTCACAGGTTGTGAGTTAAAATAGAAATCCTTTCACATTTTCTATTTTCAATTGTCATTTTAATGTAAATAATAAACAAACCAAAGAACACACTTACATTATCAAACTGTTCTGTATAATATTTATCTATAATATAATCTAATCTCTCTGATCGTACATTACCATCTTCATGTGGCCATATTTCACTTAATACAGGATTAGGACAAGGTGATGCTTTCTTCATGTATCTGTTTATTAAAGGAACAAAATCTTACAGAAGAGATGCATTTTTGATTAAGGAAAAACAAATCAATATATAACTCTGTAGTTGCCTTTACTCTGGCTTGAAGTTCCATAAAAAATGCATTTTGTAAGATTTAGAAACATAGTTGGATGGCTGAATGGTTAGCGTGCGCGCTGTATCATAAAGTCTGTCATTGAGTCGACTCGGTTGTACGTGACAAGGAGTAGGGTCACCTGTCCAGCCTCGTGGGTTTCCTCCCACTGCTAAAGTTCCCTACGCTCAAGCGAATTATTGAAATAAAATTAAACCATATGTTAGTCCCGAAATGACCTAGTTTGTGTCGAGTGGACGTTAAACCCCATTTCTCTCTCTCTCTCTCTCTCCATTTAATTTTATATTAAAGCCACTTACTTTTCTTTTTGATTCTCATCTAAATTTCTCCATTCTTCACAAAGTTTAGTACTAGCTTTAAACCGACCATTTTTCATGGTTGATGTTCTATCTTCTTCAGTGACCAGTTCATCTCCTTTCTTTCGACAAAATATCAGGAAACCAGAATCATACTTCTTTTTTACTTCTGGATTATTAGATTTCTTCCATTTCTTTATCTAAAATGACGCAGAGTTTAGTGTAAGTTTATACTTTATATATACTATGGGTGACACATAGTTACAATTTATTGCTTAATGGCTCTATATAAACCATTCTCCATGACACCAACGGGATACTCAAGTGAAATGATATAACATTTCTGCACCAACCGAGCTAATGAAGATGGGAATACATCATAAAGTAAACTATGATGGAAAATTTGACAGGACATCAGGGTTATGACTTACTCTTCTTTCATTACATCTTTCATGTGATCTTTAATGTGCCTGCCAAAGACACTTCATTGAACATTCAAGATTTGCACCACCTCAAGAATTTGAAAGGTTTCAATCAAGTAAACATCAGAATTTGGGGGTACAAGGCATGCATCAACTAATACTATATCTTGATCGATCATCATATATAGCTGACACGTATGATTACTCCACGATTTAGCTCCTACCACATACGTTTTAGGACGGACAGAACTGTATCAAAATACAATTGCCCACATCTCTCCACCACTGGCATATTTAAATAGAATAGCCCTAACATGATTTGTTAAAAACATCAAACAAATTCTTACTCTTTTCTGCAGCTTTTTAAAGTGTTTGTGTTTATCAGGGTTTGATTCTATAGTATGTTGTTGTACTGCAACACGATTCTCTACCAGGAATGGAAATTGTTTTGGTTGTAAAAATGGCGTTTGCTGGACATCTAAACCATCTTCTCCATAATAAAACTAAAACATAAAACAAAAATAAACCATAACATATCTGTTAGCTGAAACCATAAAAGGTTCCTAACAAGATAGGCATAACCAATAATTCACAAGCAGAACTTAAAAATCGAGAATGAAGCACCTGAATGATAATTTTTAAATGTCATCCATAACTGTAGTTATAAAATGCCATAAAGAATGGATATAAAATAGAATAGGGTTAAACAACTTAATTTTCTTCACAAACTTGGCTCATGAAAACTGGTAAAATTGTACAATGAAGGAAATTTTGACCTGACAATGGGCATGGCATTTCAATATACTCTTCATCAAATTCCTTGTTCCTCTACATGCACACCAAAGACTATAACTGGTCGACCTCATACTTCCTCCTTTACACCCACATCAAAGACTGTAAGTGGTTAACCTCATTTTTAATCACATCTGAACGACAAGATGCTTATGTTTTTGCTAGACCATTCATCCAGCACCTCCTGACAAGGGGAACCCAGATTGGGTATAACACCTTCTAAATGTTTAATATAATTACCTGTACTATACTACCATCACTATCTCTAACACTTAGATCATAATTAACTATAACACCTTCTAAATGTTTAATTAAACATCTTTGTAGATATCCACTACGGCTAGTTTTAACAGCTGTATCTACCAAACCCTGTTAGAAAACATCAGATAAAATATAGTACTACAACATTAATTCATTATTTCTCTTAGTTCCAAAGACAAGATCAGTTTATTAAATTTTTTATTCTTCAAGGGTTTTGTTAAAGGTACAGTATTCCAGATTTAGAGAAAGAGTGGGCAGTTCTTGCCATAATAGTTCAAAAATAGATAATGAGAAATAAATACATGGAAGATTTCAGGCAAGAAATAGCCATTGATTGCCAATCAATGGCAGACAGAAACTGCAACTACAGTTGAACTTTTCGACTGTAAAGTACCACTGTGATGATAATAAACAAAGTCTCAATTGTCAGTCCTTTTATCGACAGTCTTTGTTAGTGATGTCATTCATTGCAGCAATATTTTGGCTTGCCTAGCCATATAAGCATTTAATTCAGATGTGGCAGGTTTTTTCTACTGCATTCAATATCTAAGCCATCCAATGTTCTAGAAAGTTGATTATGGGCTTGCCATGTGAATAAATGTCTAATACCTGTTACATAATGCATCTTTAGTACCCAGGAAACATTATACAACACCAAAACCTTTCAACAGTACATTTAAACAATTTGAAAATAAACCCACCTCTCTACCAGCCATACAATGGAAGAAATATTCCTGTGGTCTGATTCCAGTAAGAAATCGACCAGAAACAAAACCACCTGCTTTAGGTGAAGTATCATATGGTAAAAATGATGGTAATGTACTACCATTAACCATTAAAGGTGGTCGTCTACCTTCTAACTCAATCTGTCCTAATAAACAAGATATCTGCATACAGTTTACCTGAAAGTATAACCCATCTTAATGAAGTTTTTTAATAAAACAAAAAGAAGAAATGGCCGACAAGCAGCTAAAATACAGTTTACCTAAAAATATAAACCGTCTTAATTCATCTTCTCGAAATACATTAACGGTTTATAATAAAACAAAAGGATTAACAGGCAATGGAGCACTGGCAGCTAAGATGTTTATATATGTATATCACTACTACATTATGGTTCCCGTTTTTATTGTGTATCCTGATTTCGTGAGTAAAACCTTGTGTTACCTACCATAGAACCTTTAGCACCAGATAAAACCATAAGTTGTAGATTATTATCAGGAAATTTTTTCTCTAATCCACCAGGCATACAGACACTGAAAAAATATGTACAATAACCTTCACTTTGTATTTGGTATTTGACTAATTTATAAATAAATTCAAATAAGTTCTGGTTACAATTGTTAAAGTGGTCACATTAACCCTTGTGTTTGGATTAGTTTTTGTTTTTAAAACCAGTTAATATGACATAGGTCTACTTTACAAACCATGTTATTAATACCCGATATCTACCACAGTTAATTATATCTGAAGTTTGGTTGTTTGTTAACATTAGTTCTTGCAATACTTGTTTTAAAGGGACATGAAATAGTCAATTTCATTCAATCTTTCTTATAGCTTAATTCCCCTTAAGTTCGAATTATAATGAATATTAAAATTTGAGCTCAATCAGTTGACAATATATAATTTTTCATGGTTTATATCCATGCTTTATGTACTCAAATGGATTAACATCTGAATAATAAAACAAAACATCACCACCAGATAATCTTGGATTTAATAGGATTAAAACGAGGTCAATCTAAAGATTTTTACCCAAAAGTTATAGATGATGCTGGTTTAATTATATAGTCAGCAGACGATGCAGAATGTTGCAATGTTTTTCAATTCATTATACTGAACAAAATTGATCATTTTTAAACTGATACTCCTGTTAGATACTCGACATTCAAAATTTGTAGGGATTTAAAATGACTTAACCCTTCCTGAGCTAACCACTTCATACCCATAGAGGGCTATGCAAATATTGAGTAAAAATCAAGCTTTAGACCCTGTTGTGAAAAACCATGCATACCTTGAATATGAATGCGACTACAACTGTAAAATTGCAAATGTATATCCATTATATATGACTTGGGATTTTTGCATATGTTTAGTTTAGATTTTATGGTTACTATGGTTACCAGTGTGTTTCAAAATGGCTGCCATATTATTGTCATAAATGAAATATTGGATATTTTCTTGTCATTAAAAAATTCAAGATGGTCAGGAATAAAGCTATTTTGATTATTAACATGATAGATATCTCTTTTGTAAGAATAGTATAGGTTTTTGGGGAAAAGTCACTAAATTGTGATAATAATGTTTTTTTCTAAAAATAATAAAATGTAAACGAGCAGTATTGACAATTTTGCGGTCGGCAACACACATATAAAAATCATCAGTAACAAGTTTTTATTAACAATAAAATAAAAATAAATTAAATATTTGGAAAATAACAATAATATATACCGAAATATTCACATTAGGGTTGCCATGGTAACCAATTTGACCATATCATATACGTCTATATTGGTAGCGATCTACGTGCGCGACTGTATAAAAGCAGACGAATAATTTCCTCCGGAGAAGTCTCCCTTTTTTGTTTCTTTACTTTGTGACAAACATCTGAATTTTCATCACAAGAAGAATCCCCACTAATAGTATAGTCACTACCCGAATCCAATATAGGCGTGACGTCATCGACATCGGGACTCACGGCTAAATTCAGCCGAAGTCTTTTTGTTGCGAAGGACGCCATTCCTCGGCTGTTCTGACTATTGATGGTTGTTCCGTCAATAGAGGAAACCCCCTCGTAATAAAAACTTGTGTTATACACCATCTAAGGTTAAAACCATGCTTTTACAGGGGAGTAAACCAAGTTAAATAAACTTCCCCACTATCGTCGGGTGCCGCTCTGACAGACTATAAAATAATCGTCGGGATTAGCTCAGGAAGGGTTAAATGATTCTCAGCACTTGTGAGTAGTTTACTAAAACTAGAATGTTATTGCAACTTATTAGATTTCTCCTTTTTAATAACTTATTTTTCTGTTGTTATTTATTTGTCAGACAAACAATTACTTTCCTAACCATAAGGATGTCTGATCTTTCTAATGCTACTAATGTTGGCATATTTATAAAACAAAAAAACTCAAATAACTTAGTTTGTCAATATGCTCCTAATGATAATTAAAAACCAATTAAAACCCATTCACTTACTTTGCTATTTTATTTTGTACAACATCAGTTTTACTTTTCATACTAACGTCTATCTCTCTTAAACCTCGATCATCTGTTGTATTATAATGTGCACTCCTCCATCCTGCCAACATTTCTTCTTCACTAACACTATCTTGTAAACCTAGTGCTTTTTTTACAGCCTCCATACCTACCCTTGGATACTTTCTTATTATTTTAGATCTTTTCTTATTAGCCTACAAAATAATACACATTTCTATTTTAATTAATTACACTGCTTATGTTGTCAATCTAATTAAAACACAGATCCAATTTCATTTCGTTTTTATAGTTCAAAATTTCGATTTTACTTGTCTTTACTACACTTGGATCTGGAAGCGTTGTTATTTAACTCGTGTTCTGCTTGAAATGAGGGGTCAGCCAATCAAATGGTCTGTTGAATCGAGCATTTGACCTTTGTTGCGCGGAACTGTGGGTAGACATTAGCGGCAATAGAAATCAAAACAAAGCAAAAGTAGACAAAAAATACATGGCGGTCGCTAATTGGTTGTCGAATGACTGACGTAATCGGGTCAAATGTCGCTTGCTTGGTACCTGACGTCATAGAACGTGAACTCCCACTATAACTTGTTAGATCTACATGCAGTGTAAGCCATCGAAAGCATAAAAAACAAAACGAAATATAGATCTATATTTTAATTAGATTGCTTATATTGTTTAAGCAGTATTTAACAAAGACAAAGACGAGAGAACTTGCACTGAATTGTCAACAGAAATAAACATGTAAGTAACTTGTATTCCATTTAATTGTGTCATGTTTTGCTTATCTTGCTTATCTCATTAAAGAAGACAGAATATGAAACCTATTAAGCTGAATGGCTTGACTTTTAACGTTTGATCTTATGATTAATTCTGTAAAGTTGCAAAAAATGTAATCAAGGCAGCAGCAATTCAAAAATACTATTTATGTGTCTTCACCACAGGATTTTAATTGCTACCTCCCAAATTGTGTATGAATGAAATCAGGTTAAGTGTCCTATTTTTCTGCTCTAATTGGGCTAACAAAGACATAGTCTAGGTGATTGGGGTGTGCAATCCTGGCTAGGTTTTTATGAATTGAAATTATCTGCTGAATCCATCCTTAGCTTTTATTTTACCAAAATTGCATGATTTTGACTGGTAGGTGGCAATTGTTTTTGTGAAAAATTTTGAGGTAGGGGAAACAAAAAGTGGCAAAAATAAGCAACTATCCAATATAAAACAATGATCTACCACTACAAATGTTTGTAGTAAATTCCTCGCATAAAATCAACAATATGCAAATTAGCATTGTTATTAAGTCATCAGAGGTCAAAAGGTCACAAAAAGTGGGTGCTACTTGATATCTGCACTCCATCCTACAGAGCCTATGAACCTGTAATGCCTTTTCTTAAAAATAAGGTCTGGATTAGCAAGCCGAGAGGTATTATGTACTATTAAATGAAAAGTAATGAAGAACAACATATCATTTTCTTAGCAAATGGTAATGAAATGGAATGTATTTATTTTTGAACCGCTTTTCAAAGAATAATTAGGCAAAAATTATGTGCAATACAAAACGATCAGCCACCCAAAATATTTATATGGAGGCATTCAATCAATATAACCCACCAGTATACAAGTTGGGGATGTGTGTAAATAACAAAAGGTTTACAAAGTTAGTCAAACCACTGGTAAGTGCGTCAAGTGTTAAAAACCAAACCATACAGGATCGACATCACTCAGTCAAATTTCCGATCATCTTCATGGTCTAATTCATCCGAGTAGAGCTATTTTCTGTGACAACACAGGATACAAAGCACATGTGTATCATTACAGCGAATCACAGCTACTGTATCAGGAGATAGACCAATAGAATACTTCAGATGTAATACAATTCTAGTGTCAGCTTCATCAAGTTCATTTCTCGTACTGTTGATAGTGCATCTGAGAACAGACCCATTATGAGCAGTGATCTTCAGGAATTTGTTTCTGCAGCTAACATACAGAGTGTGCGAGTTTTTAAGCTGGTGTTTGTAAGACTGTCAGAAACACCTAGCACCCTAAAGCATAAACAGACCCCCAACTGTGTACACAATGAGACGATCTTTCAAAACAGTGTTACCAATGTTCTACCACTACGGGACGATCACTTGAACAGCGGCTAGAAAAATATCAAAGGAGGTTTAACGTGTCTTCAACACAAAGTAGGTTATTTTAGGACTAACATATGGTTAATTTTATTTCAATAATTCCCTTGCACATAGAAGTCTTTAGCAGTGGGAGGGAACTGGAGGCCACAAGAGAACACACATGAGGTTGGACAGGCAACCAAACTCCTCGTCACATACAAGCAGGGAATCAAAACCATGCCACTTGAGTCAATGACATGCATTAAACCATTTTACCAACTAACATTTCGAAAAAATCACAGTAATTTGCACAGTTCTTTTTTTTTTAAAAAACTGTGATGTGTTTACACAAATGATTAAAATTCTCACCTTTTTAGTAACAAGAATATCAGCCACACCTAATGTAAATCCACGTAACTTGAGATGAGCGTTAAATAATCTTCCTAAACATGACAGCAAGGTACCAGCTACACCACCACCATATAGCTAGAATATACATGTTTTAATATAACACCAAGTTCACCATTTCACTTTGGCAATAAAAAGATTGTATTATAACATTAAAACCATGGCAATTGAAATTTTTTTTTTCTAAAATCTAAATACGACTTACTGACAGCAATTATGCAGTAAAAAATAGATGTTAACATGAAAGGACCATTCAAGAGAGGTATGAATGTGTATGTTTTGAGTGCTAAGACCAGACGTACTAAATGTACTTTATGTATGCTTCGTGAAACCAGCCTTTGTCTTTATAAATCAAATATGAGCATAGTGCGGCTTGTATTAACAGAATAATCTACTAAACTTTGGTAGCTAACATTAACTTTGCTTCTATTGAACTCTTGGCAGGTCAATGACTAATAATACTACAAGATGTGTTTTATTGTAGTCATGTTCAGATGTAAAATAATGGGCAGATTATAATCAATGCTTGGGCATTCACTAATTAAGTCTGGATAAAATGATCTAAAACCAAGTCATGACAATGCTCAATTTGTTTTTATTACATCAAATTAACTTCAAGTTATATGTTAATATATGTTTCTTTTGTATTCATACACATACTCTGTTTACACTCAAATTGCAACGTTCAAATCTTAACAAATCCTACTCACCTCATAACAACAATGAACTAGACCAAAAGGTGTATTACCATAATGACCTTTATCTAAAACACCTTGTAATAATTCACCGTGTCTTATTATAACTATTGATTCACCTAATGATGCCAATTTATCATCTATATTTGATTTCATTTTCTCCCAATTCTACACAAAAACATAAAGATCATATTGATATATTAGCTTTAACTTGTACATTTTCTCCCAATTCTACACAAAAAAAAACATAAACAAAATATAGATATATTGGCTTACCAACACTGGCCAATTTTAACATTGTTTTATTCTTTAAACTATTGTATTATGTATGAAAACTACAAATATTATTCAGAAATAAAATGAAATGGGGTTTAACGTTCTACTGTTCTGCTAATGAAGATGGGCATATGCCATGCAGTGTGCTATGAGCCTACTTTTAAATTGAATTACAACTGCCAAGGGATCTTTTATGTGCAGACCAATGTATACATGCGGCCTTGGATTTCGTCACATCTAAACGATTTTATGTCCAACATGCCAGAATAAAAGTTAACTACACAGAGTGTAAGACTATTTTATTCAAACAGCATTTAATCCTAATATTATATTCAAATCATTCAATACTAACTAAAGTTTCTATTTATTCCACAGCACCATCTTTATATTAGACAAAATATAGTAATAATAACTGCACTATCCTATTCGTACAATCTAGCCTATTCTATAAGTATTTTAGCACCAGATTTCAGATTAAAATAGTGCATATATTTACTTCTGAAATATATGTACAAATTCTGGTTTGTTGTTACTTTAACATATTGATATATTATTACACAGGAATCAACATGATTATAAAATAAGTAATGTTAAAACTCTACCTTTTCTCCGATCTTTGCAGTACCATTTAAACTAAGAGGTTGACATCCTTCAGGTATAATATTTAACAACACTGTAGATAATACCTGTATTGGGTGAAATCAATAATAATCTATTAGACTATTTATAATTCATATAAGACCTGGCATACTAATCATAAGGTCTAAGGTTCTATCCTGTATTGGTTGAGATAGTTTCCTGGGATTTGTCGGGCGGGTTGGATGGCTGAATGGTTAGCGTGTGCACGCTGTATCATAAAGTCTGTCATTGAGTCAACTGGCATGGTTTCGATTCCCCGGTTGTACGTGACAAGGAGCAGGGTCGCCTGTCAAACCTCGTGGGTTTTCTCCGGGTCCTCTGGTTTCCTCCCACTGCTAAAGACCCCTACGCGCAAGCGAATTATTGAAATAAAATTAAACCATATGTTAGTCCCGAAATGACCTAGTTTGTGTCGAGTGGACGTTAAACCCCATTTCTCTCTCTCTCTCTCTCTCTCTCTCTCTCTCTCTCCTGGGATTTTTCAGAGTTATTCCCCCTTATAAGAGGTACAGGATGAGAGTCTGGCAAAGAACAGCATCTAGTTGTCCAAATAGGACGGAAAAATGGAAGGCCTGTGTACATGTTAGCGTGCACATAAAAAAACCCTGACAATTGGAATTCAAGAGCTGTCCGGGCAAAATTGTCTTCATAGCCTGGATGATGCAGAAAAGTAGTAAGTAAAACACCATTCATTCATTCATTACAATTGATATATCTCTCAGGTATTCTGAGTTATGATGTAAAACTGACCATTAGAGACAGTTACATATTTCTTAATAACATACAACACAACTTGTCATGTAATAGAATTAATAACACTACTCTACAATACATCTGTATGTTTTATTTCTGATAAGTAAATAAGTAAATACCTGTTTTCCCGACCAGAGTTTGTGTGGACGTATAATAGTTGGTGGCAGTGTTTTAACTTTACCATATTTATCTGATAAAGCTGAATATACCATATTAAAATAGTCACCTCTATAACAAAACAACAAGCCAACAGTAAGGTAGATCCCAAAATAAATGGATGACACTGAAAAGTGTCGAGCTATCAAACTGACGATCTATACTTAGTCTAATCAGAAAATGTTCACTGTCGAACTCAGTCAAGGTTTTGGAGTACTTGGTAGTGAAACTCTACCCTAAGTTTCATCAATCTCCATACGTTGAATTAAAGTTATCTTGTCCCAAAGCATCCACCAATGAAATTGCTTAGCTTTAGCGAAAAATGTTAATCATTGAACTCAGTCAAGACATTCACCTAATGGAACATCTAGTTTAAACAAAAGTAGAGTTGTTATGTTCCAAAGTCTCAACCAATCAACTTCCTTATCTCTGCTTAGCCTTAGTGGAAATTGCAAATTATTGAACAATGTCAAGGCATTCACCTAATAGACATCTACACCAAGTTTGAACATTCTACCTCAATTAGAAGAAGAGTTATTGTGTTCCAAAGTCTCGACCAATCGGACTGAAGTCTATACTTACCCTGAGCAGAAAATGCTCATTATCGAACTTAGTCAAGGTATTGATGTAATGAAACTATACACCCAAGTTTCATCACTCTCACTTAATTAGAACTAAAAGTTATTGTGTCCTCAAGCATCAATCAATCAAATTGCCTACATCTGCTTAGCCTTAGAAGAAAATACTCATCTTCGAACTCCATCAAGGTATTTACCTAATAAACACCTGCACCAACTTTTAACATTCTAGCTCAATTAGGAGGAGAGTTATTGTATCCCAAAAAGTGTGACGGACGGGCAAACAGACCCATTTTAATAGTCGCCTGCTTTCTTCGAAAGGCGGGGTACATCAAAATTATAATCATGAAGTTTTCTTAAAAACTTAAAATCAAATTCATCAGGTTCTTCTATAATAATAATTTACATAATATAAATTTTATAGTAGAAGTTGATTTAAGTGCTATATATTCAGTTCAAACTAACTCTGTAGTTGTATCAATCAGACACCGATTTACATTTAACACAACAGAAGTGGCGGATGTAACAGTATACATACTTTTCACCACTTGCTCAATTTATATTTTGAATATTGGGTTGGAATGATTGTACATTACCATTATTGATACCATGTGAACTTGTATTATTATAACATACATATTGAAGAATCTACCAATGTGATCTTGTATTATTATAACATACATACTAAAGATTCTCCCATCTGATTGTGTATTATTATAACATACCTATTAAAGAATCTACCACGTATAGTTAGAGCTACACCTGATACCATGTGATCTTGAATTAACCCAGCTAATGGTGCACCATCTTTAGGTGCTAAATACTGATAATCTGTACTTGCTGTAAGTAGAATAAATATACACCCTACACTCTTACCAGAGAGAGAGAGAGAAATGGGGTTTAATGTCCACTCGACACAAACTAGGTCATTTCGGGAATAACATATGGTTCAATATTATTTCAATAATTTGCTTGCGTGTAGGGGGTCTTTAGCAGTGGGAGGAAACCGGAGGACCCGAGAAAACCGAAGAGGTTGGACAGGCGACCCTACTCCTTGCCACAAGCAACTGTTGGAAGGCAAACCACCTAATTAGGTTCTATTGTACCATGGATACTCCCTAACTTTTTAGCACAGATCTTATTAAGACTTGCACACTTGTTCCATGTGTAAAATAACCCAGAGGACACATAAGTCCGAACGTTTGTTGTGTAATAATGAAGATACAAGCAAACGAGAAGGTTTCCCCAACTTAGATCACTTATGACGTTGTATACATCGGTCACATGATCTGCAGTAAACAATCATGGCTGCCTCCAGCAACAGTTTTGCACTGAACGAAGTATCTACCAGAAGGAATTCCCTCTATGACGCGATTATCCTGGTCTACCATCTATCACAATCAAGCAGCGGAGTAGTGCACTGAAGTAAATATTTACTTTTTACATCCGAATTGTCAGTAGGATGGTAACCCCGTTTTTGGTGTCGAAATGTCGCTAATAATTCCTACTTTCGATCGATGGGATTATTGATATCTCTCTTTAACATGAACTTATAGAATTTCAAAGAAAACCCATCATTTTTTAGCATTTCGCGGCCTTTAGCCAAAAAGTTAACCATAGGTTGTTGTTTTTTTAATTGTAATTAGCATTGTTCATGTCACATTTGATAAAAATCCATGCAGGCATAACTAAGAAAATTTGACTTTTGTTGTCAACAGTACCCTTTATTATCATGCCTTTGGGCCAATTTTATTTATATAGCCTACTAAGGTAAAGAAAGAAATTATTTACCAAGGGAATAAGCCTCTGATCTTGCCATCTCATTTTGTGGAAAATGTGCATTCATTTCATCTCCATCAAAATCTGCATTATAGGCCTTACAGTTAGCATAGTGCATTCTTAACGTTTTCTGTCCAGGCAGTATTCGAGCCTGAAAATATTCATACAAAATAAAATGTAATTATATTCTGGACTCATAGCAATAACCTAACTACTTGGTTTATGTAAAGTAAACTTACTTTATGAATCTGAATACTGGGATTATGTAAAGTAAACATTCTCTATGAATCTGAATACTAGGTTCATGTAACATAAACTTACTCTATGTATCTGAATATTGGGTTTATTTAATGTAAACTTACTCTATGAGCCTGAATACTGGGTTTATGTAAAGTTGGTTGACGATTTAATAACATAACATCTCCATTCTTCAGATGACGATAAACCTATCAAAGCATAAATACAATTCATATACACACTTATTCCAAAATACAATTTACATGGTCAGCAATCTTTTAGTTATCAAGCACCTGTTTTATGGCATAATCTTCTATTTAGTTTAAGATGTTGTACATCTCTATATTCTTTTAAAAAACAACTTAAAACACATTTATTTAATCCGGCTTTTAACTGACTCTGTATACAATTGTCACTTTGTCATCATCATCATCTTTTTAAGATAAAAGGGAATAATTCATGTCATGAATAAAGTAGAGTATATCCATGAATGTCTGGAAGGAAGCAGACCATGTTCATGAATGTCCCGAGTGATGACAACTATTTCATCTGTTAGTTTAACAGATGTGGTCTGTGGTCTGTTACTCTAATTATAAAAATATATATTTTTGTCAATAAATTATAAATGATTCTGTGATAAAATATTTGTACCTTTTTACAGCCCAGAAGAGATTTGGATGTAGATGATGGTGTTAATAGTTGTTTAGCTATAGCTTCTCTCTGTAACTGATCAGTTGGATGTAATTTCGTTAAAAATCCATCTTCATTTTCAACATATAACGCCCTAAAATAAAACAGATTCAAATCAAAATATATTTGAATGGATATCACTTATGAGCAAGATATAATATATGAACATGAAAGCACAGCAAGAAAAACAGGAAAATTCTAAATCATTCCCGATATGTTACCGGGTATATTATATCAACACTACAATGAAAAGAGTGTTTACAAGGGCATTGGTTATCGGGTATCATGGCCAAACTCTAAATGGCAAAAAAGCCATAATATGTCTATGAACAGTATACATTGGAATATTGCCTTCTTTCAAAATTTCAACACGCTCTTTTTATAGTGTCACATTTTATAGTACTCCATTTATAGTATTACCTTTATATTACTACATTTATAGTATTACAATTTATAGTATTACAATTTATAGTATTACATTTATAGTATTACATCTTATAGCTAGTATTGCATCTTATAGCTAGTATTACATTGTATAATATTACACTGTATAGTATTTCATTTTATAGTATTACATTGCATAGTATTACATTTTATAGTATTACATTGTATAGCATTATATTTTATAGTATTATATTTAAAAACTAAAAAATAAAATACTATAGAAATTACATCTTATAGCTAGTATTACATCTTATAGCTAGTATTACAATGTATAATATTACACTGTATAGTATTTCATTGCATAGTATTACATTGTATAGCATTATATTTTATAGCATTATATTTAAAAACTAAAAAATAAAATACTATAGAAATTACATCTTATAGCTAGTATTACATCTTATAGCTAGTATTACATTGTATAATATTACACTATATAGTATTTCATTTTATAGTATTACACTGCATAGTATTACATTTTATAGTATTACATTGTATAGAATTATATTTTATAGTATTATATTTAAAAACTAAAATACTATAGAAATAACATTTTCATTTCCCCAAAATACATCTCATATTTTCACCAGTCCCCAACCATAAAAAGATGAAAACTACATATCTAAAAGATAAATTTTCTGTTCTTTAAATAGAACTCAACAAAAAAGACTTACCCGGGATGAATCAAAGGTCCATTAATAACAGCTTGACGTAGTTCATGTATATTCCATGGTGTAACAGGTTGTGGGTAGGACAGACGGGTAGCAAATACAAGAGGTACTCCAACTTCATTGGTATTTAAACATGGATCAGGGGAGATAACTGAACGACAAGCATAATTAACTCGCTTTCCCATCATATGCATTCTAAACAACCCAGTCTTTTTCTCAAATAACTGAAACAAATAAATAATATACATTTCAAATCTGTCTTTTTTTCTAAAGAATTAATTCTAGGTACATTAAATATTTCTTGATTAATTTGTAGCATATGAATCAAGTACAACACCAGTACCAGAAACTCCTCGTTTTTCTAACCTATTGTATCATTCTAGGTTAATTATTATAAAGTTTAAAACGACACACAGCAGGGGCGCAGATCGACCAAAATTAGTGGTGGGGACAGTCCATGCGCGGGCGACTATTGGTAAAGAGGGGGGGGGTCCTTCCCCGAAATTTTTTGAAAACTAGACGCTCTAAAACGCACTCTGCGGGTATTTTCAGTATCATTTTCTGGCAAACAATTCTAATCCCTGAGGCAGCAAATGATACGAAATCTAATCTTAAGAAAAATCTTCAAGCCACCGTTCACGATTTATTCTCTCATGTACACTACAAGAACTAGAAATGTTTACACTACTGAGATTCCAGCTCCGCCTCCATTCCCAGTAGTGTTCGAAGACTACTTGAGTCTTTGAGCAAAATGTGTATTCCATTGGATACACAAATGTACAGGCCTACAAATCTTTTAATTTATATAAACTAAAACAAGCCACACACACAGCTAAACATATCAATATTCAATCTCATTTGAAATAAATGTAACATTTTACTATATTATTCATTGGTGATTAAAAATCAGATGGCAAAGGCGAATTTTCCCACGTTAAAATTCAAAAATGGTGACCACATTGAAATAATAACGTTTTGCTTTTTTTAAAGTTAAATCTAGCTGTTTATATTGTTCCCATAGCTATTTTAATGATTCACATAGTACCAGTTGTATTATATTATCTATTTTGAATGTGACAGTGGTGATGTTATGTTAGAAATTGCGTGTTTGGAATTTTATAATTTGCGTGATTTATCATCCAGTATACCAGATAAAAAAAAAATCTCAGTTATTCCTTAACCCTTTAATACCCAGCGTATCTATGGTGGCTGATTAGTATCATGTCGTGATGTCGTGATGTCGCCCTTTATAAGGCGACAACCCGACATCACGACATTTTAACCCGAAACCACCACGACAACCCGACATCACGACATTTGTAACCCGACACTACGACATTTATACCCGACACAACGACATTGAAAATGTCGTATTGTCGCGTAAAAATGTCGTATTGTCGGGTTGTCGTGGTGTCGGGTTATCGGCCATAGTATAATTATATACACTGATCCTGGTGTTGGTCAAGAAAGTTCCCCGGGATTTTGCAGCGTGGTTTCTCCCTATCTGTAGTGCAGGACAAAGGGTCTAGCAAAGTACAGTGTCTAGTTGTGTAGATGGGACAAAAACCACGCTCCTGTGTACTTATTGGCGTGCACATAAAAGAATCCTTTACAGTTGAATTTCGATGAAGAAATGCCACAGTCCATTGAATATATCCGTCATAGCACTCCGCATAGTGTATGCCTATCTTCAATAGCCCGATTGGTGCAGAAAAGAAGGAAAATTGAATGAAATGAAATTGTGTTTAACGTCCTTCTATTCTGCTCTGACTAGGCTAATGAAGACGGGCATACGATATACAGTGTACTGTACAACCTATATTGAATTCCAACTGTCAGGGGCGTCTTTTACGTGCTCGCTTATATGTACACGGAACCTCGATTATTCGTCCCGTCTAAAAGACTATACGTTATCCCCTGACAAGGGGAAACCACGCCGGCTAGCAAACCGGTGTCTTACTCACTTAGCCACTGTGGCTCCCGGAGCAGAACAGTTGGCATTAAACCCCATTTTATTTTATTTCATTTTCCCACTTTTCCGAATCAATCGGACTATTGAAGATATGCATACGCTATGCTGAGTAATATGACGGCTAGCGAGCCAACGTCTTACTCACTTAGCCACTGTGGCTCCCAGAGCAGAACAGTTGGACGTTAAACCCCTTTTCATTTCATTTTCCTACTTTTCCGAACCAATCGGGCTATTGAAGATAGGTATACGGTATGCAGAGTGATATGACAGAAATTTTCAATGGACCGTGGCATTTCTACATCGAAGTTCAACTGTGAAGGATTCTTTTTTATGTGCACGCCAATGTGTACACAGGAGCGTGTTTGTTTTGCCCCATCTACAATACTAGACACTGTTCTTTGCCAGGCCATTTGTCCTGCGATACCGACATGGAGAAGCCATGCTGCAAAATCCCGGGGAATTTTCAGTGTACATAATCATAGTATTGAGAGGAATATGGCCGATAACCTGACACCACGACAACCCGACATCACAACATTTTAACCCGACAAGACGACATTTTTACGCGACATTACGACATTTTTAATGTCGTGGTGTCGGTTGAAAATGTCGTTGTGTCGGGTTTAAAATGTCGTGATGTTGGGTTGTCGTGGTGTTGGGTAAAAATGTTGTGATGTCGGGTTGTCGCGATGTCGCCTTGTTTAGGGCGAAACCACGACATGATACCAATCAGCCACCATACGTATCAGATATGCACACCTACATGATATACATATTATTATAATCCCTATGGAATATTTTAATTATTTACTGTTATAATATGAATTTTCCCTTATTTCCTGTTAAATAAAAATCGAATACCGGGTGCAGCTGTACAACTTCAAGGACCCTGGCCTCAAGTGCCTGGGACCAACTCTACACTTTCTGAACTGTCAATAAAAGCTCTGGAATGATTTCAGTTTCAAAAAAATAAACAGTAAGCAAAACATCGGAAATAAGTGGTGGGGACACTGTATATCATGTCCCCACCACTAAAAATATTGGTGGGGACGTGTCCCGGTGTGTCCACCAGGATTTGCGCCCATGACACACAGTACTTTTAATAAAACAAAATTTGATCCAAAGAATATGTGTTAGCTTCAAAGAAAACTGTCAATTTGTAACGTAATCATGTCATGGCATTTATCATGTTTTAGAAAAGAGGCCTTCATTTTTGGATTTGTATTGTATCTCTTTCTATTTTTGGTAAACAATAAACATTACTGTGCTGATATAATCTTTAGACTAATGTAAATAAATAACACACCTGTTTAATACCGGGCATTCTAGTATCTTGTTTATTATATTTATCTATATCACTATCTATCATACAATTAACATGCATCTGTAATGTCTGCCAGCAGAAGTGAAGTTTCTCAGTTGATGTTTTACCTTTCACTGTATTCATTGCTCTCTGTAAGTAAAAAAAATTGTAAGTACATGTAAGTGTCTCCAGATATAATTTGACCTTTCAAATAATTCTTAAATGACCACAAGGTCTAAAAAATGCATGAGTACATTGAGAAGCTGCATCATGTTTTAGGTAATGTAACTTCATAGCTTCCATGTGTTCATATCAAAAAAGTGATTGAAAAGAACATTTTGCGTAAGGAAGAAAGCTTTTCTGGAATTATTGTGGCTTTTTAAATATCTTCTTAGAATTTGTGACAACTTCTAACGAACGAATTACTATCGTGCGAGTGACAAAACATCTGGATCCAAGTACATGTAGAATTGACTAGTCTGGAAATCAAAATATTACAAAGCTCACAATATGCACACCTCATAAAACATACAAAAAACTTAAATGTGATGTTAACAAAATATGTTTCTTAAAGCTACAATTTCATATTTTTAAGTTATATTTTTAAAATTTATTAAAATAAAGCCTTAAAATAGATGGTATCCATAAACCGTCCTACCTTGTTAAAGAAAAATCCCATTAATCCTATAATTCACTATTGCCAGCTGAGAAATTGGCAAAAATATCATTTTCAACTTCAAATTCCAACGTTTGAAGGTAGCTAATGCATGGAGGCAATAGGAAAACAAGGGAGGTAATTGTGTTACTTATTCCTGTGTCAATGATTTTTAAGGGTGGGAAATAATGCCCATGGTCGTATAATTGTGAGTTGATAACCTATTGAGCAAAAGACATAGAAATAATTATGTTTTGACTTTCTTAGAAAACATGAAATTCTCGCTTTTAATAAAGAAGCCATTTCCAGTATCAACACCACTGCAGGCAACATGAGATAACATTTCAATACTTAATACTAAATTTTCGTAAACAAAAACTCAATTACCTGAGCAAATTCTTCAACATCCAATGTTTTATCTTGATTTGTTTTATCAGCTGATTGTAAGATATATTTTAATATAACATTATCCATTATAATTCTATTTAAGCTAACAGACTGATAATGTTCACTAAATCCACCAGATCGAAAAGCAATCTGAAAATAGAATATAATTTGTTATTAGATTATATTTGAATAATTCAAAAGATTGTTCACAATTCTATGACATCAAAATACATCAGCTAAGATTGTTATTATGTATCTAATTAAGACATCTACAAATGATTCGAGACACTTGCAAGTTCTGGCAAATTTATTTTCTAATTGTTCATGTCTAGTCTGCACAGACGTGGATTACAAAACTACATGACACCATATAATAGAAACACCACTCACTGGTCTAAATCTACATGGTGGTACCGGTATCACTTCCATAAAAAATACATCTGTTGAAATATAGTCTGAATCAGAAAAATCAAGAGCACGGAATATCTTTTTTAAAATCGTTTCATCGGATTTCCAGATAACTCTTAAGTGTTCCTTGACAGATGATGGAGTTAACAGAGTTTGTTCCATGCTTCCATCAAAAAATTTGGAAATACTTTCATCCGGTTTTTCATTAGATTCTTCTATTGTGGTGGTCTTTTGATCATCCATTTCTAGAACATCCAATCCTTCTGTACTATCATTATCATCAATATTTTGACGTTTTCTGCAAGGAAACAATAATAATTTCATAAAATATTTTCTAAAATTCTAATAACACAAAAAATATACATGTACTATATTTGTGCTCAGATAAAGAGTGCTTAGAATATAACTTATTGCATGAAGAGGCATGAGGGTCTTCGTCAGTATGTAAAAGAATAATTGCTTATTTGATGTGATTTGACTATACAGTGAAAAGGATGTTTAAGGTCTCAATTTATGAGTTGTACATATTTCTTAGTGGTTTTCCAAAAGTTTAATGAATGGACATTAAAAATACTTTAGATCAGAGCTTATAGTCCATGGGGTCCAACCATGAAACTATTCAATTATTTTTCGGACAACTAGTTTCATTGTGTATAACAATCGTTGTTAAATTAAATTGGGGAGATTTTGATTTGACAGTTTTTACGTATTTTTGAAACAGGTTTCGAAATGTTTGGTTCTGTTATGCAAGATCTTTTTTAACATTCCAAAGTAAATTTATGGTGCTAAGACCGCCTTAAGATAAGTTTTCAATGTTCCTATTATTAATTTGAACAGGTTTCGCTTTAGTTTATATATTTTATGCTGACATTTTATTGCTTTAAATCTTCCTAGTGCAAAAACAGAAAATTTGACGTTTTGACCTCCGGGGTCACAAAGAACAAAGCCGATTTAACAAGTTTACTTTTTAATTAAAAGAGTGATTACTTTCGATCATTTTCGGCATGTTTTCATGATATAAGAATGGCTGCACATTCACTTTTAGTGCAAATGACCTCATTTGACAATTCACCCAGAATATCTCGAAAACGCCCCAACGATGGACTGATTACCACTTGGCATCGTATTCTACGCAAAATTCTACTCTAGAAAATCAGTTCTGGTTTTGTGCCCATTTGATGGACATCCCCGGCACTGAGCCTTCATTCACATACAAGAGTGGGGTCAAAATGTCATGTTGGATGATCCCCCCTACGCTTATGTTAAATACTCAAGTGAGTCTAAGTTTGTTCTGAATTATAATACATTTATTTTCTCTGTGACGGTGACCATGCCTCTGTAAAGATCATGAGCTATCGTCTAAGTTAACAAAACATATTTGGAAACTAGTTGAGAAAACCAAGTAACTCACTTTTTGATATTTGCCTCAATCATTTCTTTTTCTTTTATTATCTTTCTTGAAGACTTTAAACTTATAACTATTTTACTATTATTTTCTTGTCGTATGTTAACTTTCTTTTTCTTACAATGAGGACACAGTTTCATCGACACTATCATATCAATAAAGTTAGCAACAAGTGCTTTGTGACATGATTCAATGTGGCTTAATCCAGGTTGTTTCTCATTCACACCATCTGTAAAAATTAATAAGAAATGTGAAACTAGCTAATTAATCAATAGTATATGGATGGATAGACAGATAACTCTCATAGAAACATAACACAAGATCATATCCATTTACTTTACGAATATACTGAGCGCCATGGAAAACACATCACTTAGTTTTTCGTATAACAAAATGATCCTGTAAACATATCTTATTTATTTTGCTTCTTATTGTGAACAATATTCAAATGTGAACACATCAATAACAACACATTTGTACACATTAATGGATGTTTAATCTGAAATCAACGGTACAAAGTCAGAAGGGTCAAAACCAAAAGTACGACACAGATGTCAGTAGCGCTTGTGTCCTCCACGGGCTCCTACGCACGCTGTGCAGCGACGTCGCATGGAATTTACCAATGTTTGAAAGAAGGCCTGGGGCAAATTGTTCCATTCTTGGACAAGAGCAGCTTCTAAAGCAGCAATGGTGTGCATCTGTGGTCTCCGATACAGACGGCGTCCAATCTCATCCCAGACATGTTCTATCGGTGCCATGTCCGGAGACATGGCTGGCTAGTCCAAGACATTGATGTTGTTAGCAGCCAGGTAGTCCATACTAAAACGGGCGGTATGCAGACGTGCATTATCCTGTTGGAAGTGCTGAAGTTGTGGGTGCGCTCGAAACATCAATTGGTTGCAAGACATCATCACGGTAGGCTACAGCATTAACGCGACCCCTGCAAATGTGAAGGGCGGTCCGGTGATGAAATGTGAAGCCTCCCCACACCATTACACTTCCCCCACCCCATCGATTTGTTTCGAAGACGCAGCAGTCTGCAAGACGTTTCCCAAGACGTTTCCACAAACGTTGACGGCCATCAGCGTGATAAAGATGAAAGCGACTCTCATCACTGAAGAGCACACTTTGCCAGTCTACTCTTCTCCATGTCTGATGTCCTTGAGCCCATATCAAACGCCGCTGACGGTGATGATCCCTGAGGATAGCTCCAACATAAGGTCGTCGTGCACAGAGTCCTACTTCTCTTAGACAACGTCTTGTCTTCCGACGACTGCTGCACCTGTTCGAGTCGCTGGGCGGAATCTGTCACGCAGATGAGTGACCCGGATGTAGCGGTCTTGAGCCTGGGTTGTAACGCGTTGTGGCCCAGGACGTTGACGGTCACGTGTTGATCCAGTAACTCGAACACGTTCCACCAACCTTACAATAGTGGACTAATGACAATTGAAGTGTCTGGCAATAGCACGTGTAGACATGCCAGCCCTGGACATTCCCATGGCTTCATTCCGTTGATTTTCAGTAAGTCTCGGCATCTCTAGCTCGATTCCTTCACACGTCCAACAACAAATAGTGACAGATTGACGTTTCACAGTTCATGTAGTGCACATTAAGTTGAAAACATGCTTTTAAAGGGCTCACACACAATGCTGCACGTGAATATTGGGTTTTTCATGTGCATCTCGTGCAATTTTTTTTGGCACACAGGCCAATATTTTTTGCGTTTGGGAGCTTTGTGTGAAACAATAGTTCATAGTATTGCATAATATTATACATACAAAACCACCTAGTAATAAAATATTTGGGAAAAAAAAGTGATGCGTTTTCCATGGCACTCAGTATATTTTTAAAGTCCATGTATCTCATACTCCTTGCAATGTTACATTTGATTAGACCTAATCCCACTCAAACACTGCTGTAATGAAAGCAAATTTCTGTTCCAAATTATGACTGGTCAATAGTCTGATTAACAACCAATACCTAACTGCGTAACAAAATGATTTGGGTTTAAACAGAGCTCCAGATACGTTTACATAATGTTACGTCATGACTCAAGAAATTTATTACGCCCAATTAACCAGTGCATAGCAGAATATTGCAGAAAAACTAATTGTGTGACAAATGAGGCTATCAAAACGGCTACAATGTAAACAATACTGCATGGAGAGGAACAATACTTTCACCGTTTTTAATACCTTAAATACAAAGTTTTAGGGAAAACTCCAGATTAAACGAAGGGCGTCATGTTGCTGTACTTGATTTGATTGAACGGGAAGAATAGACACACTCAATCAAAAGCTCAAGCATAAGAAGTCAATCCAGCAATGGCCAGAGAGGGATTTCTCAGGCCATTGCTTCAGGAACATGATGAATCTGAATGTTTGCATTACAGAAATGACTATTCTATTATTTTCTGAACAGGTTCTGAGAGACACATAATTCTTTAACAGCAGAAAATGAAAAAGTCGGCAGGAGTGGGTGCTTCACCAACATTCTCATCTCTTGCAAAAACGCTTAAAAACGAAGCTGGAGTTTTGTTCTATAAGTACAGCATAATTAAGAAAAATGAAAAGATGTCAATCCCCAAAAAAAATTTCTATGCATATTAAAATTTAACAGCAATCCATCTATAAATTACAGATTAATAAGAAAATATGGATAGCAGGACTTGTTTAGAAATACCAAAGCACTTATGAGCATGGGCAGAAAAATCATAATAAAATATACATACTATTGACAATTTTCTTGATAAAGCTGGTGATGAAATGTTTGACTTCTATAAATACGGACATTTCATTCATATCTCTATCTTTTACCATAGAGATGACATGTTCAGATAATTCTAGAAAAGCTGTAACATATCCTGCGTCTAATAATTCAATCTGGCTTACAAATAAACAGGATTCTACCAGGCTTACTGTTAAACGATGACATTCAAAACAGGTCCCTTTTAACAACTGAAAAAATACAACAATATCAAAACATGAAATTCTTCTGCTGTTTTCTTTAAATGTCTATTATCGTACTAGTTAATTCCAATGCAAAAATAAAAATATCCCCAATATTTCCCACAATTATCATTAACGTATTTGATTACTTGCCACGGGCTTACTCGCCTAGGATCCTCAAGTACGGTTCGACATGCGCAGTGAGAAGGGGTATTCCTTAGAAGACTTTAAATCACACTTTCGTTTAACCAATGAAACATTTGATAACTTTGTTAATGAGCTCCATGGCTTACCAGAATTGCAGTTAGGAGAGCAAGGCTATGGTCGCACACCAGTCACAATTCCAAAACAAGCAATTGTGTTTCTGAGGCATATTGCTACCCCAGATCCATTTCTCTCACTATTCGATAGATTTGGAATATCTAAATCAACAACGCACTGTTATATGCCGCAGAGTTTCATTTAAAAAAAAATATTCAATGGCCATTACCATATGAACGTCAAGAGAATTCTGACTGTTTTGCTGAATATTGTAAATTTCCTGGAACAATCGGAGCTATCGGTGGTTGTCATATCCGAATTAAGGCGCCCAAGATGAAAGACAATCGAATATCATACATCAACCACAAAAATTTAACTCGGTCTTACTCTAGACTGTATGTGATCATCGAATTTGATTTACTCATGTTTACACCTGTTGGTCTAGATATACACATGACACATTGATTTTAGAACATTGACCTGTAATCAAATAAAGATTAAATAACCGACTCAGTTCTGTGATAGAACGTGCCTTTGGGAAACTGAAAGGACTCCGAGTATCCTTTTCGAACTCCTGGAATAATTGCACCAAGATGTAGAATCACTAAAATAAACACAACACTATTGTGGAATGGAAATATTGTATTTTTAATCGGAGCAAAGTGTTAACAACAATAATTCTTCCGTCGCCTAAACTTAATCTTTATATAACTTTGATCAAAAAATTGATTTGCTGCCATGTTGAATAATTGGATTATGGGATACTTCCCAAAGTAACCGGCTCCTTGAGACAGGTTACTTCGGCCTGGCACGAGTAAGCCGTTTAAATGACGTCATCGGTAAGGCGCCAGCAATCGAACGCACCCAATAACTAGAACATAAAAGTAATATTACGCCTCCAATCATTGTCAATTTCTGAAAATATTAATATTTTGCACAAACTTAATATTGGTAATTTTTAAGTAGAACCGGTAGTAGTCTGAAACATTTTGTTTGGAAGTCAAAATAAGATATTTTGAAAAAAAATTTCTCAATTTAAATTTAAAGTACTGCTTTGAATAGGAATAAGTTCAACAAGCCATTGCCATGCAAGATACGCCCACATTTTGCAAGAGATAAACACACAACTAACGAACATACAAATGACTACTCACCCTATATAGTTGTTTAAAAAACAGAGGATTATATACAGGCAATGCTAACTGTATATGACCTATGTGACCCGGACAATGTATGTTATTTTGACCGCAGGTAGAACATACTTCTCCACGATCATACGGACCTAAAAAGCAAAAAAAAAAAAGAGAATACAATCAATATTAAATATCTATACACGATAATTAAAGCTGAAATACGGCAATGAATAACACCAATGTTTGCTATGTTATTCATTGATCGCAGTACCCTTCATAAGACACAAGCACAAGTCATATGACCTGGTAATGGTATATGATCTTAACCGGACCCTTTGGTGCCAAGTTTCTAAATTTATGTGCAAAGACTTGTATCACTATAGAAGTGAAGCCTGTATCGTTACATTGCAGTGAACGCTTACGGCAGGCGCACGGATCCATTCACATGATTTGATATACGTTTGTTGTTTGAATAGTCTGTGTACAATGTCTTGTCTACAGTTTTGTCTTGTGTACTTGTTTGTGTGTGGTGTGGTCCTCCTGCATTTACTATTTGATCCTGTATCAAACATCATATCTAAAATAAATTATGATTTATTTACCTAAACTAGAATCATAAAGCCCATTTGCATTTGGATGAGCTAAGTTATCAAATGATATTGGATGTGATATTTCTTTCACACTTAATGCCTTTATTTCTTCATCACTATATACTCGGAATCCAATTTCATTCAGGCGAAATATAGGTACATCTTTATCTCCCACTGTGTCCATTTTAGGCCCAACTGAAAAACATCACCATTGGCATTAAATCAGTTAAATATAATTATAGACTACACTACAGTTCCTTTAAATAAAAAAACTCATTTCATACAGTAGGTTAGAATCTTAATCCCTACCTAACCCTAAATGATTGAAAGTAGGCCTACGCTTCACAGATAGCAAAATAATTCTTTTCGCTTATTTAGTTTGTTAAAACATATACCAAACAGCAAAAAAAACGTCAGTATGATTTCAAAATCAGAGAGGCACTTTAATGAAATCATTCTAAAAAATGACTTACTAAATGGATCAAAGCAATTTTTTGTGAACATTAAGTTGACACATTTGTGATTAATTCATCACAATAACAAGAAATTACAAGAGGGTTTAGAGTCTGTACTCAGTCTATACATCCGTATCTGGTGTGTCCACCGCGAGTGTCAATAACAGCAGCGCAGCGTCTGTACATGGACTGGACCAGACGATTGATGAACGCCATTGGCACCTGGAACCACACTCTCAGAAAAGATTGGCGCAATCCATTGGCTGAGTTTGGTCTCGGTACGACATTATTAAGTCTCCTCTGAATTTCATCCCAGAGATGTTCAATCAGGTTTAAGTCCGGACTAAGGGCTGGCCAGAGCATAACATTGACACCATTCTGCTGTAGAAAGTCCTGAGTAACTCTGGCGGAGTGGGCACGTGCGTTGTCATGCTGGAAAACGTTGTTCCGATGACGTTCGAAATGTGGTATGATGTGGGGTCTGAGAGCTTGATCGATGTAGTGCACTGCTGTGATGGCGCCTCCTCTCCCTGGGCCAAGATTTTGGAACACCACAGGACGCACTCTCTGGTTCAGGTCGATTCAACTCCTAACCATTATGCTTGAACCTCTGGATTTAAGTCTCGTTCCATGCCACATTGGTCAGAATCGTGCTGGCCACATCGATGCCATATTCTGGTCCTGCCATCTGCAGTTGATAAGCAATACCGACTCTCATCTGTGGCCTGAACAGTTCACCATTGCCTGTGTCGCCAGTTCTGGTGTTGTTGGGCAAACTGTAGATCTTCACGTCGATAGCGAGGGGTGAGGATCGGTCCACGGTAAGGTCTACGGCAATGGATGTTCTCTCTGGTGAGACGTCGGTGCACTGTATCGGTACTGATGGGTCTTTCATGTGTTCCCACTGTCTGTCATGCTGTCTCAGGTGCCTGTGTGAAGGGATTCTGCATGTGCTGTCGCACAACATGTGGTCTTGTCGCCTTGTGGTAACCCTTGGTCTACCAGTTCGGGGGTGATGATTGATGCTGTTGGTGGATCGAAAGTGTTGCTGAAGCCTGTAGATGGTCCGATTATTGACCTGGAAGTGATTGGCAACGGTTTGGGCAGTGTGGCCAGCGTTGAGTCTCCCAATAAGCGCCTGGTTTCTCTGAGTTGTCGTGAGTCGTGGGATGTAGTGTGAATGATTCAACCAGGTATGGGGGTGCATTTTATAGGGCTGGTCCCGGTGAACAGCACGTGCAAGCATGAGTTACATGAAAATCACGGAGAACACATTTTGACATTGCCATCTCAGAAGTCTGGTTGCGTTTTTGAGAACATTTCCTGGGTTCAATTCTGTGTTTGGGAAGAGCCTTATTGCTCAGGTAAAGTTGGATGGAGATGTGGTCACAAATATACAATAAAAATATTTGGCAAGTTTTATGCAATGCGTCTATTTAGAGTAATATACCAACCTGACGTTTCTTTTGTTGCTGCTTATTAATTATTAGTATAGAATAACACGGTAACCAAATACCACAATCACACTCTACAGTACTAGTCTCTGACTCTAGTCATTTCTATGGCTAAAACTTAGAAATTAAAATATATCCGCCCAAGAGAGGTGAACAGTGGTAGTTCTTATATTTCAAAATATTGGCTATCTAAATTCTTATTCTCAGTTTATCTGATTTTAATGGCATGATATTTAATATTCCCCACTCACTGTCAAATAGTTTATAAATCCAAGCACGTTTTCAATATTTATTTACAAATAACACGTGCTTGCAAGGGAGACAACTGTGATTTGGGAATTTTATTCTTGATCTACCAGACCACACAGACTTCATGGCAAGCACAGAGTATTTTTACTCTGTGATGACAAGGGCCACTGTGTCTACGTCAAATAGTTATGCACGTGAGTCAAGAGACATGCGTGACCCATCATTTATTAGTTCACATAGGCCAATAGGTCTTAGTTGTTTTTTGTCTCGTTTCTTATACGCCCACATTTTCATGTGGACGTATATTGTCGTCGCCCCTGTCCGTCCGTCCGTCCGTCCGTCCACAATTTGTTTGTGGACACTCTACAGGTCACAATTCTTATCCGATTTTGACGAAACTTGAAATATAGGTTTATCTCCAAAAGATCTCGGCTGCTTTCGATATTGGCATGTATCGGATCGAAACTTCGTGGATTATGGCCCCTGTTTGTACGAAAAATCACGTTTTTAGAGAGGTCACAATTTTTATCCGATTTTGTTGAAACTTGAAATGTAAGTTTATAACCCAAAGATCTCGGTTCCTTTCGATATTCGCGCATATCGGACCGTAACTTCCTGAATTATGGCCCCTGATTGTAGGAAAAATCACTTTCTTTTTAGCTTGTTCTCTATCAATCTCTCGAAAATGTGAGCGTATCCTGCCTGGCAGCCGCTGGTTTAACACTGGCTATGATGGGTGCATGCTGATACACCCCCCCCCCCCAATGTATAGGCCTACTGCTAGATAACAAACCTTATCTCTCAACCCTCCGTGTTTCGAGATAAGAGATGATGCTATTACCTTCAACGTAGCACATGCGGGAGCGATTCGCACCCGGCATTTGTAAACAAAATTGACAATATTTTTAATCAAAACAACGATTGATTATTGTTATTTATAATATTTCTGCCACACCCAACTATAATTAAGCATATACCTGAAACGGGTACAAATCCCCTCTTTTTAAACCATAGTGACAGTATAGATTGCTTTTTCCGACATTTTAAAATTACGTCTGTAACACATAAAGGCAGGGCCTCGTGTGCAATAGCCAATCAAAGTACTAATCTGATCAGAGTTGCGCAGTAGTAATACGCCGTAATTATGAACGTCCGAATCAATTTTGATAAGAACAACGCTTGATTTACTTTATTGTCAATATTTGCTGATAAATGAATGTTGTTTCAGTAGATTGGACTGCGTATGTGTAATAAGTACTAATAGTATAAAATTAACTTATTTTAAGATGGTACATACATTAATAAAGAAATTGAGGTTGCCACTTCAGAACTAAAGGCATCCAAAGTAGCTAAAAACAAGCACATCAGTATATCAGCGTTTTTAGTTACGTTCTCGTAGCTAGCCTACTGCTATTTAAAGGAATTGCTTACGACAGGTTTGTTTTATAGGAGTTTGTTTGTGTTTGGTGCACTAATTACTATTAGCCACGCGCGGTAGCATTCTTAGGAGCTAAATCGGTAATATTTGGGACTTAGAAATTGACAAAAATGGGTCGCAACGCATATAATAATGTAATATGAATGCATATAAACTGATTTACAGTCAATCGTTTCTGTTTCTACTGTATAATTTCTAATCAGTTATGTTCGGCGAAATACGCCAGAAGTCTCATGTGAATGGCAATCTTTAGCGTCTGTTTTTTTCAGTCTACACCGATGGTATTTATTGCGCGTGCTCTCCAGATAAGAATATAGCGTCACCATTTGACATGACTTGTGGAATATGTCTAGCCCTGTTCTTTGAGTCCCTTGTTCCAAATGGCGCTGAAACGCATTATGGTACACGATTCGTGTACCAATGGTAAAATGTTTATTTTTTCTTGAATATTGGATATCAGAAGCCCATCTTTTCCTTGTAAGATCACAAGACCAATGTTGATTTGAATTGACAAATAATTCGTGTTTTCAATCTCGAAGATTTTTGATGATATTGAGTTACACCGATAATATTTATTGCGCATGCTCTCCAGATAAGAATACGTGAAATATGTCTAGCCTCGTTCTTCCAGTCCCTTGTTACAAATGTCCCAGTGGTAAAATGTTTATTGGATACCAGAAGCCCATCTTTTCCCGGTAGGATCACAACATCAATGTTGATTTAAATAATGTTGACAAATAATTCGTGTTTTTATTTTTCCGGCGTGGTTCCCCCCTTGTTAGTGATGCAAGACGGGGGGGGGGGCTGACAAGAACAGCTGTCTAGCCGTTCGGATGGGACGAAAAGAAGAGGTACTGTGTAGACATTGACGTGCACGTAAAATATCCCTTGACAGATGGACTTCGATATAAGAGTAGTTCGTAGTGCCGCTGTCCGGGCAAAATTCCCCCATAGCACACTGTGTGGCGTATGCCCGTCTTCATTAGCCCAGTTCGGAGCAGAACAGTAGGACGTTAAACCCCATTTCATTTCTTTACATTTATAAAACGGTCACACTGTCCGTTCGGTTGATCAAAATCAATATTTTTTTTTTATTTCTTAACGCTCTTCAAAACGAAACTAAGAGAGAGAGAGAGACAGACAGACAGACAGAGAGAGAGAGAGAGGGAGAGAGAGTTTAACGTCCACTCGACACAAACTAGGTCATTTCGGGACTAACATAATATTATGGTTAAATTTTATTTCAATAATTCGCTTGCGCGTAGGGGTCTTCAACAGTGGGAGGAAACCGGAGGACCCGGAGAAAACCCAAGAGGTTGGCCAGGCGACCCTACTCCTTGTCACGTACAACCGGGGAATTGAAACCACGCCGCAGTTGACTCAATGACAGACCTTATACAGCGTGCTAAACATTCGGCCATCCAAAATACAAAGTTCAAACCATCCCGCAATTTAGTTATATATAGTGGTGGGGTATATTCCTCACTCCTAGAACACCTAATACCACTTCTCGATTGGGGAGTTCACTGCATGTGTGTGTGGCGGGGGGGGGGGGCTTTGTTATACTTTCATCTCTGAATTATCATTTTCTTTTTCTCAATCAAATTTCAAATGAAATAAAATTAATGTTTTTAAAACAAAGCAAACACAAAAAACTGTGTTCTATTGATGTATTTCTAGATTGTTTAATGCAAAATAATTTACTTTTGTACGTAAACTACGTGTATTTTACTATTCTTTAGAGAAAAAAATATAGGGAATTATTTACTTTTGTACCTAATATACTTTATTTTTGAAAGAAAAAATGTCGTGTTCTTGGGTTATATGAAAAAGGCGCAATTTAATAGAAGGATGCTTTGTACTGAATACCTTCAAAACAACAATAGAATAGGAGTAAAATATAGTTTAGTATAGGGTGATAATAATATAATTATGAATTTAAATACCTAATAATTCGTCAACATTTGGATTTTCTGTATTTCATTAAATTTGTAATTGAATTACCGCTCATATGTATTGAAGACTACTGTTATTTTCTAAAATTTTCAATTAGACACTTTCAGTTAGATATTCTAATGCATCAAATGTCTTATTTGTTGTAACTTTCATTATAGTTGTGAATAAATACACCTTCTTCTAAACTACGTCTTGCTGGGGTGAGAAAATATCTATTTCAGTCGAATGTGTATAGGTTTTCTCTATTCCGTCCTTAAATATTTAAATTCATTTTATTTAAATGTATCTCGACTTATAAAAGTTGACAATTAAACAAATATAACTCGACCGAATAAGTGGCAAATTCAAACCACGTTCAATAATGTAAATAAAGGTATTAACAATTTTATCTCGGCAAAACGAGAATCATTTGCAGACTAGTTAGTATGCAGTATTTATACTTCCTTTTGCTTTCCAATTCATTTAAATAACGCAAAACAGCATTATCTCAATAGAAAACAATTAGTGCTAATCTAAAAGGGCTGATATGTTGCGAATGCCTTACTATATACATCTGTGATCATTTCGGCATTCCCATCGGTCCACTACTGGCAGTAGCGGATCTAGAAGCCACCCCCATCTACTCTAGGGCACCATCCCCATCCACAATCCCACCCCACAATGAATGTCAACGTCGTATTGCCTATAGGCCTATAATAATTAATATAGCCGTTCGCCGATCGTTATCTCGCTGGAAAGCAATTTAATGCAAGTTGATCGACACAGCGAACAACCTGAAGAGGGAATTTCCGGGAGGGGGGGGGGTCCCCCTGAGAAAATTTGAGTCAATTTTCTGATTTGGGTTCATTGCTGGGAACAACTTCTTGTGAAAGAGAGGAACAAAAATAGGACACATCTCGAGATCTACGTTCTATTCTGCCTGTTGTGTGGGAGTTAACACCACAGAGTAAAAATATTGTGTTAACACAACATTTGGTACAACTAACTAAACTGGGCGGTTCACTAGGTCTACTGCATATGGTAATATTCTTTAAGTGGCATTTAGTAACTGGGCAGAAAAATAAACTATAAACATACTTATGGAAAACATACTTATGACTTATGGTTATTATAGTTTATCGTGCATATGATATAGTGGTGAGATGGCATAAGACGACAGCGAAGTTGTAGAATGATGACATATGGAATCGAGCCCCGTATAGGCGCGAAAAACATTTCATGTAGCGACGTATAATATGTAAAATACTGAACTTGTAATTTTGGGGGACTGGGTCTGAGAGGAGGGGGTGGGGCTGTCTTAAAATTTCTCTCAAAAAGCACAATAAGTGCAAGAGCACGAAATGGCAATAAATCGAAAACACGTCCATGGGTCAAATTACGACAAACTTTGAATTCTGTACGAAGTAGGCCTATGTGCTAAGAAAATTGCCTGCCCTCGATCGGACTGGTCCGACTTAGGCTATATAGTTTTTCTATAACCCTCCAATTATTTCTAAATGACGATTATTTCTAAAAACGATAGATTTCGGTGAATTATATGACGTACGGTACCTCATCCCAATATCACTGTGAATTGTGATAAAAGCTGATTTAACGGGGCCTTTAATTTTGACTTCCAGACCACTAATAGAACCCATCCAAACCCGTTGTCCCCGGTATAAGTCACTGAAAAGATCGTGGTCAAAGCAATTATGATTTTTGGTGTTATTTTTTTATATTTTAATAAACTACAATTAAATCTCTTATATTTGTTCCAAATTTAAAGGGTTGTTTGGCCTATACTAGGATTAACTTGTGAAGGTCTTTCACTCGGTCGGTACTGTCGGCTAACAACGAAGACCTTTAGCACAGATATAGAATTCAGGTCATTTCTATGTTTAAATCTGCGAACATTCGTCTTTTCTTAATGTAGGCCTACACATAAAATTTATTCCATTTATGATCATTGAATTTCATTTTTTCTTTTAAAAGCTTGCGAAAATGCAAGAGTTATGCCCCTTTCTAAGTTTGACCTTTGACGTCCCAGATTAGACACGTGACCCCTAAGACAGCCAATCAAAAAAATTCAGTGTTGCCGCCATCTTTACCATTGAAACCGCGAGACAGCCAAGGAAGTCTAATATGTCTTGTTTATAAGGATTTAAATAACTACCCTGCCTTAGAATTCTTTATAAGTAAATAAAATGGCCACCGATGGAGGGGGCAAACTTAAGCCAAAGCGTTCTCAACCGGCACAAAAACCCTATGAGAGAAGAAAGGTACGTTGCATCGACATTGCCGATTGCTTACACACGTGAGAACCCATTTTTAGGTGAACGTGTTTCATTATCAAGATTTTGAAATTATTTTTGAAATAATTGCTTTAGGATGATTAATATTTGTCATTGTGAAACTTATATTCTAAATGATATTTATGTAGCCGGTAGGGCAGTCTGCAATTACAACTTCTAATATAAATCAGCATTATTAAAATTTAATTGTCGACTTTACTTTCTGTTCTCTGACGAATGTCACGACAGAAAATGCCGAGTCCCTAGTTCATAGATTTGTAAGTTAGGCGACTATGACCATTAGTCGATAAACGCTAAAACATTAGAACTTTAAAATACTGAAGTTGAGTAGGTTTACTTGGTTCTAAAAGTGGATGACATGAGATTGAATGTTTTACAACCGAACAGATTTGAATTGCCACTGGCACTGACTAGTCCTAGGCCTAATTTAATTTATTAGCATTGTAAAATTTTATAAAATCCATATACAGTAATACAGTATTTGACAATGTCATGCCTGGCGTTAATGAAGTTCTCAGAAACAGTCAGTTATGTCATATTCTTGTATTACTATTAGCTTTTCATGATGAATCTGTGCTTGGCACGATGTAATTTTCGGAGATCAAGGACACTGATAGTGATATCATTGTTTTGCGAAAGGATATAATAGGTTTTGGCACAATTAATGTGTTTGTATTTCACAACAGATTGCAAGATAAATTTAATAGCGGTCCAGATATCACCCTACCAGTGAAGAGAGTAGTGTGTTAATCATACTCACCGCATGTAACGAGGTCCAAGTTTACAAATCCCCTTTTATATCCTATAAAAATGAGCCTCCATACATTTGTCAGTTACATATTCTCACTGTTCGGTAAAATAAGCCAACTTTTTGATTGGAAAATGTGTAAGACTTCTGAATATGCTGCCAACTCACTAGAACATTGTTCACTATGCTGCAGATTTCGGTATAAAGTGGAGGCAGGAATGTGACCCTGACCTTAAAAATCAGGGAATTTCAAAAAGGTATTGTACCTGTTGGTGGCTTTATTTACATCTTGACAAAACCTGCCATGCCATATTCATATGATATTGTTTATCTTTCAGTCATTGTACAAGAAAGTTACAGATACAGTAAAGGATTTATTGTCACCCTCCTGGTTAACCGATATAGTTTCAACTGTAAAGAAGTCACCACCAAAACAGAATTATCCCAGTACATTAGACGAAGATGAAGATGAAATGTTTATGGTAAAATATAATGCCTTAGTTTTGATCATCAAATGTATTGTAAATTATAATCAGGGTGTGGAATAAGGGACATCTGATGCTTTGAGGCCTATGAAAACTCTTATACTCCTTCATCTTATACTCCAGATCAACTTATATGGACAAAGGTCCAAATATTGAAGTCCAGAAAAACAATTTCTATCAGAAACAGAATCTTTCTTCCAACATTGTTCTTGTGGAAATAAACACATTTTCTTCTCATATTTTTGCATGACAGATCTGTTTCAGTTAAATTAGCCAATCTGAAAAATGTTGCAATTAGACACCTTCTGTTCTGATTTTTGTAACATTGTTACTTCTCATATTATCACCATGTGAAGAAGACAAGAGTGTTTATTGTCTAGTATTTATTGGGAGTTTTAAAATGTTAACTTGTTCAAGTGTACCAAGAACAATACTTGAAACATTACTCATGTCAGTCCTACATTTAGCAACTAAATATTTTACATTAACTAATATTATGGGCTATGTTTTGATGTACATCGGCACAGTGTTAGGCATGGATAGCATTCTTGTACATGTAACTTTCCTGCGTTGACCAGGCTTTTGAAGACGGGCGGCTAAAGATACAAAAAAATAAACCTGTACTCCACATTTACTTATCTAAAATTATGGTAACTCTGTGTTGAAATGATAAGTTATTTTTCTACATTGATTGAGTTTGCCTGTATGGAGGACTTACATATGTATGCATTATTATTTTTCTAGAACAAATTTTGAAATCTTTGTGTGCTGCAAATGTTATTGTAATGCATATTTACAGTGGGTGTGGTTAAAAATAAATCCCTTTTTTGTGGCAAAAGTGAGTGAACAATTTACAAAAGAGTTAAATAATGTAGGCTATGAAAGAATAACAATGGTACAGGTACAGTATTACATGTATCTACTCACTGCCTTTCCTTTGTATTTGTACATGTACTATTAAATATATCTATGATATAATTATTAATAGAAGTTAATATATGAAATTTATTTTACAGAGTCCACCGCAGTCACCAAATCAGGTGAATTCTTACAGTGGGCCTCCAAGAATTGCATCTCAGTTAGAAAATAAACTACCGGCTCCTCAGCCTAAACGATCTAGAGTGCCAGTACCTTCAGTTTCCCTGAATAATCCGGCTTTTGGTTCTTCAACTTCTCATCCAGGTGGAAGTTTTAGTTCGTCGCAGTTACCGTTATCAAGATATGGTACTAGTACTAATAACCCTAGTACCAGTACAAATAGAAATGTTGTTACAAGGTCACCTATACATGGTTAGTATCTTTAAGTGGTGATTCACCCACCCCGCTTTCTGGTGAAATTATGAGATCGGCTAGTCACAATAATTCTTGAAAACACAATGACTACCCTATGACAATGAGTTTTTTTTCTTGTGTCTTTCTGGGAATATGTGACTTGTTGGAATCCTATCAGAGTAATTGCCTGTCTTCATAAACTTGAAAATACAGTTTCAAACTGGTCCTACAGTGAAACTTATTATAATATCATCATGATGGAAGTGAAGCCTCAGTACTTAGTGTCGATGATAGGCTTTGTCCATGACAATGCATATGTAACAATCTCTACCATTCTAGCTTCACATGGGGGATTGGATGGCCGAATGGTTAGCACATGCGCGCTGTATCATAAAGTCTGTCATTATTATTATTATTATTATTATTGTTCGATTTATATAGCGCTTCATTACACGTGAAGTGTTTCTAAGCGCATATCACAAACATATACTTCAAACACACAGAAACAATCAAAATCAGGAGAACATAATTAAACACAGCTGCCTGTTAGGCGCTATTAGTATTATTCAAAGGTTTATATCCAACAAATCAACCGGCTAATCTCAATATTGAACTCAGTCGAGGTATTACCTGATGAACACCTACACCAAGTAGAGTTCAAAAATAAAAACGAAGTTTAAAAGAATCAACTTCATTAACAAAAATTAAACAATCAAAAACTAAACAGATAAATCAAATTCAAACGAAACAAATAAAACAAAGAAAATTGAGTGAACTGGTGTACATGTAGTTTCGATTCCCTAGTTGTACGTGGCAAGGTGTAGGGTCGTCTGTCCAACCTTGTGGGTTCCTCCGGGTCCTCCGGTTTCCTCCTACGCGCAATCAAATTATCGAGAAAAAAAAATGAACAATGTGTTAGTCCCAAAATGACCTTGTTTGTGCCTAGTGGACCTTAAACCCCATTTCTCTCTCTAGCTTCACACATACTCTGCGGTATCAAATGTCATTAAGAGGTAGTAATGTGATAAATTGTCAAATTAGAATCTGTAGCGTTATCGGTTGTTTTACAAAGTGTGTCTTATTTTTTTCATTTATTCGCCATATTATACCATATTAATCATAATACGTAACATTGTAACAGTGATCTGAAAGATAAAATATCCAAACTGTTGAATATGAAAGTAGTAAATGTTTCTACTAGCTAGACAGTAAAATAGATATTGAATACTTCCATTCTTTATCACAGGCATCGATTTACTAAAATATTTCAATTGTAAACCCTGAAATAGTAATGTATGAAGTAAATAAATTAGCCATAATTTCTTTTTGTATGCAAAACTCATTATGTTTTAAAAAGACTTTTCACTAAACCTATTTTATAAGATTTATAAGGTCACATTTAACTTTTCAGATAATGTATCTCATTTAGCCACTGGTTATTCGTTTGAGCAACAGACCAATCTGTTAAATTTAAATGAAAAGGAATTACAGCAAATAAAAGATAACCTGTCTACAGGTCAAACTAAATCCACATCAGATTCAGAAGATCAACATTCTAGGACAATGGCTAGAAATACTAGTTTAAAAACTGATGGTAAATAAAATATATTTTAATGTATGTCAATTCAAGATATTAAATTTTTAAATCGTCAAAGTGGGGTTTGAATATCCACCCATTCGCTTGTGTAATTCAGAATTGAGGGAAAACTCGAAAAACCCTCGAAGTAAGGCCAACAATCATACTTCTTGTCTTGCACAATCCTTGTATCCAAACCACAACATGTTGTCCCAAAAAGGTTTATTTTTAGTCTTATATAATTTGAGGGATTAAAACTTTGCTAATTGATTGACAGTATGGACTAAAATGGACTATAAATCTAATACATTCTTTACTGAAATCCCTATCAACATTGTTGAAGTGTTATGTAATGCCTTAAGTCCTGTATCTTACTTTCCTTAGGCTCATCACAAAGAGCTAGAGTTTGGCAGAATGAAGTGTGTCAACCAATACGGCCAATAGAACCTGTTGTTACTGACAAACCCTCTTTTAAAGCCTCATTATTTGGTTCACCTGTTATAGTAAGTGTAATAGAAGTTTTAAACTTTTTTTATTATAAAAATAGGCAGTCATAACTTTAATTGATCATATTGTGAACTCTCGATCTAGCATAATTCTATTTCGTAAATATCCATGACCATTATGAGATCACGTGTGATAGTACTGCGCAGGTGTAAGTTCAGTGTACTAGCAGAGTTGCATCTGATTTTTGGTGTTTTCAGTGAGCTAGTGGGCATATGGAAATGAAAATAGCATTAGTCAGTGAATTTCCTGATTTCCTCCATATAGATTTTCAATTTGATTATCCTGATTATTGTTTGAGGGAGATCATTTCTTATCTGAGATAAGGCAAAGCAAGTCAAGCTAAATGTTTCATCTTTTATGAGTGTTTAACTTTTTACTCCTTGGTTCATGGTATTGTTAAATAGTATTTGTGAAGTGAAGTTATATGTTAATTATTGCAGGATACAAGTTTACTGGGTGATGATGTGTTAAATCAATCATCTTTTTATCCTGGTAAAACTACATTTGGAGGATCGTCATCTGTCAGAAACAGAAGTCGTTTAAATGTTACAGCTCCATATCAGGTGATCATTTATTAAAATGTTTTTTGGGACATTATAATTCATTTTCTAATTGAGGTACCGTAGCGTGTTGATGTTTTGGGGTATGATGACTTTGATTCTATTGCAGTTAGAGTGAAAGCATTTGGGGTACAGTTTCATTATGTCATTACATTGACGAAATTTGATAATGAACATTTTCTGCTCAGGTTATGCAGAGTGATAAACAATTTGATTGCTAGATGCTTTATAAAAAGATAATGTGCAAATAATTAATGACTGTCACTTTTTATTTTGGGATTGAAGCTGGGGAGATTGTCCTTACTGTTAATTATTTATTTGCCTTGAAGATCAGTTTCGAAAACAAATTAATATATCAAAATTAATCAAATCAACAATTTAATTTTTGATTGCAATCAGCTAGGTCAAATTACAATTAAAGTTTAACCTCTTGTATTCTTTTTCAGACTGCTTTACCAATACGCAAACATATGACACCAAAATTAGCCAATAACTCTTTCAGTGCTGTTACAAGTTCATCTGCCAGAAGAATTTTAGAATCGTTAGAAAGAATGTCCACACCATTATCGGTTAGCTATGAGCTTTATTTTATTGTGCAGATATCTTCATTGAAAGTACTTAGACTCTAAGTTCAAGTGCTTGTTTTAGTTTTTTGGTTCTTTTAGAAAAATCTTTCTCATTTCATAATATTGAGAAATCACTGGATTTTTTGGTGAAAAGAAAACCAGATTGATTTCTCTATTTAGGGCGAGAAAGAGAGAAAATAAGTTTACTGTTCATGAGTTAAGGCAGATGGCCCTTCTTATCATTTAGAAACCAAGCATGGTCCAGTGAAATGATGGAGACAAACGTCGGAACACAAAGTCTTGTCTTGAAATGTTTGGGGGGGGGGGGCTTTTTTTTTCATAAATTGACTGGACTAATATTGCTATTCATATATTGTATTTTAGGATGTGAAAAAGATTCCTATGGAAGTTCCTTCTGTCTCGGACTCTTTGTTTTCCTTTACGGTATGTGTTATCTATTTGATATTCACAAACTTTGTTTATGGTTGTTTTCTGCTAGATAAACAATGGTGTGTCAAATTTGATTCTGTGGTGCTGTCTTCCTTATTTTTAGCAATGTATGACTACATGATAAATATGATTAAGCATTAGTAATTTTAGAAAACATTGATTAAAAAATTATTGTGTAATTTTATTTTTAGCCATCAAGTTACAGACGGCAGTCCCGGTCTTTCCAACCATCTGTTTTATCACGAAGATCTCTTGATGTATGTTTTGGGGTGTTTTTTTTTTTTTTATTGCATTGAATTTACCTAGCTAATCTGTTCAACTTGCCATTCATTCTTCAGTTTTTATCTTTAAGCACAATATTACATTTGTGATAAAACTGGTTAAACACATTCCAAATAAAATATATACTATTCAAAAAAAGTAGGGGATATTTGATTTTTAAGTGTTATTAAAGTCACCTAATGAAACTGACGAAGAAACAAATGACAAAATGAAATGTAGATCACATTCATCGATTTATTCCAAATGATCGTTAGACTAAGTAAGGCACAGACTGACCATTATAAGGGTAAAATGATACCCGGGGTCAAACAGCAAAGTTACCACAGCATCACAACCAAGTCAGTAACGGGTAAAACCTCCTCTGTTTGCCAAACAAGCATTGATCCGACGTGGCATACTCCTAATGAGACGTCTAAGGTCATTTTGGTCCAGATTGTCCCATTCCTGTTGCAACGCAGCAGCAAGTTCTTGGACATTGGCAGGACGTTGTTGCCGTTGACGTAACCTCTGTCCAAGCATGTCCCAGACATGCTCGATGGGGGAGAGGTCGGGACTCAGTGCTGGCCAAGGTAATGTGGTGATGTTCTGTTGTTGGAGGTAACCTGTAACGATCCTGGCCCTGTGACATCTTGCGTTGTCATCCTGGAAGATGAAACGGCGGCCATGACGTCGTGCGAACGGCACAACATGGACTGCCAAGATGTTGTCCCGGTAGTACTGGCCTGTAACACGCCCTGCAACAACATGTAAAGCCGTTCTTCCAGCAACAGTGATGCCTCCCCACACCATAACAAAACCACCCCCAAATCGATCATGTCTGATGACGTTAACGTCTTGGAAGCGCTCGTTTCGACGCCGCCACACCCTCCTACGTCTGTCCAAAAAATCAACAGTGAACCTTGACTCATCTGAAAACATCACATTGCTCCAGCGTCGATTATCCCAGTGTTGACGATCCCTACACCAACGACGTCTTGCCTGAATGTGATGATCTCTCAAACAAGGGATCACGCGAGGACGTCGGGCGCGAAGGGGACCCCTATGCAGTCGATTCCGAATCGTCTGGCCACTCACTCTCACACCAGTGTCTGTTTGAAGACGAGCGCTGATCTGATTTGCTGTGATGACACGATTTCTCAAGGCCAAGGTACGGATAAATCGATCCTGGGCTTGAGTTGTCGCCCTTGGTCGACCTGAGCGTGGTCTGTCCTGTACAGATTGTGTATCACGGTATCTGGACCATATCCTGCTTATGACAGACTGAGAAACATTCATCGTCCGCGCCACAACCGCCTGTGTTGTGCCGATCTGTAGCATGCCAAGGGCACGTAACCTTTCATTTTGGGTAAGTCCGACGCATATCAAAATTTGTTTTCTGGTCACTAAAACAATTAAACTGATGTTTCCACCCTGGAATTCAATGCCACAATGACTGTAACATTCAAAGTCAGAGTCGTGCAAATCTTGGGTTGGACCCCCATGATGATCCCAAGCATCACCTGCATTCCATGCGGTAGCTATTGGTGCGTTTGGGCGTCACATGTAACTGGAAATGTTTCTTCTGTTAGGTTCTATAGTGACTTTTTTCGTAGTCATTTGCATATTTTAGTATTATGCCCCCAAAATCAAATATCCCCTACTTTTTTTGAATAGTATATTAACACAGATCATTGCTATGGTAGATTTGCAACAAAGATTTTATCAAACCAGAAGTGACGCTAGCAAAAGGAATACAACAGAAGTAACCCATATATATAACTGACTGAAGTTTAGAGAGATAATAGATACACGGTCGATTTTCAGCTCACGGATAATTCCTTTAAGGACGAAAAATTGTAATATTCGACTGAGAGACGATATCTGTTCGAAATGAACTATTCATAAAAAAAATGACTGTCACGAGTAGGGCTGTGTCGATACAGTTCATTTTCGATACGATACGTATCGCGATATGGTGACATCACTTATTATGCCCAAAATAATCTCAAACTACATTCTCTTTCAAGACATTTGAGAAGAGTAAGCAAGCATCAGGGTTCTTAATCTATTTTGAAACAACCTGCTAGAATAATGTTGGGTCAGTTGAGATCCCGTAGGAAGTGGGTTAATTATAAGAGTCTATTCCCTTTGATATAACTAGACTTCAACAAAAATAATTCTTGGTAATTTATGGAGAATGCCGTATGTATAGGATTACCACAAAAATAACGACAGAGGTACACCTTTTGAAAATTTTCCATATTTAATTCACGTACCAACTTGAAGTTTACGTCAGTAATATTCCAGACTAAATTACCGTCTTCGTTTATTCGATGAAACGTTCGCGTTTCATAAGTCAATGATCTAAAATATTAGTATTTTTCTACTATTGCCAGTATCAGAAAACGCTTTACATGTAGCCAAAATAGGCTAATACGGCACCATGGCATTTCTTCATAACACAATATGTAGTTTTCTGTCAATCACTTAACAAGTCACGTAACTTGCAAAAGTTTTTATTCATTCGCCAATGATAGACACATGGTACAATTGTCACATGACAACCATACTTGAAATTGCTTTAAAAAAAAATTCCGCACGATTATGATATAGCCTTCAATAAAAACGACAATATTTTTAAATTTAAGCCTTTGTCAGAATGTGTATAAAATTAAAATCATAACGGTAAGCGCTATTTAGAACTGGTTTATTGACCTAATTCGCCACCGATATGTCACGCGTCATTGAAATTCAGCATTGGAGATGCCATCAGGAAAATATATTATTAAATGATTGTTTCTCGGTGTATTCAGTGTTCTATCAGGGGATTATATTCAATGAAGATTTAAATTTACCTAACAATTGGTCAATGAATCCATCAATGTATGATCCAGTTATTATTATGATATCTACTGGTACCTGGAATTCATACACGGCGTGGAAGACGCTCGATTGGCAAACCATGCTGAGATCGTCTTCTTTCGTCACGTAGGTTTCAATTCATGGTCTTTCTTAACTGAATAATTTTTTCAACAATACGGCGATACGGCCATATATATCGATATAAATATCGCTGGAACGTATCGATACATATCGATATATCGACACAGCCCTAGTCACGAGATAAGGGAAATATAGAAAAAGTCTGTATATTACCTTTTAAGCAATAATTATAGTTTATTCCTGTAACTTTATGAATTAACTAAAGCCATTATTTTTTTTACAATTAGTCAATTCCTTTTATGAATTGTTAGTTTCGAACAGATATCCTCTCACAGTCTAATACTACAACTTTTCGTCCTTAAAGGAATTATCAGTAAGCTTAAACTCGACCATCTCTCTCAACTTTAGTCAGTTGTAAGGATTATTTGTGTTTTCTTTTTGCTAGTGACACTAATTTAATCAAATCTTTGTTGGACATCTACCATAGCAATGATCTCTGTGTTAATATTATATTTGGAATGTGTTTAACCAGTTCTATCACTTCTGTAATATTGGCCGCCACCAACATTGTCCTTAAATAGACAGAATACTAACGAGTGTGTGTATTGTATCATGTATACTTCAGAAAGGTTATCTAATTGGAGATAATTCAGCATTGCAGCTTTGGGACAGTCTTTAACATGCACTTTTTAGGTTTGATTATGTCATTTTCAAACAAATAAATAAAATTTGTTTACTATTTATCTTTTTTTCTGTTTTCAGGTCCCTATAAGAAGTGGCCCACCCACTAGTCAAATAAGAACACATTCTATAGCTTCTATATCTAGAAATAGACAGACAGTAACATCCACACCAATATCTAGTAGAAAAGTCTCTTTGACACAAGAAGATTCAAATGTAAGAAATTTTGATACTTTTATTTAATTCTACAAGACTGTCCCTTTTAGTCTAGTTATTGCATGTAATGATTAGAACTGTAGAAGATTACACCTGAAATAATATGTAGATTTGGTTGTGTTTGATAATCATTAGAAAGTATCAACTCATCCAGACATGGTTATAAACCTATATTATCGCCATGTTTTATGGAGGAGAATGTTATTCCCCAGCAACTGGACGACTGTCTTCATTACGTTCCCATCCTTTTTACGCTTGCTTTCCTTAGCTAATAGATACAATAAGTGATCACACAAATATTCCCATTCAAATGCTTTTCAAGGCTATGCACTCTGCTTTTTTTGTATTGTTCAATATCAAGTAAAACTAATGGAATTCAACCATATATTTCTATACGCCCACATTTTCAAGTGGACGTATATTGTCGTCGCCCCAGTCTGTCCATCCACAATTTGTTTGTAGGCACTCTACAGGTCACAATTCTTATCCAATTTTGACGAAACTTGAAATATAGGTTGATCTCCAAAAAAGATCTCTGTTGCTTTAGATATTGGCATGTATCGGATTGAAACTTCATTTTTAGCTTGTGGCCACTCTAGAGGTCACAATTTGTATCGATTTAGATGAAACTTGAAATGTATGTTTATAACCCAAAGATCTCAGTTCCTTTCGATATTCACGCATATTGGGCTGCAATCTCCTGCATAATAGCCCCTGACAAAATGGTCGCTTCTTGTACGCAAATAGTGTAAAAGTATGTAAATCGTATGAATGTATGAAAAATCGTTTCTTTTGGGTTTTTTTTACCTTTGTCTATGTCCATCTCTTGCAATATGTAGGCGTATCTTGCATGGCAACTGCTCGTTGTCTTCTGTAGCAAGTATTTGATAATAAAGTTAATACAGTCAACTAACATCAAATTCAAAGAGATGGAAAATATTTTCATTTTAAAAATTCGATATCTTGCGAAACCAGACTCAAAAGCAATGCAATTATTGATTATTTTGATTGAATCATATATTCAAATAGCGTTTTAAATAATATTCAAATAGTGAAAACTAAAATATAAAGCATACAATGTTAAATCCCATCTTCATTAGCCAGGATTAAGCAGAAGACTAAAACATTAAACCCCATTTCATATAATATTAAAGTCTTTGACTGTATTTTATTTGGGATTGGTATTCTTATTTCTGCTTTTTACCAATGTTGGCACAATTTATTTTTTTAAAGGAAACACAAGAAGCTTCAAAAAGAAAAGAAGATAATGATGGCATATCAGCACAGTAAGTATTACAGATATAAAAGGTTTGTTTTTAAAGTTTGACACGTCGATTTGTTTTACAAAATGGGTGTATATATAAAATTTTAGGTCAACATATAGTACATATCTTAAATTATAACAGTTTGAACCAAAAATGAATCTGGAATCATAAGCAAGCTTGCTTTTGCTTAGTCTTACAAAATAGAAATTTAAATATATCTAGCTTGTCCCATCACAAATTGAAAGAAAGCATGAAATCAACACTATTTCTAACATTCAACTCTAAATAATTATCTTAAAGATAATACACATGTTCAACAAAATTTGTGGTTATTTGAACTTCACACCAAAAAATAGGAAGTGGTAATCAGGTTTTCCAGAAACAGAAATAGCTTACCTCAAACACATACCCACCAGTCACTGTTTATATTTAAATGCCAGTGATCCTGATTTGTCACAAAAAAAGAATTGAAAATATGTATTTGTAAATAAATCTTTGATAGAAATAAAAGACAAGATTTTCCATATGGTATTTAGGGGAAAGATGGAGTTTATATATGGCATTATTATTAAATAAAATCGTTTTGATGTATGGCGAATATCACCATTTTTTCAACTTTTTTGACAGATTGCCAAGAGACAAATTGTATGAAACACCCTCATCTTCATCGTGGGGTGCAGGTGGAGGTAAAATGAAACGAGATAAAACACATCATTATTCCAGTAAAAGGCCAGAAGATGATGATATTGTAAGTGGTTCTTTTTTTGGTGTGCTTCACTGTAATTTTCATGTATGACTGTCCCCAAAAACTTATTGCACTACAGTTCTAAACACAACCCAGGTTGTCATAAAATCCAGAGAGATAGGGATTATTATTTATTAACAATTATTGGAAGCAACAAGTCAACTACAATATATTATAAAATATCCCCCTCTTTTTGTTTACCAGAATTTAGTCTGAATAGTATATAGGTTCGCAGTAGTAGAGATGTTTCTGAAACTCAGTTCAAGTTATTTTTCTGACTCTGTAGTGAGTAGGCCTGTCTACCAGCACTAATAGTTTCACATTTTTGTCCCAGGCCTTTTGAAGAAAGCTGAGAACTATTAACTTGTTGTCGGCTGTCTGCTGGTCACACTATTTGGGACACATGCTCAAACTTGGTGTAGGTGTGTATTAGGTTATCTTTACGGAGTTCGATGAGCAATTTCTGCTTAATGCAACTTTGTGTATAGGTTGTTTACATCAATACTGTGATTAAGTTTAATGCTCAGTTATTGTCCCCCGCCTTTCGAAGAAAGCAGGGGACTATTAAAATGGGTTCGTCCGTCTGTCTGTCTGTCCGTCTGTCTGTCCGTCCGTCTGTCTGTCCGTCACACTTTTTGGGACACAATAACTCTCTTCCTAATTGAGCTAGAATGTTCAAAATTGGTGTATGTGTTTATTAGGTCAATGCCTTGATGGAGTTCGAAGATGAGCATTTTCCGCTTAGGGTAAGCAGAGATAAGCAATTTGATTGGTTGATGCTTTGGGACACGATAACTCTCTTCCTAATTGGGCTAGAATGTTCAAACTTGGTGTATGTGTTGATTAGGTCAATGCCTTGATGGAGTTCGAAGATGAGCATTTTCCGCTTAGGGTAAGCAGAGATAAGCAATTTGATTGGTTGATGCTTTGGGACACGATAACTTTTAATTGAGCTAGAATGTTCAAACTTGGTGTATGTGTTTATTAGGTCAATGCCTTGATGGAGTTCGAAGATGAGCATTTTCCGCTTAGGGTAAGCAGAGATAAGCAATTTGATTGGTTGATACTTTGGGGCACGATAACTCTCTTCCTAATTGAGCTAGAATGTTCAAACTTGGTGTATGTGTTGATTAGGTCAATGCCTTGATGGAGTTCGAAGATGAGCATTTTCCGCTTAGGGTAAGCAGAGATAAGCAATTTGATTGGTTGATGCTTTGGGACACGATAACTTTAGTTCTAATTAAGTGAGATTGATGAAACTTGGTGTATAGTTTCATTACAGTAATACCTTGACTAAGTTTGATAATGAGCATTTTCTGCTCAGGGTAAGCAGAGCGATACGCAATTTGATTGGTCGAGACTTTGGAACTCAATAACTCTCCTTCTAATTGAGGTAGAATGTTCAAACTTGGTGTAGCCGTTCATTAGGTGAATGCCTTGATAGAGTTCGATGATGAACATTGTTTGCTTATGGTAAACAGAGATAAGCAATCTGATTGGTTGATGCTTTGGGACATGATAACTTTAATTCTAATTAAGTGAGAGTGATGACTGCATGCTTTGGGACAAGATAATCGTGATTCTATCAGATAGAGAATGATGAAACTTAGTGTATAGTTTGATTGCTCGATACTTTTGAAAAAAATAAATGTGCGATTAATTAATATGTCATCTATTTATTTTGGGATTTCAGCGGGGGACATCAGCCTCACTGTTGGCTTGTTCTTTTCTGTATTTCAGATGGAGATTCCCAGTTTAAAGGCTGATTTTACATTACCTGTTTCCAACTTACCTCAAATACATTTTACAGCTACACCTATTGTTAAAGTTGATGATGATATGGCCAAATGTATATCTGAAACTAATAAAGGAGAATTAAAATTTTCTTTCTCCTCACCAGTACATCAATCACAGACACCTGTCAATGTGGAATCACCCGGTAGTAATGTCAAAGTAAGTAGATAGTGTGTAACAAAATGATACAGTTGGTCACTTTTATGTAGACAAATTTCTTTATCTATATTTTGGATGCAGATCAATGTGTGTTAAGTTATCAAAGAAATGTTTGAGCTTTTTACACTACTTTACTAATATGATTTCTGTATCTAGTCCACCCGACATGAAATGTAAATTAAGCGACTATAGTTTTTTTCTTCAATATCTCAATACTTCTATTTTCAAAACTAGACCGGCATAATAGGAGTTGTGGTTGGTAGCATTTAACTGTATATCAATGTAGTAGATATAGAAAAACATTAACCCTTGTAATGCCAAGTTAGACAGGAATATGTTTTTGAATTGACCAAAATACTACTTAAAAAAATAAGATATTTTGAGTATATTTTAAGAGCCTGCTATGAATTGTATTTTCAGAGTTTTACATTTAGTTCACCTTTAAAAGCTGATGATAAAAGTAAAGATGCTCAACCATCAACAGTGGCATTTACTTTTATGTCAACACCAACTACGGCCCCTAAACTTAAAACTACATCTGTGTTAGGTAATGGAGGTATGTAGCTATTTGTATGCTTGCATTTTGTAACAATTTGTTGTAGATTTAAAAAGTTTAAGCTACAACAAATTGTTAAAAAAATTTCTGTCACCTTATGAATACTATAGTTCAATTCTGTTAAGATGTGAACAGGCAGAAAGCACCCTTTCCATAAATTACTTTACTATATTTATTATATCCAGGCCACGAAATTTCAAATTTTGGCGTAACCAGAAAAATGGTTGTGGGTTTATGCTCTGCATAACCATTTTCTTTGGTTACGTCAGATGACCATTGCGTAACCAATTGGTTACATAAAATGGTTGCGCTGTTTTCATGTTTTATCCAGATTTAAATGGTGCTATTATTCATTTCCACTTGCAGTGAATGTATTTTTTCAAGAAATAACTTGACTAATTTATATTCTTTTATATTTAATATTATATATTTTGAGGTTAAGTGTTTATGACTTAAATCCCACTGTGTCCCCATTTAAAAAATAAAACGTTAGAAAAAAAAATGTTCCACTTCACTAAATCCCTATACATTTTAATAATGAGGGGAATCGGTTCTAAAAATTACTAATGGATTTTCGTTTTTGTATCATATCTGACCTTCAAAAACCAGAAATGGTAGCTACCGCATTGTTTTTGGTCACTGAAGACTACATGCGTACTTCATATTCCACTTGTCACTTGCAATCATTCATCCAAGCACGTAGCATGAGATAGCCTCACTCATAGGTAGTGACTGATTGACAAACAGTATTTATAAACCTCGGCACTCTATACACAAAGTCTCAAAAGGAAACAGAATAGTTTGATGTCATGAAATAATATTAAAATAGACAGGGCAGTAAAATCGTTTAGATTATCGCTGGAGCGATGCAGGGGAGGGGGTCAAAGTTGATGACATACATACGGGTCATTGGTACTACAGCATGGCTGTAGTGAAAACTGAAAGGAACACATGTAGTAAATTCTTTGGAAATATAGCCGACATGTTAAATAGTCAAACTCATTTCTCATTTTGTGTTTGAAAATCCAAAGGTACGCTTTCAAATATTTATGGCATAACTAATCATTTAAAGAATTAGGGGTGAGGGGCATTTTTAAATCAACCTGCTTGCAACTGGTCAATAGCCTACGTGGTGTCAAAGTACGTGATCTGTCAAAGTACCGTGATCTGTCAAAGTACCGGTAAGATGGAGGAATGAAATGCCAAGAATGAATGAATGGAGTTTGTGCTATAATACAAATATACTATTCAAAAAAAGTAGGGGATATTTGATTTTTAAGTGTTATTAAAGTCACCTAATGAAACTGACGAAGAAACAAATGACAAAATGAAATGAAGTTCACATTCATCGATTTATTCCAAATGATCGTTAGACTAAGTAAGGCACAGACTGACCATTATAAGGGTAAAATGATACCCGGGGTCAAACAGCAAAGTTACCACAGCATCACAACCAAGTCAGTAACGGGTAAATCCTCCTCTGTTTGCCAAACAAGCATTGATCCGACGTGGCATACTCCTAATGAGACGTCTAAGGTCATTTTGGTCCAGATTGTCCCATTCCTGTTGCAACGCAGCAGCAAGTTCTTGAACATTGGCAGGACGTTGTTGACGTTGACGTAACCTCTGTCCAAGCATGTCCCAGACATGCTCGATGGGGGAGAGGTCGGGACTCAGTGCTGGCCAAGGTAATGTGGTGATGTTCTGTTGTTGGAGGTAACCTGTAACGATCCTGGCCCTGTGACATCTTGCGTTGTCATCCTGGAAGATGAAACGGCGGCCATGACGTCGTGCGAACGGCACAACATGGACTGCCAAGATGTTGTCCCGGTAGTACTGGCCTGTAACACGCCCTGCAACAACATGTAAAGCCGTTCTTCCAGCAACAGTGATGCCTCCCCACACCATAACAGAACCACCCCCAAATCGATCATGTCTGATGACGTTAACGTCTTGGAAGCGCTCGTTTCGACGACGCCACACCCTCCTACGTCTGTCCAAAAAATCAACAGTGAACCTTGACTCATCTGAAAACATCACATTGCTCCAGCGTCAATTATCCTAGTGTTGACGATCCCTACACCAACGACGTCTTGCCTGAATGTGATGATCTCTCAAACAAGGGATCACGCGAGGACGTCGGGCGCGAAGGTGACCCCTATGCAGTCGATTCCGAATCGTCTGGCCACTCACTCTCACACCAGTGTCTGTTTGAAGACGAGCGCTGATCTGATTTGCTGTGATGACACGATTTCTCAAGGCCAAGGTACGGATAAATCGATCCTGGGCTTGAGTTGCCGCCCTTGGTCGACCAGAGCGTGGTCTGTCCTGTACAGATTGTGTATCACGGTATCTGGACCATAGCCTGCTTATGACAGACTGAGAAACATTCATCGTCCGCGCCACAACCGCCTGTGTTGTGCCGATCTGTAGCATGCCAAGGACACGTAACCTTTCATTTTTGGTAAGCCGACGCATATCAAAATTTGTTTTCTGGTCACTAAAACAATTAAACTGATGTTTCCACCCTGGAATTCAATGCCACAATGACTGTAACATTCAAAGTCAGAGTCGTGCAAATCTTGGGTTGGACCCCCATGATGATCCCAAGCATCACCTGCATTCCATGCGGTAGCTATTGGTGCGTTTGGGCGTCACATGTAACTGGAAATGTTTCTTCTGTTAGGTTCTATAGTGACTTTTTTTCGTAGTCATTTGCATATTTTAGTATTATGCCCCCCAAATCAAATATCCCCTACTTTTTTTGAATAGTATAATTTAGACCTGTGTCACAAGTCATCCTGTATAAAAATTGATCAAATGTGAATAAATCTGTTAATGAAATTTAATAATCGTAACCGATATTTCAATTTGTGTAACCAGGAAAAGGGTCGCGTGTTTTTGAGGTGGCGCGACCGCATGTAACCGATTGGTATCGTTCGCGTGAAATTTCGTGGCCTGATATCTGTTTTAGGTTGGCTCGCTAACCTGGAGGTCCGGTGTTCGATCCCTGCATTGGTCGATAAAGTTCATCAGGATTTTCAAACATGGTTCCCCCTTGTCACTGGTATAGAACAGATGGCCTAGCAAGGAACAGCATATAGTTTTTCGGATGGAACAGAAAACCAAGGTTCCGTGTACACATTGTTGTGCATGTAAAGGACCCTTTGGCAGCCAAATTTTCCCACATAGCACACTATGTCATATGGCAATCTTAGCCCAGCAAGAGCAGAACAGAGGAGGTTAAACCCCATTTCATTTTCATTTCTGTTTTAGGTGTTGATTGTAAGTCCAATCAGTTGTCATCAAAAACTGAGATGAACAAGTCCAACTTGGCGAATTTTACTTCTAAAAGTGACAGCTTTAAATCATCACCTGTGTTGAAATCTGGAAGTGTTATGGATATTTTGGGTAATGGATCATCACCTAAGACGTTAAAGCAGGGAAGTGTGATGGATATATTAGGAAAAAATTCGACAACTTCACCAGTTTCCACTTTAAAAGAAGGAAGTGTCATGGACATTCAAAATAAAAGTTAGTTCTGTTTTATGATTTTATCTATTAAAATATATAACCTTAACAAAGGTTTGATTTCTCGAATATTAAGTATATATTCCACAGCCTATGTGAGCTGGATATTGCTCTGTCAAGAAGTTAACCCATAAGTGCATAACCATTTTTTGTTCCCAAACCCCTTTCGTGCATAAGGGCCGAGAAAGTTCATCCAGATTTTCCGGCGTGGTTCTCCCTTGTCAGTGATGCAGGACGGAGGGGCTGACAAGGAAAGCTGTCTAGTCGTTCGGATGGGACGAAAAACCGAGGTCCCGTGTACACATTGGCGTGCACGTAAAAGATCCCTTGGCAGTTGGAATTCGATATAAGAGTAGGCCGTAGTGCTGCTGTCCGGGCAAAATTTCCCTCATAGCACACTGTATGGCGTATGCCCGTCTTCATTTGCCCAGGTTAGGAGCAGAACAGTAGGACGTTAAACTCCATTTCATTTCATTTCATTTTTTCGTGCATAAGGCATGTTTTATTATAAAGTGTACCAGTGGGTATCTAACAAATGTAATGGTTTTATTAGAAAAGAGAAAAAGAGCTATTAAATATTTTTCTTATCTTCAAAATCAGCATATATTGAACATATAAAATACTTAATACCAGCTTTATTGGTGTATTTTTTTTATTAAAATAAGTTTCAAATATTTTAATGAATTACATCATTTAAGACAGACATTTTTCCCATCATTTTTTATCAAGAGTTTAGAATACATTGAAATAACATTTGTTTTAAAATTTTTAATTTATTTTTATATAATTATAATGGCAAGTGTGCCTTCTTTAAAACAGACTTAAAAATATACTGATGAGAAAAATAACAAGTTCCGAAAATTGAATTGTTCAAACCCCAGTGAAAATTTCACTAGTCGGTCCATCCACTACATTATTGAGGTGGTCTTACTTTCGTTTTGTAAACTTTGTATTTTTATGTCACGTGGAAATAAATTTGTCCCTTTGTGGAATGGCTGTTTATGTTTTAGTATATGCCATTTAAAAAAAGCAGGAAAATGGTTTGGAAAATCAAATTTCCATGCTTATATATATTGCTAACGTTTCGTCCAATTGATGTCTGTCCAGTTTTAGCGAAACGTTAGCATTATTTTAATATTTCTTTTCGGCTTCATATTACGTGATAGAATTTGAATAACCGCTGCATACGAAGCGTGAGTGTAGTCTCGATCTTCCACACAGGATACGGATAATTTGACACGGGTAGTCGATTGATTATGCCATTTTTACAGTTGTCTGTCCGATACGTTAGCACCACTAATTCGCCTTTCACGGCGTTATTTACTCAAAATGTATCACTTTCTTTACAGCCTTTAGAAAAGAAAACCGGCTTTCCGATTCCCGATGCATAAACATGGCGGTCGGCATTCTTGCCTTATTCACTCGATCAAAATGACTTTGACCCCCTCAAAAAAGTGCTAACGTGTCAATTGTCAGACCGATTAAATAAACCGTCTATCCTTACGTAACGTTAGCACGCGCTTTTAAAATACTTTTTGTCCTATTTTAAATTTAAAACTCGCCCAAGGGTAGAAATACTATACAATTTATTAATACCTTTCATTGCGGACTATTTGAATTTTTAGTTAAAAACAATAATTCAAGTAATACAGTTATTTATAAAATGTCCATGTCTGTCCTTATGTAACGATAGCAACAGTTGCATGCCCGATAAATGGTTAAATTTTAGGTTATTAAAATATATGATTATATTTATTATATTAATCTTAAATTCTTAATATTATGCTTTATTTAGCATGTAAAAAATCTCAGTAACTACTTACATCAACACTATAAATAGAAATTTTCATCAAACTTTAGTGCTAATGTTACAAATCTGCCAGAATGTCTGTCCACATGTAACATTAGCAATGTAATTACTTTTTAAATTAAAAATTAATTTGTAAATCATATCCCATGAAACTTCAGATTTAGATAATGTATTATTACATTAAACTTTTGAAGAAAATTATTAATATATATAAGCAACAGTTAATATCTGAAAGGAAAATAAATGTGCCATGCGTCTGTCCAATTCAAAAGAGACATTTTATATTTACGAAAATGGTCATCTTTACTGTCTTATGACCCAAAAATATCTTTTATCTTTTTTAAAATATATTTTGGAAGAATATGTATCAACCTTCCCTGAGACAGGGATTTTGTAAGAGGAATTGGAATTTCATAATTCAGATGGGATTGGGAACCTATGGTGGTACACTTTAAAAAAAAACATGCCATAAGCCTAATTCCTGGCATTGCGATGGAAATTGGTGCCAAATACAAAAATGAGGAAAAAAGTATTTTCTGACAATAACAAACCCTAAAAAGTACATATATTTAGAAAGAGTATAAAAAGGGCTTTCTGAATCTGTAAAGAAAATAAGGGAAAAATTATTTACATGAATGTAGGTGGCAGTAGAATTGACAACTTGAAATCAGGGGAAAAAAAAAAAGTTCCCACTTTTGAGTGCAATAAAAAATATTTATTGATGCAGAATGTTAGAAATGAAGTATGCTGCTTTCAGAGGCATCTCTTTGGGACATAATACAGAATTTTAATTGAAAATATCCAATAACTTTACAACAGCAGTGGGAGGAAACCGGAGGACCTGAAGAAAACCCACGAGGTTAAACCGATGCTGTTATACATTTTGTACACTCATCAAACCATAAATTATGATCAAACACACTAAAATGCAGCACAAATATCTACGATTTCTATGTGAAGCAAAAAAACTGGACAAAAAAAACCGCTATTTTGCCTAAATAAAACACAGAAATACACACTATGTAGCGTAATCCAACTCACACAGTAATCCTTGGCAACTATGAATGGGATCCTGTACAAATCATGTCTTAAATCAACAAAAATTTGCGAAAAGTTACATAAATTTTACTCAAAACATTGCCAGGACGGCCATGTTGGATTTAGACAATGGTGCCACAAGGGGATTTCCTGTGGAACCACCTTTAGCGCGGTAAATTCAAACTGTTAAAAACGATACGGGAAATTCCGTAGCCATGCAATTTCAGCCTTTGTTTACTCTACGGGTAGGTCGTAGCCATGCACTTATGGGTTAAAATGTTTTGATGTCCTGGTTAAAATAACTTGAAATACGAAATATGTAATATGTTTGTTCTCATTCCCTCATTTATACTTAGTAAATATTCAGCTAATTCCCTCATTTAAACTTCCTCATTCAGACATATTAAATATTCAACTAAATCTCTCTTTTAGACCTAATAAATATTTAGCTAAACCTCTCATTTAGACTAAGTAAATATTCAGCATGATATTCATGTTGTTTATTTGTTTTTAGAGGACAAAAATACAGTTGAACCAGAATTCAGGAAAGCCGATACAGTAAAAATTACAGCAACAGGTATATACTTCCACACTTTGATAGATGTAAAATATCGAAGAAAGTATATCAGTTTCTTTATAAATTCAATGATTAATGTGACCAAATGTTTACAAAAGCTACCTCATATTTGATTACAGGTGATATATAATGGAGAGTGAAATTATGAATTGAATAAATTTGATAATAAATGTTATTTTGAAATTTTTACAGAGGGAACAATTACAGGAAATAAAGAATCATTATCATCACTATTTTCTAAACCATCTGGAGCATGGTCATGTGATATCTGTATGGTACAAAATAATCCTGATAAAACAAAATGTGCTGCATGCGAGGCCCCAAGACCTGGTTCCAAACCACCAGGTAGTGTATTGATTACTTATTTCTGGAACTGAAGCAAGAAGAGTTGCTTTTTATACGTCCAAATTGAAATGTGGTCTGTGGTCGTATATTGTTGTCGGTCGGTCCGGCATCCACAATTGCTTGTGGACGCTCTAGAGGTTAAAGTTAATATCTGATTGACTTTAAATTTATACACAGTGTTTATGGTCTTGAGACGAAGAATCCTATTGATTTTCAGCAATTTCCGATAATTACTGCCAGAGTTATGGCCCTTGTTCACTTCAAAAAATCTTGTGGACGCTCTAGAGGCCAAAATTAATATCCGATTGACTTTAAATTTATACGCAATGTTTAAGGTCATGAGACGAAGAAACCTATTGATTTTCAACAATTTCCGATAATTACTGCCAGAGTTATGGCCCTTGATCTTGTGGATGCTCTAGAGGCTAAAGTTAATAACCGATTGACATTAAATTTATACACAGTGTTTAAGGTCATAGAATGATGAAGCCTGTTGGTTTTCAGCGATTTTTGATAATTACTGCCAGAGTTATGGCCTTTCAAAAAATCTTGTGGATGCTCTAGAAGCCAAAGTTAATATTCGATTGACTTTAAATTTATACACAGTGTTTAAGGTCATTAGACGAAGAAGCCTATTGATTTTCAGCGATTTCCAATATTTGCTGCCAGAGTTATGTCCCTTGATCACTTTGAAAAATGTTGTGGACGCTCTAGAGGCCAAAGTTAATATCCAATTGACTTTCAATTTATACACAGTGTTTAAGGTCACAAGACGAAAAAGCCTATTGATTTTCAGCTATTTCCGATAATTACTGCCAGAGTTATGGCCCTTGATCACTTCAAAAAATCTTGTGGATGCTCTAGAGGCTAAAGTTAATATCCGATTGAGTTTAAATTTATATACAGTGTTTGAGGTCATGAGACGAAGATTCCTATGCGACAACTCTTTTTGACTGCCCGGACGATATAGCTGCTGTGGACGTATGTTTTGTTGCCTGGCAACCTATCTTTTTATGCTGTAACACGTTTTGTGACAATTACTCTGCTTCTATTTGAGCTAGAATGTTCAAATATGGTGTAGTTAATGATGAGCATTTACTGCATGATAACTTTGATTCTAATTGAGAATATCGATGGAACATTTTTAATAAACATTTATTTTTGTCATTTAAATGTCTGTATCTTTTCTTTTATTTTTCGTTGCAGTGGGATCAATTACAGGAAATAAAGAATCATTATCATCACTATTTTCTAAACCATCTGGAGCATGGTCATGTGATATCTGTATGGTACAAAATAATCCTGATAAAACAAAATGTGCTGCATGCGAGACCCCAAGACCTGGTTCCAAACCATCAGGTATTAACGTCTATGGCTAGTTAAAATCCCAGGAAAACAACCAATTTGGAATTCAAATTATTTTCCGCCAATCATTATGTTGTTTATTGAATGAAAATTTATTAAAATATTGTGTGATGGCAAATAAGATGCCAGATGGGAACACTTGGTTAATTCTTAAACGGGAAATGGTTACAGATAAAAATTATTGTTTTGTGAATAATTATCGAGCTTGTATACGGAATTATCAAATTTAAAGGTTAGCTTACAATTAGTTTATTGACTAATTTTTGACTACTTTTAATCTCGTCGACTGACATCAAGGGGATTAAAATGTTTGTATACAGTGGAACGGTAAATCATGTTTGTTAAACATTTTTTCGCGCTTAGTTTGTCACATGAAACTTGATTCACAGATTCCCTTAAATTTGATAACTTTCTGCTAATGTTACACTTTTAGGTTCTTTAAAGTCATGTTCTGTATGACAACACTAGTTTAACTTCATATGATACTTTTATTGTTCTTCAAACATGTAATTAGCTTGTGTTGAGGAAGCCATGGTCCTAGCGTGACTTGAAACCCTTGGGTGCCAACTCCCAACTAACTTACATGACCCCTCCTGGTCTTAACTCAGACGCTCTCGCCTTCTCTATAGTCTCAGTTTGATTCCTGCTTATAATCCCTTTCTAGACAAAGGATCATCAAAGAGATTATGTAGCTAGCTATATTACATCATGAGTTCATTACAGATTGCTTTGCAGGCCAGCCATAAGTTTATATTATGATAATGACGAATGAGTGCTATCTGGACAACATTGGTGTCGATAGCAGACAGGAGGATATTAAAATCAGTTCCACTTTCATGTGTCAGGATGGCTTGATAACGTACCCTTGACATCTGTCATTGTGTAACATAATCAATTAAGTAGCTGTTTCACACTATTCAAACTATTCGAGGGGTTTAATGTCCTATTGTTCTGCTCCTACTAGGCTAATGAAGATGGGCATACACCATGCAGTATGCTATGAGGGAAATTTTGCATACACAGGACCTCAGTTTTCCATCCCATCCGAACAACTGTACGTTGTCCCTTGCCAGGGCTTCTCTCCTACACTCACTGACAAAGGAGAACCAACCAGGAAAATGACAATGAACTTCCACAGCCAACCCAGGGGATCAACGTGGGATCTGCTGGTTATTGAACCAATATCCTACTCACTGAACCACCGTGGCACCCCAGGCAAACCATACATGAGCATACTCAAAGAGCAGTGCAAAAAGAATCATAGCTGATTGGATAATATTTTCTTTGTATTTTCTAGTGACACAAGCTACAAGTTTGTCAGTATTATTTAAGAAAGAAGAAGGTTCATGGGATTGTAATGTATGTTTAGTTCAGAATAAAGCAGATGTTACAAAGTGTATATCTTGTGAAACACCTAAACCAGGCGCCAAAAGTACAGGTAAATGGAAATTAAATTATGTGTTAAACAGTGCTGGCAGATGAGGCTTCTTTCGGATGATGCGGGAGCCACGTTGGCTCGCAAACGTGGAGGTCCCGTGTTAGATCCCTTTGCTGGCTGAGAAAGTTCATTGGGATATTCCAGTGTGGGTCCCTCTTGTCAGTGGTGTAAGATAGAGGCCCTGGAAGTATGATGTATTATAATAAATTCAGTTGTGCTGTCACTGACATCTTTGCACTTAGTATCTGTATTAGGAGTTAACTATTGGTTATCGATGGTATAATCTGCAGTGGCCAGTTATCGCTAATTAGGATTTAACTCTTGGTTATCGATAGTATATCGGTAGCCAGTTATCAATAATTAGGATTAAACTATTTGTTACTGATGGTAATGTCCACAATCACCAGTTATTTATAAATACTATATAACTATTAGTTATCAATATTATAATCCAGTCACCAGTTACCGATAATTAGGATTTAACTATTGGTTATCGATTATTTTGCACATCGCTGGTATTTAACTCATACCATTTATGACAGTATTGCTAGTTTCACTATTGGCCATGTGCCACTTCTGAAGGTACAGTACAAAGCAGAAATAAAGGTGGGATTTTATTGTGTGATTTGTAAAAAATTTAATCTAGACCGGTCAGATGAAATGTTATTTTAAAATAAAAATTAGTTTATAAACAGCTGACAAATAGCTATATTTTGTTGCTGTCTTTGAAGTAACTTATTGTATGTTGACTCTTTCAGAAGGAAATAGTAATACATTATCATCAGGTATTAAATTTGGATCAAGTGGTGCTGGTACAATCACAGATTCTGGTTTTAAAATTAATACAGTTGATTCAAATAAAACAAATACTAGTGCCTGTGGTTTTAAATTTGGATCAACAGACTCGACCACACCTGTGACAACGGGAGGATTTAAATTTACGGACAGCCAATCTTCAGATAAAGTTTCTTTTGCAACTGATAATAAACTGTCTGATAAAACAACAACTGGATTCAGTTTTGGTTCTAAGGACACCACCAGTTCAAATCCGAAAACAGACACTGGATTTGCTTTTGGTAATCCTAAATCATCTGGTGAGCAGAAGTCTGAAACAGGTTTTACGTTCGGTAATCCCAAAGCCTCTGGTGGGGAAAAATCAGAGACCGGCTTTAATTTTGGAATTGCGAAATCTACTGATGAAGGTCAAGCAGGAAGTGGTTTTAGTTTTAGTCCCCCAGCCTCATCTGATAATAAAACTGATAATATGGCATTTGGCCAAACAAAGACAGATGATGTTAATGTGTCTAGTGGTTTTAGTTTAGGTGCTCAATCAAACTCTATATTTGGTGGTAATACAAATTTGGAAAAGGGCTTTCAGTTTAATCAGCCCTTGAAAACTGCGGATAATTCTAACTCTTCCCAAACAAATACAAACGGTCAGTCATCTACTGGAGGCTTTGTGTTTGGAGCTTCAGATTCTAAGAATAAAATTCAAGAAACAAACAATAATAATTTAGTGAAAGATAAAAGTGTAGAAATAAAAAGTGGTTTTAGTTTTGGACAATCAGCACCATCTAGTGTTGGAGGTTTTAATATGGGGTCGAATTCTGTTTTAGGTAATTATGATTGTTTATTATTATACTGTATTTTATACCAACAAATATCAAACTTTGCAATGCAAAGAAGCACTCTGTAAGTTAAGTATTTGTTCAAAGAAACCTCAAGAGAAATCACAATAAGCCTTTGGTAGGTGATTTTTATGCTCAAGAATCAAGGACTTTTCCCAATATACTTTCTGTGCAAGTATAGACATTCTAAGTGGATAATACAGTACAAGTTGCTACTAACTGAAAAGAAAAACGCAGACAGTAGCAGTTAATTAATCTGCTCTGCCCACTCTAAATTTCCATCGCTATTTTAGTAAATTGAAGTCCACTCCAGATTTGTTAAGCTGTCGAGAAAATTAACATCTACAGATATAAATGTATAGGTACAATGTGCGATACTTTTATTTAAAATCTAATTCCATAGAGATTATATCACAAGTATGGTAACTGTTGTTTGAAATGCAGATTTTACTGGCTTACAATGAAATAAAACTAATATCAAACATTCGCAGACAAAAAAAATTATGATTTTGTGTGAAGCATTGGGGTCATGAGAGAAAGATCTATATCAATATTAAGCATAAATAACCTACCATTCCGGAGTTACCTTCCTTTTCTGAAAGCCTTACGTGGCTGCAGTTTTATACACCCACATTTTCATGTGGACGTATATTGTTGTCGCCCCTGTCCGGACCAGACGTCCGTTCACAATTTGTTTGTGGATACTCTTCAAGTCACAATTTTTATCTGATTTTGATGGAACTTATAATATAAGTTTATCTACCAATGATCTTGGTTCTTTTCGAAAATGGCATGCATCGGACCGTAACTTCATTCATTATGGCCTCTGATTGTACGAAAATCACATATTTTTTTTAGCTTGTGGATGCATTAGAGGTCACAGTTTTTATCTGATTTTGATGAGACTTGAAATGTATGTTTATGACCCAGAGATCTCGGTTCCTTTCTATATTTTGCATATCAGACAGTAACTTCTTGGATTATGGCCCCCAGATAGTACAAGAAAATCACGTTTTTAGCTTGTGAACCCTCTAGAGGTCACAATTTTTATCCGATTTTAGTGGTTGAGTTTGAATTTCGAAAAGATCGGACCAAAACTGCCCAACAAAATGGACGCTCCTAGAACGCAAATAGTGTAAAAGTATGTAATACTAAGGTTATATAGTATAGCCCGGTTGGAGCTGACGTGCCATAAAACCACATTTCATTTCATTTCATTTCACTAAGGTTATGGACCCTCTAGAGATCACAATTTTTATTCAATTTTTGTGAAACTTAAAATATATGTTTATATTCCAAAGATCTGTTCCTTTCGATATTCACACATTTCAGACCATAATTTACTGGTTTATGGCCCCTGATTGTACAAACAATTTTTTTTTTTTTTTTTTTTTAAAAAGCAGCAGCTTGTCCTGCATCCATCTCTTGCAAAATGTGGGCAAGCACTGCTTAACCAAAATTTGATAAGCATTGGGTTCATAAGAGAGCAAACTACACTACAGTTTTTATTGGATTTATTTCAATTTCGTGTGTGGAGCAATTATGGTCTTAAGGGGATGAACCCCATCAATATTCAGAGTTCTGTAGTCTTGCTCTTAAAAGTTATCCCTCTTTTCCAAAACCTTGTGAAAACAATAGAGGCAACAATTTTCATTGTGGCACATTTAGATATTGTTTATAATTCCGTCAACTTATATCTGCTCAGATTGTCCACATTTGATGTATAAAGGAAAAACTTGGCGGAAAAAAAATTCTCAAACTTATGCTTGAAGTGCACCAGTAATTAAATATATTTATCTCCATATAAGCTTATCTGGGTTATTTTTGTTGACAGACCATTTTTTAATTTAATGATAATTTTGATCTAATTTCATTTACTCTAGGTGATAGTCAGCAAAAGTTACCGAATGATTTTACATTTGGTGGATCAACAACTAATACAAATACAGGAGGATTAGGTGTTTTTTCTTCTGCACCGACTGGTAATCTTACAAATACAAATAATACAAGCTTTACTTCATCTAAACGTACTATTGATGATGGTATGTAAATTTGTTGCCAATGATATTGATATATATTGGAAGTGAATTAAAATAAAACTATAAGAATAATTCTTCAATGTTCCATTATACTCATTATAATTCATCTAAAGCAGTTATACATGTATAGCCGCCTTGTCAAATTTATCAGCACAATTTATAATTTTAATACTGCATAAACAATGTACAGTATATATATATATAGGTACATGTATGTCTAATAACTAAATATTTTATTGTTTATAGATAGTGATGAACCAAAAGCCAAGAAATCATTTGTATTTGGTGCATCTTCCTCAACAGCACCCAATGGTCCTTTTGATTGTAAGTTTAGAAGAAATTTATGTATTTTTGGTTTATGATTATGCTGCTATTGACTGAAAAACTAAGAATAGAGTTGCAAACATCAAAGGCTTAAAGCCACATTGCAAAATATTCCTTGAAAGTTGAAATTTGAAGTGGGAACATCAAAATTTAAAATAAATTAATTTGTATTGCTTTAAAGATACATTATGTAAGATTTCGATAAAGAGCTGGCCGTTCTTGCTATAATAGTTTAAAAATAGATAATGCAAAGTGAACACATTGGAAATTTCATTCCAATTACTTTATTCTGAGCCAAGTTATCACTGTAGTTTTGACAAGATGTGTGCTTTGTTTATATCGTAATCACGGTACTGGTATATATTCCCCATTTTTATGATGTGGACGTATATTGACATCGACTCTGTCCTTCTGTCCGTACACAATTTGTTTGTGGACACTCTACAGGTTTAGATCTCATTTGCACATATCAGGCCATAACTTCCTGGATTATGGCCCCTGATTGTAGGCAAAATCACATTTTTATCAGATTTTAAAAAAACGTTTAAATATAATGAAGGTTGAGTTCGAATTTCAGGAAAATTAAAAACGAAACTGCCCAATCAAATGGACGCTCCTTGTACGCAAATTGTGTACAAGTATGTAATACGAAGGCTGTGAACCTTTGATGAAACTTAAAATATATCTTTATATCCCAAAGATCTCCGTCCCTTTTGATATTCGCATTTCAGACCATAACTTGTTTTGTTTTGGTTTTTTAGATTGATCTCTATCCATCTCTTGCAAAATGTGAGCGTATCTTGCCTGGCAAGCGCTGGTTGAATTAAATTATTAAATGGCTGAACTATTCTAATTATTTAAAATCTCGAGCATCTGATGGCATTGAGAGTTGATTATGGTCTTGTCATGTTAATAAATGTCTAATTAATAATATATATTTATAACATTTAAGCCTATAGAAAGACCTGCAATAGACAAATTTAGCTCTTCAATAATGTATCTTTAATTAAGTACTTTGTGTATGGATTTTTATAGACAATAGACAAATTTAGCTCTTCAATAATGTATCTTTAAATACTTTGTGTAAGGATTTTTATTATTTTACAGCTAAGCCTACAGTAGCAGTTCAACCAGAAACCAAGAATACTGCAGGACCTGTATTTAATTTTAGTGCTAACTCAACACAACAGCCAAATAATACAGGATTTAATTTTGGTGTTTCCACTCCTAATGTGCCAGTTTTTAAAGCAGTAACCAAGAAGATAGAGAAACAATCTGACTCATTATTTACATTTGGTGGTGGTGGTGTTGGAAATAACAGCCAGTCTTTTGGTAACACAAGTAATAATTTCTCTGGTGCGCCTGCAGCTTTTGGTAGTTCCAGTTTTGGTGGCAATGGTTCTACATCAGGATCAACAATTGGATCAACACAAGCAACCAATGCACCAGCATTTGGTGCCAGTAGTGCCACACCTGCTTTTGGTGCTTCTGGCCAAACTTCAGCATTTGGCAATTCATCTAATGCAGGTATACAAAGATTAGTTTTGCTTATCTGAATTGTACTATGTTTAATTATATATTGAAAAATCATCATAATATCAACTTTAGATAATCTCGCTAATATGAATATGAACCTAATAATCTTTAGGCATAATAATGGTATCTTTGGAAAAGGTTTTCCATGTTACAAGAGCATGGATTACATGTAAAAGATTCCTAAAAGATGATCAGAGACTTAAATTATTGATATATTTCCTCCATTTTAAAATTAAACAAATTACTCTTTTAATTCAGGATTCCAGTTTAGTGCCACACCCAATCTAAGCTTTACTGGAAATAGTGGTAGTTCAACTTTCCAATTCAGTGGAAAATCTGTAAGCAACACCTTTTACATTGCAAAGTTATTGTAGAAAATATTTATTAAACTTGAGAATTATACAATATGTATTTTCTTCAGAAAACGAGTTGACACTATGAATTCTCATAAAGTTTTGCATGCTTCTTGTTTTTGATTATTTTTTTTTATTTCTCCATAAAGGTTTATATCATATCAACATTTAGTGTATTACCTTGTTTCTCCATATCATTTCAAAGGAAAACCTTTAAAAAAAAAGAAAATCATAGTTTGAGTAAGATTGATATTTTTTATTTGGTATAGAACGAATCAGGCAATGCTACAACAGCCCAAACACCACAAACCCCAGCTTTTGCTTTTGGTGGTCCAGGACCAGCAGCTGTTGCACCTACAACTTCATTTACTGCACCAAATTTTGGTACCCCAGGTCAGCCTGGTAGTTTTAATATTGGGTAAGTTCAGTTTTACTCTTTAACTTTGTTACGTGGGTAGAGTTTATCTCTGACGCAATAATCATTGATTGTCACTTTCATCATTAAATACTCAACCGTTAAATTTCATGGAAACAAACAGATTTCGAAAAATTATATTTATCATCTCATCTTTTTATAAGCCTACATTTTTATGTTGACATATATTGTGTCGGCGCCCCTGTCCGACCATCCACAGTTTGTTTGTGGACAGTCTACTGGTCACAATTTTTATCCGATTTTGACAAAACTTATGGCCCCTGATTGTAAGAAAAATCACGTTTTTAGCTAGTGGTCTCTCTAGAGGTCACAATTTTAACCAATTTAAAAAAAAGTTGGAATATATTACCGTTACACCATAATGGCTGCTCCATGTACACAGATAGTGTTAAAGTATGTAATATCAAGGTTGTGGATCCTCTAGAGGTCACAATCGATTTTAATGAAACATGTGTTTATATCACAAAGATCTCAGTTCCTTTCGATATTCGCACATATCGGACCGTATAACATATATGTTTATATCCCAAAGATCTCGGTTCCTTTCGATGTTTGTGCACATCAGAGGTCACAATTTTTATCCAATATATGTTTATATCCCAAACATCTCAGTTCCTTTCTATATTCGTGCACATCAGACCATAGCTTCATGGATTACGGCTCCTGATTGTACAAAAAATCACATTTGTAGCTTCTGGACTCTCTAGAGGTTACAATGGTCGTATTTAAGAAAATCGCTTCTAATACTTACATAAAGATTATTTCGCAGAGGCTATCCCAACAACATTATACACCAAAGAATCAACTTGATACCTAAAATCAATCTTAGATCGATCATCACCAAAAACTAAAGACTTTTAGGAAATCACGGGAATATCGAAAATTTACGAAACTTACTCATGAGATCTGATATAACAAAAACAAATGACAATAACAGCAGAAAATATAAGATCAGGAACCACCTCACTTGCAACATTAAATTCATTATTTATTTAATTACATGCAGTAACTGCAATATGTAGGCCAAACAAGCAATGATCCAGTACCCACACAGACGTATCAGCCTGTCCATCTTTTGTCACCTTGTCAAGGGAGTTTTGCGGTTCATCTTCTTGTATCCTATCTTAAAAACCGTTTAAATATATCACCGTTGCACCGTAATGAATGTTTTATTTGAATTTCGGGAAAATCAAAACGTTAACTGCCCGACAAAATGGCCGCTACTTGTATGCAAAATAGTGTAAAAGGTTGTGGATCCTCTAGAGGTCACAATTTTTGTCTGATTTTGGTTTCGATTCCACGCTTGTACATGTCCAACCTCGTAGGTTTTCTCTGGGTCCTCCGGTTTCCTCCTACTGCTGAAGATCCCTACATGCAAATGATTATTGAAATAAAATTGAACAGTATATTAGTCCCAAAATGATCTAGGTTGTATCCAGTGACCATTAAACCCCATGAATAAGTTCGAGAATGGTCATTATCTGATCCATTTGTATTTATGTTCTTTTTTTTTTGCGACAAAACTTAAGGACTGCTTGACAATATAACTGTTTTTGCTTGTATGTTTCATTACTTGGCAACTTATCTTTTTCCTTCTCAGGAGTGCAAACGTCTTGTTCAATTTGATAATGCCCAATATTGCTAAATGGAGTTTTCTCCCCTGAACATCCGGTCAGACAAAATACTGCATAAAATACCATACAAAATAAAGTGGCCCATTAAATTGTAAATTCCATTAAATACCATATAAGATATATATTTTGCATGAATCAAAGATGGCTGACTCGATGAAATTAATGGAAAAAATTTATTTGTGAAAACTCTTTAATTTGAATTTATTTGTACATGTATATGTTCATTCACATATTTTCTTATTTTTAGGGCTGGAGCTACAGATAGAAAAATAAAGAAAGCAGTCAGAAGAAAACGGTAGAATTGATTTTCTAAAATGGAATATTGATGACCAGCAAATTGAATTGCCAGAACATTGTATTAAACTATTTTGATAGCGTGAATTATAATAGGGTCGAAAGATGTGAGTCAAGTATGGCAATCAAATTTTATGAACTTACGGTCATGAATTTATTTCATCTCGACTTTGTGTTATGATGGTAAATATAAAACAAAAGAAAATTAATTTATTATAAAAATGACAAAACACAATGTAACATTAGATTTTTTTATTTGTCTTATTAGTTATTTAATATCTAAATTGTAATTTCTTCTTAAGTAAGAATGAGTAATTTGTTCAATTGATGGACTGTGATTATTTTTTTTATCAAAGAATATCGCATTCAAATTGAAAATTCCAGACTTTTGATATTAAACAATAAATATTTCATAAATGAGCTATTAACTATACCATACATAATCAATCAGCAATGCTTTATAAAGTTTGCTTTGTATATTTATAAAAAGAAATAAGAATATTTGTATATTATGCTTGGTGTATGTAACGTAATGTATAGTTAAAACAGTTTTGTAACTGGTAATGTACCTGTGTATATGTAATGTTGTACTATCCTAATATTAAGGCAAGTTTGACCCTCTAATTGTACAAAATTAGTGTTCAAATCCACCAAATCTTATTTAAAAATGCCATTATATTGAATGGAGAAAAATCAAAGACGATTCTTGCTGCCTTATTAATGTTAAAAATCGGTGGATTATTGAATAGAATTGCATTGTTTTAATATATTGTTGTCTAGTCTAGGAGGGTCCAGCTTGCCTTAGTATTCCATTTGTTATATGATATGTTATTCAAATCTGTACATAAATGAAATGATTTTTCTTTTCCTTTAATAACCCCAGTTTATTGACAACATGGTCACAAGTGGACGTCAAATAATATATGTAATTATAAAAGTAAATTAGATTAGACAAAAACATTTAATGTATTCATATATGTATGGATGCAGGTTTATATACAATATATATATGTAAAGATACATAATTTGACTTATTTTTGGTTACAGTTTGAATATATACATGTATTTGCCGAAGTGAGTGCCATTGTGATCATGATTTCAATAACTTATATGAAATGTATAATATACAGCTATGTAAATAAACTCATTTGATGTAAATATTCTACTCAGTGTAAATACCATTCCTGCTCTGAAATTTCTTTCAAGTAATTAGACAACTGTGTGATGTTTGGCTGATTTCCATTGCATATATTTTAAAATAATCAATGCTCAACAAAAGTGAGTTTTAGTGTAATTTGTGTTCAAAATTAATGCCTCTGATATGAGAATGATCTGTTTCTTTTCTATAGTAGCAATCAGTATGTGAAACAATAACATTTCTACATGTAGTATTCTTTGATTTTAAATAGGGCTCCAAAAGTTGGTTTTAAATTGTATATTCCAGCCCTGGGATTAAAGTATACTAATTACTACTAATTTGTGAGTTATGAGTCATGCCACTACTTATCTTAGACTGTTTCATTAACAAGTGATGCTTCATTAACAAATGATTTTAAACTAGTACAAGATATTTCAATCAACAGAAAACATATCCTAACTACTGTTGGTTACCAAAAAACATTTTTCACACTTCTTCAATGGAAGGTTTTTTGACAGCCTGGAAATGTTTTAATATAGCTACTAATATATATGTAGTACACTTGTTAGACAATCAATTTCATTACTAGGCAAGACACAGTGATTTATGCTCTCAATATTAATTAATGTAACTTAATATGGGCTTAGTAACACAATTTTTCTAGCCCTTGACAAAGAACATAAGATAAGTTATTTCTTTTCATATCATCCGCATGATAAGATATTATTTACATTTTCAAAATTTAGCCAGTTTTATAATGTATTTTTAGAACATTCATTGTGTATCATTCTTCATAATTATAGGAAAACTCTTTTCAACCAAAAGTGCTTGATTTTTTTTTTGTTTATGAAAGTTACATAATTTTCTTTTGTACTGTTTTAAAAACAGAGAAGAGGCTTTGGAACCTTGGAGCTCTTTGTCAATGATTTGACTTTTCAATGGTAACTGGGTGTCTACACATTAATCGTAAGTGTGGGAGGACTGCACTACATGTAAACAAAACCTACAAGACAAACCTGCATACATGACACACAAATTGCAGACATTGCAAGCAATAAACAACAAGCGTGTAAATCAAATTACAAGCAAAAATTAAGACAGATATTGCATAAGTGTCTTATAGGGTTTTTGAAGAATGCAGTGACCAAAGTTTCCATCTAAATATGCCAGTTCTTAAATTTTCAATTATTAAACAAGTTGAGGGTTATTTTGAATATGATGTATAAAATTAGTTACATTTATGTTCTTGTTGATATTTTTTATGCCTCCTCCAGAACGATAATGTGTATGTGACATAATTTAATCACTTGGAAAGAAACAAATTACCCAGTTCTTGTTCACTTCCACAACTACGTGAATGCTTGATGTGTTTCAGATAAATAAATGTTTTAAAGATAAAAAAAAAATTCATTCCCCTAATATCTTGTGATATGCTAAATGCAAAAAAGAAAAAAAAATATGTAAGGAAACTGTGGCTTAACCTTCCTTAACTAACTTTCCAAAATCTGTTTTCAGTAATTGCTCCTTAATTCTGTATCGTGTTGTCCCCACTTCTCTGTAAAATCACTTTAGTTTCAATTTATGTATATTGTATGTTGTTTAAATTTGCTATCAGGTGAACTTACTGGACAGAATCTACTAAGTTCACTTAAAGCAGAATTTCACAGACTGTTAAGCAATGGCTTTTGTTGTGGTTTCAATTTCAATTGAAATCTTTCTAGTCCTTTCTACTTATGTTTATATTAGTGGTCTGCTCTTTTTTCATTTGAAAAAGACTGATTTAATATAAAGGCTCTTGATTTAGAGAGAACAAAATTCTCATTAGGCATATTTTGAATATAATTGTTTAAAAATGTACAAAATTGTTGACATTTGGCGAGTAAGGAGGGTGAATTATTATTAGTGCGTTTTGGAATTAGTGCGTAAGTTAATGAAAATTAAAATTTATAAGTGCTGTGAAATTCTGCATTTTTGTATATTTACCATGTGATGAATGATGTATGAGTTATTGGTATATATGCATTTGTGACGCAGAAATAAAAGATTTTTGAATCCAACCTTTTGTTTGACTTTCATAATTTCAATCAGATTAATTTAGAGGAATTGTCATTTTAGCAAAGGAGTATCAGAATTAGATTTGATTGTTAGTTTAATAATGTGATAACAAGACCAAAGAACATTATTTCCGGGTCAAGTTTTACTTAATAAACCTCGGATAGTTTTATTCGATGTATTATCGATAGCTTCTATTTCATTTTGTATTCTAAGACAATAAAGAATATTTGTGTCTTGAAAAAAAAATTTAATATGACAACTTGTCTTTTGGGGCAATAATTGCTTATATTTAAATGACAAGATAATTCTGCAAGATGTGGGAAAAAGTAGCCCCCGTTATTCAGATATGTATTCTTTGCTATGTTATCTTCAAGAGAAATAACAAAAAGGCAGGACACTGCACAAGACGTGATGTGACCTTTGAACTTTGCATACATAATGAGATGCTGCTTCTTGGCGGTCAGAGAGGGTGATGTCGGATAATGTGTTGACAGTAACACTACCTCTATCTTTATTGCCTGTCCTTTGCTGACACGTCAAGGTAATACTAATTTATTTAATTAACTGTTAATATTTTAATGTAAGCATTATTATGCAAGCATACGAACACCGTAATTTAACACGTGTTGACAATGCAATAATTGCACGACTTTTCCAATATGGCGGCCCTCATTGTAAACAAATCACTTGTGTGAACGAGGCATATAAAAATGTCAAATTGTGGTATTCAAATTCATGGTTTCTGAAAATGATATTATATCGTACTGTGTTTATTTTAGTATCATTTACTTACTACTAGACTAGCGTTGAAATTCTACCGTAAATGTAACCGTAGTAGATCTACACGTGAAACAAAGTATTGCATATAATTAAAATAGTATTGTTTATTGTTATTTATTGCATTCCCCTAGAATTTAGATATGTTATACACGCGGTCTTATCGGGTATATAGCTAATACAACACACACTTGTACATAGAGTTAAGAATAAAATGAAGTAGATAAAAACGGATATGAGCTGCTTCTAAAATATGTACTGGTATTTATATCTGCACTAAATGTTGCATTCTTCTTTTTCTAAATAATACTACCTGTAGGCCTGTGTAATACTCCCAAATTAAGACATAACATTTTTTTAAATTTTACATGCATGGTTCAGCCATATAATTTTCCCGTCATTTCTTCCCATTTCCCCAAAGCATCATTTTTCATGTTAGAACTAGCATTAAATGTCATTCAAGAGCATGACACTCCGACTCAATATTATCCAGAGTCTTCAACAGTACAAACAAAAATTATGTGTCCATTCCAACCCATAGTGATATTATCTTAGCCTACTCTGAAAAAATGGGCTCTTGATATCAAATATTTAACATACGGTGAACAGCTTTAAAGCCAGCACTTGCTAGCATGTACTTCTGCTGCCTGTGAGCACATGTTTGTTATGAGTTTATGATCCTTTAATTATTCAATACATATATTATAACAAACAATTCAGTCACTAACAATTAGTTGTACAATTATGTGAAAATTATTTTTATTTTCTGATAATGTAACTAATTATATTAATATATTACAAACATAAATAACAATGGGGGTGTCGGTATTATTATAGCCTGTAAAATGTATGCAATAAATAAACAACATAAATAAATCAACATTCATGTTATGATCTTGCCAGGAAAAGATGGGCTTCTGATATCCAATATTTACGACAAAATAAACATTTTACCATTGGTACACGAATCGTGTATCAGAATGCGTTAAAGCACCAAATGTAACAAGGCACTCGAAGAATGAGGCTAGACATATTCCACAAGTCATTTCAAATGTGATGCCATATTCTTATCTGAAGAGCATGCACAATAAATACTACCGGTTTAGACTGGAATAACCAGATACTAGAGATAGCCATTCGATTAAGACTTCTTGCGTAAGAGTAAAAAACGGAAACGATTGAATGTAAATCAGTTTACATTCATATTAGGTTATATGTGTTGCAGCCCATTTGTGTCAATTTCTAGATCCCAAATATTAGCGACTTAGCTCCTTTAAATATCAAAACTATTATCAGAAGTTGTATGCATGCTGTTTTATAGTGGCATTGCCCAATTGGTAATCTTGATTTCAGGTTTTAGGATGAAATTGACAATATGTAAAATTCCATTACAATATGTAATATTCCATTACAATGTAACTTTATGAATTTATTATATTTATCAAAATGGACAACCCCAGTCCATATTAGAGAGAACAGTACTCATTTTATTGAATACATGTATTTTCTCATATAGACTCATAGTAGGTCCACTATTTTATAGATGACAACATAATCAAGTTCAAATTATTAACAGTATATCAGATTTCAGCTGAAAATAATACCAGTACTTTTACTTATCTTAGAGATAAAATAAAGCCGCAAAAGAAAATATTTTCCATTTGTAAATTTATCAAGCATCCTGGGTCCATTGTGTATTTATTCTTACCCATAATAATTTTACATTTCAATATTTAATTAACCAGTGGTTTATTTTTTCAAGGCATTGTACATGTACACTGTAATGAATTTACTGTCACTGTTAAATGGATTACTGAACAATATTTAGCTTACATGCATGTGTAAAGTTAAAAAAATGAATCAGACAACCACAACCTTTATTTATTCAAACTTAAATTTCCTATCAAAGATAATAAATTTCTCTCAAATATATCCACAAGATTATTCATGGAAAGAACTGATTGACTCAAGTTCAGAAAATTAGAAAAAGTAGTTTTGATTAATTTTGTGCAAATCTGGCTCGAATTACATAAAAATCCAAAAAGGGAACTTTTAATGAATATAAATGCAGTACATGTAGTTGATAAAGATATTGGTATTGAGTTTATCACTAAATATTGTTTAAATTGGGCCTATAGTACAGCTATTAGACATTTTTGCTTAGCGGCTTCCCAAAGTATGTAAGCTTATAATTTATTTAAAACTGAAAATATTTGACATCAATCATGTATGTTGATTGACTTATTATTATGTGAATATTGATTGATGGTTTATATTGACAGGTTAATACTACATGTAACGTACATCGTGTCGTAGGTTACAATAGAATAGAATAAGAGTTCATAAGAAGTTGATTAGTAATAAAACATTGATTGAATCTAAAAGGGTCAGGTGGAATAAGATGCTCCTATTATTGATTATTATTTTATTGATAAATAATCATAGAGGATGAGTGCCTGATCAGAGATGGCTGTAGATCCTTGATACAAACCAAGACTTGTGGATGAGATTCATTCATAGACTATTGGTCCTGGTATGTATGACAATGTTAGTCTGACATGACTGTTTTATCCCACAGCCAGAACTCTGTTATTGTGCAGGATTAGTCATCCCCTACTACTGGCCTAGTGGATCTAATATGTCTAGTGCTAGCAGGCATTACATTCATTCCTGCAGTTCAACTATTCTTAATAGGAAATTTGTGATTTAACAGACAGATTTAACATTTAGAAATAACGTGAATATATAGGACAGCTAAATTTAGATGAAACAAAGTTCATTGGATATTTTCAAAGAAAGAGACTGTGAGAATGAAACTAAGAAGAGCTATAATGGATTTAATGTGTTGATAAAGTTGTCTGTACAATTTTTTATAATGAGACGAGAGGTAACTTAGATAAATATTGCATGATTTTAAATTCTAATTTTAAGTAATTGAAACAGTCTTGTGACAAGTGTATTTTATTTCTCCACACTATCTACAGCCATATGTCTTGTTAGTATACAGTGATAGCAGTATATACTGCTTTTAAGGCATACTTTGTTATTCCATTGTAATGCCTTTAAACTATAGGTAATAAATAATATCAACTGCAGTTAGAAATGTGAAGTCATGTACAATATGACATCATGATTTTATATGAAAGATGTATGGTAATGTCAAAATAATTTCTGTTGACTCTGGTATTAATATTTTCTTTCTTAATTAGGTCAGCCAAGTTTAGAAATACATCCTTTGTTATTTAATTCATTCTGTTATTGTTTCTCATGCTTACACATCTAAATTACATATAGTTTTAGTAAAAGATGAAAAATTCCCAACAGTGTTGTACAAAATTGGTTCTACTTTTCTCCGTAATAATGACATTGTAAATATTTTTTTTCATCTATTGAGAGTAATTTCATGCAGGGAAATATAGAGAAACATATAGGTTTCGTCACATTTTCCTTGCTTTTAATTAAAGAGGGGGGGTTGGTGGCTGAAAGGTTAGCACGTGCGCGTTGTACCATAAAGTCTTGTCATTGAGTCAACTGGCTTGGTTTCGAATCCCCGGTTGTACATGGCAAGGAGTAGGGTCGCCTGTCCAGCCTCGTGGGTTTTCTCCGGTTTCCTCCCACTGCTAAAGACCCCTACGCGCAAGCGAATTATTGCAATAAAATTAAAACCATGTGTTAGTCCCGAAATGACCTAGTTTGCGTCGAGTGGACGTTAAACCCCATTTCTCTCTCTTTCTCTCTTTTTAATTAAAGAGCACATAAAGTGAACATATAAAAGTGTTATGTATTTCAAGCCAGTGTGATTATGGCTAGTTCCTTTTTCATTTTTGGAAATGTGTCTCATCCATGGTTACAAATCTGACCAATAATTTATTAGGATCTGCTTCAATATGGCACAGATTATTATGGGACGTCAGGAATCTGACACGTTTCTGATCCACAGTCAAGAGTTTTGGCACCCATCTTGCAGAAACTTTTGTCATTCCTAACTCGTTGGCGATAATGTGCTCAACCCTCAAATGAGAGTTGCCCTCAGCATTGGCAATATGTTGAGTGGTTGATCGGCCATCACCATGTCATCCACGTCATTGCTAGGTCCCACATTGTTTGAAAAAGCTATGACATTCACTTTAATTCTTTGTGAATAGCAACAAAATTTTAAATGTTTGTTTTAGGGAGAGAAAGCTGTTTAGATTTCTTCAAATTCTTTGCCCTGGGCATTTTTATTCAGAAACGTACAGTATGCTTAGGCTATGCTATTTTTTAGACTATAAATAAATGAATACGTTTGCTGTTATAAAATGGGTAACCTTGGTCAAAAGATTGGGGATGTAAACTTTCAAAATTGGGTAAATACATGTATTATACTTGGCCTGTGATGATAAAATATGCATGTACGTAAAGATGCACTAGCTCATTCAATAACAAAAGTGAGGATACATTCTGGTAAATACTGCCTGATTATTTAGTGAGTGTTGAGTATAGGGAACTGTTAACATGTCTGTCTATAATGACATTCTGTATAAATGTCCACTTAGGCCTGCTTAAGGTCAACTAAGTTTTGTTGTTGGTGAATATGAAATTGTGACTAGGATATTAAACAGATTCAAGTATTGCCAGGAGTCTTTAAAGTCTTGAAACATGTCTACATTTATATAATTGCATAGACCACTTCTATTTACCATCACTTGGTATGCCCAATATAGTTCAAGACAGGATTTTAAACTTGGCATACATTTAATAATCCTTTAGAGACATTTGCACATTGTAACTATAGAGCAATAAACTATAACACATACTTGTTGAAGAACAATTGTTAATCTAGGCAGAGTATTTCGAAGAGTATTCTCTCAACGTTTTCAAGCAAGTACAGTAACAAATGTGTAGGGTAATTATATTTTTTGACAAATAATAACAACAGTCAAAAACCATGGATGACAACAACATCATCTAACTTGGAACAGCTCCTTTTAAAGGCCAAAGCAGATTGATGTTGAAATCCATTTCATCCCAGGGGTTGGGTGGCCGAATGGTTAGCACGTGCGTGCTGTATCATACGGCCTGTCATTGAGTCAACTGGCGTGGTTTCGAATCCCCGGTTGTACGTGACAAGAGTAGGGTCGCCTGTCCAACCTCGTGGATTTTCTCTGGGTCCTCCGGTTTCCTCCCACTGCTAAAAGACCCCTACGCGCAAGCGAATTATTGAAATAAAATTAAACCATATGTTTGTCCCGAAATGACCTAGTTTGTGTCAAGTGGACGTTAAACCCCATTTCTCTCTCTCTCTCCATATCATCCCAGAGGTTTGTACATGTATCTATAGCATAGCATATCTTAGGATTATTGGAACTACTGAAGAAATTGGTCTGTTTAATGGTAGTTTTGTCTTCTGCTTGTTAATCATGCATGAGGGCGTGGGATTTGGATGATCAAGTCATATTGTTGGCAATGTGAGAGATGTGAGGATTTTCCTTGCTATGGGAGGTTTGACTGTAAGCTCTGGCTTTATTGTTACTTATCTGCAACAAATTATTGTTTAAAAAAAACACAACACAATTTATATGGAAAATATTCACTGGTTTATACACATACAGCACAATGTTTCGACAAGTATTCTCTTATCGTTTTCAAGTACAAAATTATTGTTTGTAATATAACATATTAATAAGATCATATCAAATCTTTTTAATAGATTGACATCATTATAGGTGATGAACACATCAAACACATGTACCTTTTGAAGTTTTTATTTCCAGAAATGTTGTACAAATATGGAAAGCTACATATAATATAGGAGAATATTTTTATACATTTCTATTAATTTAGATGTGTATAAAAAGAAAGATAAAATAGATAATGCGCTATCATTCAAATGACATACACGTAGAAAGGATTTTTTGAAAAAATTGGTTTCCCTTATTTTAAAAATAAAATGTAAATATCAACTTAAAATTAAGCACACTGTACAAGAATGTAGTTTAATATGTTGTATTAATGTGTTTAACATGTTGTATAATACAGTTCTCTACAGTGACAGCTTATTGGACTGTTATTGAAACACCTTGCAGACCATAAATTAGTTTTATTTTTCCTGGATACAGGAAATTTCTCTTCCGGCTGATTGTTTTGACCAGTAATAATTGAGCTCGAGATAATGGAAATGGTCATATAATGCTTTCGTGGTATCGATTTACCATTAAGTTCTCTCAAGATGGAGGCTCCTCTCCGGGGAAGGGGTTCGACACAGACTGTCCATCTTGGTAAATATTATTAAATTGGATTGAAGTGATGAGATGATTACAGTGACCCGAGTCTATACATCTACAAATGGATTGCCAATTCAACTCTCCCAGACACCAAATCAATACTAGCACCATTTCATGGTTAAAAGATATTCACCACTGGTTTGTTGCAACCTTTTACTATTGTTTTAATCATGGTGGATGTCAAGTACTGATTATATGAAGATACATGAATACTATAAATGATGACGAGCTATATACAGATGATAAATAGGGTGTACTTGTAGCATGATGAATGGCGAGTTATATATTTTACGCCTAAAATAATATCTTTAGGGAAATGGGTGTGATATTGTTCGGTTGTTATTGACTAGATATAGTCAGTAAATTACTGTTGGTGTAAAATGGTTTTAAATCCGTCTGCCCTCCTGTTCCCATACCTTTAATTTCTGCATAAAATAAATACGGAACTCTGGCTTCCAGTGAAGTGCCAGTATTTCTATTAGGTAACAGAAGGATATTACTTGGTTTTTAAATGGAAAATTATATAAATGTAAGTTGTTAATTCTTGTCTCTTTGCCCAGCTCACTTTTTACCACAGGTGGAGCAACATCTGGCCAGGTCTTGTACGTGGTTGACCGTCAAAATTTTGAGATACACAAATTTGAAGTAGTATTTATAATAGTAAACATGTAATGATCTGCCTTACATATCTCAGTTATCCTTCTGCCTCTTAGCCAGGAATATTCACCAAAACCTTACAGAAAATGTCAATTCATACCATCAGTTTTCAATTCTAGACCAAAAGTCAATAAAAATATACATGCAAACAGGAAAAACGAGATAAAAAGAAAGACAATGGAACAAACTACATTCATGGGTTCAGAGATGTTTGTTTATTTTTATACGCCCACATTGAAATGGGGTGGTCGTATATTGTCGTGGCCCCCGTCCGGCGTCCACAATTGCTTGTGCACGATTGACTTTAAATTTATACATAGTGTTTAAAGTCATGAGACGCAGAAGCTTATTGATTTTCAACGATTTCCAATAAATACTGCCAGAGTTATGGCCCTTGATCACTTTGAAATATCTTGTGGACGCTCTAGAGGCTAAAGTAAAGTTAATATCCGATTGACTTTATATTTATACACGGTGTTTAAGGTCATGAGACCAAAAAGCCTATTGATTTTCACTGATTTCCGATAATTACTACCAGAGTTATGGCCCTTGAACACTTTGAAATATCTTGTGGACGCTCTGCTTTTCCTTTGGCAATAATGGTCTTAGTCAATCACAGTGGCTCAAATCTGACTTCAGAGAGAATAACAGAAGTAGTTGAATTTTATGTTAAAGGGACAATAACACTCTTGCTGGCTTGAAAGCTCCAGAAAATAAATAATATCTCTAAGTACTAAATGTTTAAGTGTTCTACCTGTTGTGTAAATTATCCATTACATCCTATTTTACTTGTCCAGAGGGTTCAAAAATATTTTTAAATCGAGGTTTCATTTGAAAAGGTTTACGTTAGACGTTTCAAACCATTATGTTGAATTTTTCAAATTTTTTAAATAAGGTGTGTTAAGATGAAATTTGTATCATCAATTAATTAAAATATTCTAAAATAGTACAATTTGTTGACCAGAATAAAGATTGGGACATATTATTCAGTTACAACAAGAGTGGTATTGAGCCTTTAAGGTAGACCAGCATTGCAATATATCCAGGTCGCAACCACATAAGACCTAATTATAAATAGATTGTTCATTTACATAATATTAAAAATTATATTTAATAGTTCAAATTTTTGTTAGGTTGTTTTGGAGAAATGCAAGCATTTCTTTATCAAAAATTATAACCTTGTGACTCATAGTCCTATCAATAATATATTTATCAATACAAAAATACCTATGTAAATCTGAGTATGTCTTTCCTTGTAGGGTTATATAATCTAAAGCTAGTAAACAAGTTTTCAATCAAATGTTTAATATAGCTTTATTCTAGTTATACACCCACATTGATAAAATTCTCACATTGGCGTGCACGTAAAAGATCCCTTGGCTGTTGGAATTTGATATAAGAGTAGGCTGTAGCGCCGCTGCCCGGGCAAAATTTCCCTCATAGCACACTGTATGGCGTATGCCCGTCTTCATTAGCCCAGGTTAGGAGCAGAACAGTGGGACGTTAAACCCCATTTCATTTCATTTTGATAAAATTCTAGACGCTAAAGTTAATATTCGAATGACTTTAAATTTATACACAGTGTTTAAGGTTATGAGACGAAAAATCCTATTGATTTTCAACGATTTCAGATAATTACTGCAGAGTTATTGCCCTTGATGACTTTGAAAAATCTTGTGGACGCTTTAGAGGCTAAAGTTAAGATCCGATTGAATTTATATTTATACAGTGTTTTAGGTCATGAGACGAAGAAGCCTATCAATTTTCAACGATTTCCGATGATTATGGCAATTGATATTAAATGTTTTGTATGCTGATGCTAGAAACCAAGTAGGTTGTTACTCAAAATCAGATATGAGTGTGTTGTAAATGTTTTCATTTCTGACAAAAGAAAAAATATGTGACAACCCTTGTTGACTCCTCAGACGACTTTAAAAAAAAAAATTGAGATCAAAATTGGATATAAAGTCAACATATCCATGTAACTAGAAACAAGTGACACCAAGTTTAAAGTATGTTTCAGGAAGATTATGCACAGTTCACATAATCAACAAAAGTGACATTATCACAAAAATACAACTTATAAACTGATGTAAGAATTCCTTCTGAAAAGAAGACAGGAAAGCTGATAAAATCCAGAAAATTGACAGACTGATTTAAATTTTATTTTCTGTGAATTAGAATTGATTTAGAATATCTCTCCACAAAATAATACTTGATGATGATATACCACTATATGAAAGCCTATCAACAAGAATCAGTTTTGAATGAAATTTAAAAGTTGAAATTTTACTAATATGGATTTTACAGCTCAAATCTCTTCAATTAAAAATACACAGTGCATGTATTTCAACCTTCATACAAAAGCTATTCTCAACTACATGGCACATGGTTTCACTTGTATGAAGGTTGGAATCTTGTGTTTTTACCATAATTTATTACAAATCTTGCTATTCATCATAAAAGGTGTAGGAACAATTCTTGCAGTTTTGATCCCACTTGTGCTTTTTCTAGTTCAACAATTTCCGCCCATGGCCCAAAAGAACCCCTGCATGTGAGCGAAGTTTTGAAATAAAGACCTACATGTATCATATGTTAGTCCCGAAATGACATGTGTTGATCCTTTTAGGTCTGAATGCTACTTTTATGATATATATATCATGCAATATATATGCAAATTTGTAAATAATGTACAACTGTAGTGCATGCGACATGATTGACAGACATTTGATTGTGAAAGTCGTTTAACTATCCCGTGAGAATAACTCCAGTATAAATGTCAAATCTTCTTCAACATGTATATCAAAGTCACACAGGGTTACATTAAAGTCAGTGTTTTAAACAGAAAAATCTGACATGATATTTGACAAAAGTATATAACACATACATTTAATCAACTAGAGTAAGTAATCACATGATAAAAAGGTATGGAATAACAGAGATTTATCGATCAAAGATATTTTTCTATTTTTGGTCTTTTCCTACCAGAAGCGTGATGTACATCAAAGAAAATAATGTATCTGAAGTATTACGGATTAAGAATTAAGTAGGATGGCCATATTGATTGTCTAAATGGTTTCTGAGGTGAGCATGTCACATAGCTGCAATTATCTCTTACTAGAAATTACTATCTCATTAACAAATGTACATGAAATAGAGCATTCCTTCCTGTTTTTATAGTCAAACAAATATGATGTATTGAGCATGTACATATGTAATATATACATTTTCAGACAGCTGATCGCAAGTTAGGACTGGAAGGTTGTATTGGAGATGTCATCTGCTAGGATCATGGCTGCATGATTAATCATTCACCGAGTTAAAAACAGAAGTTAGTTCTGGTTCCATGAAAATGTAGAAGCCGATATTTGTTAAACCCATTACTTTTGTGATTTTTTACAGCTTGGAAGATCAGCCAGGCCAAGTACGATGTTCAGTGCCAAATTAAAGGTTGTTATGTGCAAAGATACCAGAAAAGTTTGATGATTGTAGCATTGTGATCGATTGATAGAAATAATTTGGTGTGTTAGCCGAGTTGGTATTAATAAGAATTGTTTATCATCACAATCTAATAGAGTAACAATGTTGAAATTACAAACACTGCAAATTTTGACTTCTGGATTTAGAAAAAAGTGCAAATGTTAATTCTGTCACGAAAGAACCATACGACTATTAATGTGGTCGTTGAGTCCAGTTTAAATATATAGAATGGAGTGTTTAGCTTACAATCAACAGAGGTTCGCCTCTGTTATAAACAACATTAATAAGGAACTTCACCAGAAGGGTGAGTAACATATTGATGTCAAATTATTCAGTGTTATAAAAATTGTTATATTTTCTTTAATAATGGCATTATTAAAAGCATGTTAGATTTTTGTGATTATCTTTTTATTTTGTATGTTGCTACATGTTGTAAAGTTTTATTTTGAATAAATTAATTTTGAGTTCTTTAGTTTAAATTGTTTTCTTTTTGTTGATTTTGTGTTCAAGTTTATTATTTCTCTAGCTTTATATTAAATTGTGTTTTTTATATAATATATACGTATGTGTAATATATATATTGGGTATAAATGACATATGAATGATTTTTTTTAAGTGTAGTATAACATGAACAATAGTCGGATATGATACTTTTTTACAATGACAAGTACAGAAAAAGTTTGATATCAGTCGGAGAAAATCTGGAGAAAATATAATTGAAATACATTGTACCATAAAGACATAGGTTTTGTGTAAGAACATGAAAATTATTAAGGAAAACACCCCCTCAGGGTTAAGGAACAAGTGGAGTGAATTTCCTTCAATAATGTGTAACCTTGATTTAAATGAACGTTTAATCAATCTTTACAAGGTACAGATTGAACTTCCAAAGAAAAAAATAAGTGCCATTGATTCTTAACCACAAATAAAATCGACATTTTAGACTTTGGCATTTCGCTGACTTTGCTACAAGAGGTCTTTTGTATTGACTAATCTTGAAATTACAAATTTTAGTAGATCGTTTTTTATTTCGGCGAGATCAATCCCAGACTAGTCGAGTTTGTTTAACTGATTTTTCACCAACCAGATATCCATTTTCAATTTTCTCACATTTCACAAAAGTTTAAAACGTACCTTTTCATTGATCAACGGGGCAGATATTTCCTTTCACATTTGTATATATAAAGTTTCAAACATGTTGGGGTTGATTTTACCTGGAGGGCAATTAATTGGGCTGAACTAGAGCGTCAAAAATTATAATCGATTCTTGCCTACATGAAAAGTAGGAATTATTGGGGAAATAGATATCTTTTAAGAAGATAGTATAAAATTATCTGAATAGATTCTTACAAATTGTGATTATAACTGAATATGAACTACTTTATTATAAATGAATAAATAAAGGACAGTCTGATCTGATCCAAGCATGGATAAATATCGTTTTGAATACTATGTCCATTTTACTACATCAATTGATTTGATAGCAAGCATCTTGGAAAGGATAATTGGAGAAGACCTGATGGTTGTTCCAATATCTTATAAGATTATTGGCGATGGACTGACTAGTGACCTCTACAGCGACTTTAATCAACTGGTCAGCTGTGTTAGTTTGATTACTGTCCAGCCTCTAACATCACCATAGACTAATTATATATGAAATGAAATAGGGTTTAACATCCTACTGAATTATATATGAACTTCAAAAAACTATTGGGGGGGTTTGATGTCTAAATTTTCTAATGTGTGCACTTTAGAACACACTTGTAGGTGACAAGGAGTATGGTCACCTGGCTAAATCTCCTGATTATTCTCTGGTTTCCTTACACAGTGATAGACCCCTACACGAAAGCAAATTATTGAAATAAAACTGCACCATACATGTATGTTGTTTGTGTTGAATTGATGTTAAACTCCATCCATCTCTTTCTATCTACATTTACCTTTTGAATGATAATTTTCCTACCCCAGAGGTTACAGATACTTGCCTATTCGATTGCCCTTCACAGTAAAGGGCTGCTGTAGTCTTTGATTCATTAAAACTTGCTGGATTATTAATTGCAACTTCTAACTGCACGTGATTAATGAATGAATAGGACTTAACATTATGGCATTTTTTGCCTGTTCATATGGTGATCTAAAGACTTTTTGACCTGGAATGGGGTCCCAGCCATAGATAATTTTGGGGGGCAGATGGTTAAAGTGAAAAAATAATTAATGTAATATTTATTGGGGAAAACCCCTTTTGCCTTCTACTGGGCAAATAAATTGCCCCAAATCCCATGTTTTTGGGGTCTTAAACTGACGTGCATTGTGCTAACCTGCTCTAAGCATGACAAGTTTTACAGCCATCATCATCATTTATTTAATCTGTGAAATTTCTGGTGTCATTGTGAATGTAACAACAACAGTCTGATTGCTTGGAGTTCAGATGGGCTTTTAGGTTGCTATATTCACAGGCTGAACTACCTGGAAAATGTTTTTGCGGCCGTCTGATTTTCATGAATTTTCTGGGGGAGATCCCCACATACCCCTTGGGCTGATAACTTGAAATGGAATTTGTTCTTCCATTTCATTTCTGCTCCCTCTCCCACAACATTTGGAGTTCAGGTGGGTACATCATGGGATTTGGGTAACAAAGCCACATAAATAAGGCTAGTGAAATACTTACAGGCCGGAACATCAACAGGAAAACTCTTTTACCGCTCAACTCACATATCCCCCGATGGTGCCTTGCCACTTCAGCTCTCGCTAGTGATCAGCTCCGACATCTGCAGCGCCCAGGAATTTAAACAGGATTTTCTTTGGCCATTTCATTTCTGTCCCCTTTCCCCCTAAATCTGGAATTCAGGTGGGCACCGAGTGAGATTTTGGTTTCCAAAGCCACATAAATAAGGCTATATTGGACCACTTTCTGGAATGACTGGAAAACGTGTGGCTATCTAAATTTTTCCACACACTTCCATTTTTGCCTCCCAAAGTGGATAAGGCTTCTTCTTTGTGCAACGCTCTTTGAAAAAAGTCTACATCCCTGCTTAATCAAGTATGATCGACATGAAACTTGGCATGCTTGATGCTTGGACATCAGTCCATTTTGTTTGGTTGTACTGCTTTTTACTAATATCACGTACATCTATGTCTGTCAGAGTTTTTTTGTAAGGAACACCAAAATTTTGTATAGTTGGACTAATATTATGACATATGTTGATAAGTAATTTTGTAGAATGGAATCCTGTAGGGTGTATACTATACACTGTATAGGTGTATGTTATCATAGAGCAGGTTACAAGTACTATTGTAAGTCTAGCCAAGAGAAAAGATTTTAATGACACTTTGAGATTGGATGTCTTGACGTTTCCTGATGTCTGATTGATTTTTTATTTCTCTCTTTCTCATTATTCGATAATTGTGGTTTGGGATGTGGTCATTGTGTGACAAGGGGTTGATTTTAATGAACATTTTTCTGTATGAGTATACTGGTAGCAGAGAGAGAGAGAGCTTGTTATGTTGTCTATAGTGTATAAATAATTAAATCTGTGGTCAATAAAAGGTTTATCACCAAGTCTTATTCTTACACCTTATTAGATGTATTCCACACTTGGATAGTATAGTTTTAAATAGACTGATACAAATCATATACCGGTACCTACATGGATTTCATTTTTGAATTAAATAGTTTCAGTGATCACAGTGTTTGTTTTCTTTTGTAATCACATCTTTTATTCTTGTTAACAATCTACATAGCTGAAGGTTGAAAAAAAAAATGTGATTGTTGATTATGTCTCCAATCTTACACCTTCTTTATGGTATTTTGTTATATGCTTTTATTCAAAGTGCATGTATATAGTTGTTACCTATGTCTCTTTGCCCACTAGAGGTCTTTACAGATTTTTTTATGAATTTGAATGGATTGTTCATTGGATTATTAGAAAATTACCCATCAAAATTCAGTATCTTCATTTGCACATCACAGGTTTTTTTCCCAGGGTTAAGTTCAAATGGGTCAGGGTCTTTGATAGGATTTTTAAAAACATGTTTGCATTGTAACTATCTAACACATTTTTCTAGTGAAAAGGCTTGTGAATGGGATACAGAACAAAGTTCTCTCTACAATTATTTAAAAGCTTGCCTTGGTGGGATGGTTTATTTGGACCTTGTTGAATTTCAAAGTTTTTTGATAATGAGTTATTCCCCCATGTGATTTCCAATTTTTGAAAGCTTATGAACATGATGCTGGTTAGAGCTGGTGGGATGGTTCATTGAGATGTAAGGAAGTATCAGTGACTCAGTGAGTAAGGTGCTGACTTACTAACCAGGAGTTCCGGGGTTCGATCCCAGTGAGAGTTTCCTGGGATTTAGCTTGGGACGTAGTTCATAGTGGTTTTATTTTAAAATGGAGATTAACATTCTACTTTTCTGGGCCGTCTAGGCTAATGAAGACGGGCGTACGCCATACAGTATGCTATAAGGAAAATTTTGCCCGGACAGAGGCATTATGGCCTACACTATCAAATTCCAACTGCCAAAGGATTTTTTACGTTTACGCCAATGTGTACATGGAACCTTTGACAAGGGGGAACCACACCGGCAAATCAAGGTGAACTTTCTCAGCCAATGCAACGCAGGGATAAAACACAGGACCTCCAGGTTTGCTAACCAACATCTTACTCACTGAGCCACCATCGCCTCCTTTTTAATATACGCCCACATTGAAATGTGGTAGTATATTGTTGTCGCCCCGGTCCGTCCGTCTGTCCGTCCGGCCGACCTCCACAATTGCTTGTGGACGCTCTATAGTCTAAAGTTAACATCCAATTGACTTTAAATTTATACACAGTGTTTAGGGTCATAAGAAGAAGAAGCCTATTGATCTTCAGCGATTTTCGATAATTACTGTCAGAGTTATGGCCCTTGATCACTTCAAAAAATCTTGTGGACGCTCTAGGGGTCAAAGTTAATATTCGATTAACTTTAAATTTATACACAGTGTTTAAGGTCATGAGACAAAGAAGCCTATTGATTTTCAACGATTTTTGATAATTACTGGCAGAGTTATGGCCATGGTCACTTCAAAAATGTTGTGGACGCTCTAGAGGTCAAAGTTAATATCCGATTGACTTTAAATTTATACACAGTGTATAAGGTCATGAGACGAAAAAGCCTATTGATTTTCAGCGATTTCCGATAATTACTACCAGAGTTATGGCCCTTGATCACGTTGAAAAATCTTGTGGACGCTCTAGAGGCTAAAGTTAATATCGGATTGACTTTAAATTTATACACATTGTCTATTGATTTTCAGCGATT